ACAATCCATAATCCATCCCTAATCCATCCATCAACGACATAATCATTACACAGGTGCGCCTTGTAATGGGGACAATAAAATGCCACTCTAAAATGTGCAGTTTTGTCACACAACACAATGCCACAGATGTCTCAAGTTTTGAGGCAGGAATGTCCACCAGAGCTGTTGCCAGAGAACTGAATGTTAATTGATTTACCATAAATCTCCTCCAACGTCGTTTTAGAGAATTTGGCAGTACATCCAACCGGCCTCACAACCACAGACCACGTGTATGGTGTCGGGTGGGGCGAGCAGTTTGCTGATGTCAACGTTGTGAAGGAGTGCTCCATGGTGGCGGTGGGGTTATGGTATGGGCTGGCATAAACTACGGACAACGAACGCAATTGCTTTTTATCGATGGCAATTTGCATGCACAGGGATACCATGACGAGATCCTGAGGCCCATTGTCGTGCCATTCATCCGCCGCCATCACCTCATGTTCAATGCACGGCCCCATGTCGCAAGGATCTGTACACAATTCCTGGAAGCTGAAAATGTCCCAGTTCTTCCATGGCCTGCATACTCACCAGATATGTCACCCATTGGGCATGTTTGGGATGCTTTGGATCGACGTGTACGACATCGCAAAGCCATTGAAGAGGAGTGGGACAACATTCCACAGGCCACAATTAACAGCCTGATCAACTCTATGCGAAGGAGATGTGTCACGCTGCATGAGGCTAATGGTGGTCACACCAGATACTGACTGGTTTTATGATCCAACCCCCTACCTTTTTTTAAGTATCTGTGACCAACAGATGCATATCTGTATTCCCAGACATGTGAAATCCATAGATTAGGTCCTAATTTATTTATTTCAATTGTTTGATTTCCTTATATGAACTGTAACTCAGTAAAATCTTTGAAATTGTTGCATGTTGCGTTTGTACTTTTGTTCACTATAGTTTCAAAGCAGCAGGCACCAACTGTTTCACACACAGACACTAGGGGATGCACTTGCGCTATATGTTCTCACAGTAGCCTAATGACCGACATCGTCAGAGCAAAATCAAGAGGAAACAGAATCTTCTTCAATAGTTGACTGATGACGTCGCAGTGAATAACCTCTTATGAACATCTCAGTCTCTTCTTCAGTCCATATGTTCCAAATGCCAACCTTTACAACAAACATCCATGACCCACCACCCATCATGTCATCCGATCAGTCCAGCAAACAGGGGGCTGGAAGAGAACCAAAAATGACATTTTACAAGATGTCAATACCCTCTTTTTTTATACGCTCAATTCCTGTAGGCCGTTAGCCTCGTACGAACCATCCTGATCTCGCGAGCTGCAGAGCGAAACAGAACGTAAGCTAGCGAGATCAGGATGGTTCATACAAGGCTAGTAGGCTGTGACCGATGCCTGTAGATTCACACCGCACAACACAATACTAGGCTATTGTTTCGTTTATCGTCCCATGAAACAGTAGGCTTACATCACTACAACTGGGCCTATCAGACTAGGCTACACTTGAAAAGAACGTGGAACCTTTTCTGGCAAGACATCTTGGCGATGCTACCACAAATGCACTGTTGTGCTGCTTACCAACAATGAACTGAAGTACATTTCTCCAAGGGCGAGAGAAGTTGACCTCGTTCATTGTCCTCCGTCTTGAACCCGGCCAGTTCTAGTGTGGACCCGTAGTCCATTGAAAGCTACATTGTTTCTTTAAGATTCGACTTTCAGGCCATCAGCGGGTCTGTCTGTTCATTGTTTGAGAGAGAAAGAGACAGCGAGTTGAGATTGATATAGGGGGGCTGAGGACAAGTCGTGCATAATATCATCGGAGCAGCTGCAGTGGAAAGCAGCACAGAACCCGGGTATTGAGCGCACATCATACCAGAGACAACATGGGTAAGTTATCTACATTTGTTATGGTACCACTAATAGGCTATTTATAGCCAACCAACCACAACCAAACGGTACATTTTCTTCGGTATTCTTTGAATGATTTTGGCATTATAAAATATAATATTATGGCTGTCATGAAAAGTGCTGATAAGTGATTTATTTAATGCTTCGAGAAGCACAGACTAGCCTACTGTTCAGAAGTGCCTTGTCGCATTTGCATTTCACTTACAATGTCTTCATTTTTACCAACAGAACGTGTTCTAAGTGCTATTTGTTTGAGGAAAGTAACAAGTGAATTAATTATAGGCCACTTTGCAACAATTTGAACAAATTGGGTAGTTCCTCACTGCAGTTCTCGAGGGGGGACTTTTGAGGCTATAATAGTGCAAATAGAGAGAAGTGGAACTGTTTAAACTAGGTAGAAAACCCCTGCACCTGTTGCTGGGTGACAATGTTATTTTCCATCCGATGTGTACTGAGAAGTACTGCTATTTTCCTTCCTATGTGTATGAGAAGTAATGCTATTTTCCTTCTTATGTGTACTGAGAAGTACTGCTATTTTCCTTCCTATGTCTACTGAGAAGTAATGCTATTTTGTCAAAATAACAAAAGTGCTTGAACATAAGTATTGAGACTTGAAAAGTAAAGTGCTGAATATCAAGTCACGTTACTGAAGAGGCTTTTCTGCAGTGTGTTTGGAGGCTTTTCTGCAGTGTGTTTGTAAAAGGCGCTTCATGATCAATCCAGGGTCTGCATTGGCCTTGCAGCATTTATGGTGATACGACCTCAGCAGAAGGCAGGGCATTCACAATTCTGAACAGCGCAGAGCTGTTGTCAAGGAAGTGAGTTTGTGTTTATACAGTACCTCCCGCCCTCACCTACCGTCAACTAATCATGTCAATGCGGAGCTATATGGAGCCCTCCACATTGTTACAACATTTGACCGGCGCATGGCTATGCGATATGGAGCTCAATTTGGCTCAGCAATTGCGTCACACAATCCATACAGCGTCTCCGACCACATTTTTTGGATCAAGCATAAATTGGCTCTTAGTCAGTGTTCTTTCATTGGCAAACTTTTTAATTGGTTTAAAACTAATTTCCACGATGGCGTGATTATGCAACCTGGAAGACAGCCTGATCACACTTTCTACACACACACACAACCCTGGAGTCGCAGAGTGCATGTGTATTGTGCCCCTTCCTGCCATTCTGTGCCAACTGTAATAATGGTACCAGCTCCAGCCAGTCTTCTGAGGGAGGGAGAGATATCCCCCCTGCCTTTCCCCACTTCCACCACAGACTATTGGATATCCCTCTGGCTGTCACAAGCCTCCTTCTGCTCCCATAAACCCCAGTGTGTGTGCTGGAGGTGGCTCTGGCTATTGTTTGCTTGACATTGGTGGCCCTTGTCTTCCCACACTGCACCGGGACAAAGAACATTGTCTCTGCAGTCACACAAGCAGCCCTCTCTTTCTTCTTCTCTCTTTCTCAGTCCTCCCTCTTTTCTCACACTCCCGTGGTGTGAGCGGTGATTGGAGCCGGGGTTAGTGCTGGGGTTGGGACAGACAGATCCTCACGTCCTAAGGGCCCATTCACAGCACATGACTCTGGGGAAGAATGCCCCGTAGCTAGCAGACAGACTGAATGCTACTGTGCATAGAGAACAGACCAGTCCAAGGCCACAAAGAGTAACCCAGGGATGAGCTATTTTACGACCACAGCTGGATAGTGGAATAGCTGTAGCCAGTTGTTTACAGTTGTTGTTTATCCATCCAAGTATTCACAGTGACGTTGTATGTTCATTACCACTCCCCTGGTGGCGTGTTCATTACCACTCCCCTGGTGGCGTGTTCATTACCACTCCCCTGGTGGCGTGTTCATTACCACTCCCCTGGTTGCGTGTTCATTACCACTCCCCTGGTGGCGTGTTCATTACCACTCCCCTGGTTGCGTGTTCATTACCACTCCCCTGGTTGCGTGTTCATTACCACTCCCCTGGTGGCGTGTTCATTACCACTCCCCTGGTGGCGTGTTCATTACCACTCCCCTGGTGGCGTGTTCATTACCACTCCCCTGGTGGCGTGTTCATTACCACTCCCCTGGTGGCGTGTTCATTACCACTCCCCTGGTGGCGTGTTCATTACCACTCCCCTGGTGGCGTGTTCATTACCACTCCCCTGGTGGCGTGTTCATTACCACTCCCCTGGTGGCGTGTTCATTACCACTCCCCTGGTGGCGTGTTCATTACCACTCCCCTGGTGGCGTGTTCATTACCACTCCCCTGGTGGCGTGTTCATTACCACTCCCTGGTGGCGTGTTCATTACCACTCCCCTGGTGGCGTGTTCATTACCCCTCCCTGGTTGCGTGTTCATTACCACTCCCTGGTTGCGTGTTCATTACCACTCCCCTGGTGGTATGTTCATTACCACTCCCCTGGTGGCGTGTTCATTACCACTCCCCTGGTTGCGTGTTCATTACCACTCCCCTGGTTGCGTGTTCATTACCACTCCCCTGGTTGCGTGTTCATTACCACTCCCCTGGTTGCGTGTTCATTACCACTCCCCTGGTGGCGTGTTCATTATCACTCCCCTGGTTGCGTGTTCATTACCACTCCCTGGTTGCGTGTTCATTACCACTCCCCTGGTTGCGTGTTCATTACCACTCCCCTGGTTGCGTGTTCATTACCACTCCCCTGGTTGCGTGTTCATTACCACTCCCCTGGTTGCGTGTTCATTACCACTCCCCTGGTGGCGTGTTCATTACCACTCCCCTGGTGGCGTGTTCATTACCACTCCCTGGTTGCGTGTTCATTATCACTCCCCTGGTGGCGTGTTCATTATCACTCCCCTGGTGGCGTGTTCATTTCCTCCTGTCACATGTTGCGTTATATCATGTCTTGGTTGTTGTGACTGCTGTAGGAAGTGCCTGGTAGGATTGCCCTATGCTTCTCTAGAGATAACCCTACATTAACCCCTATGTGGTTATGTCCTGTGCTATAGGTTGTTATGACTGCTGTATGAAGTGCCTGGGAGGAGTACCCTATGCTTCTCTAGAGATAACCCTACATTAACCCCTATGTGGTTATGATCCTGTGCTATAGGTTGTTATGACTGCTGTATGAAGTGCCTGGGAGGAGTACCCTATTGCTCCCTGGTGGCCACTCTGCTGTGTTTCTCAGGGATAGCTCTGTTCTGTGGCTGTGGTCACCAGGCCCTCACTGAGACGGAGAGACTCATCGAGACATACTTCGCCCGTAACCTACAGGACTACATTACCCTGGCCTACCTGTGAGTGGCTCAAAGGCTATTGCTTTATCCCAAACCTACCCCCTAGGAATACCTGCAACTGATTAGAAAAGTGGTGGCCAAGACTTAGAAGGCTTTGTTAAAGCTGGGCTGGAACAAAAACCTCAATTGTTTTGGCGATCCAGGACCAGGATTGGCCACCTCTGGTTTAGATGTCCTCTAAGACTACTGTATAAGTATATTGAGCTAAACGGTAGACCTCATGTTAACGGTAGACCTCATGTTAATGGTAGACCTCATGTTAACGGTAGACCTCATGTTAACGGTAGACCTCATGTTAATGGTAGACCTCATGTTAATGGTAGACCTCATGTTAACGGTAGACCTCATGTTAACGGTAGACCTCATGTTAACGGTAGACCTCATGTTAATGGTAGACCTCATGTTAACGGTAGACCTCATGTTAATGGTAGACCTCATGTTAATGGTAGACCTCATGTTAATGGTAGACCTCATGTTAATGGTAGACCTCATGTTAACGGTAGACCTCATGTTAACGGTAGACCTCATGTTAATGGTAGACCTCATGTTAACGGTAGACCAATCATGTTAATGGTAGACCTCATAGACATAAGTTGAATGCACCAATTTGTAAGTGGCTCTAGATAAGAGCGTCTGCTAAATGATGTAAATGTAATAGACCTACTGTAGTGATGTGTCCTAATACTTCCCCCTCCCTCCACTTCTCCTGCCCCTTCTCCTCCTGCCTCTCCTTATCCTCTTCCTCCTCTTCCTGCCTCTCCTCTTCCTCTCCCTCCTCCTCCTGCCTCTCCTCTTCCTCCTCTTCCTCTCCCTCCTCCTGCCTCTCCTCCTCTTCCCCTCCTCCTCCTCCTCTCCTCTTTCTCTATAGTATCCAGTACTTCCAGTATGTTATCTATGGCTTGGCGTCATTCTTCTTCCTCTACTGCATCGTACTGCTGGCGGAGGGATTCTACACCACCAGCGCCGCCAAGCAGACCTTTGGAGAGTTCAGGAGCACCCTGTGTGGACGCTGTCTTAGTAGCACGGTGAGAGAGTGGGGGCAATGGTGGAGTGGAGGTGTAATGGTAACAGGGTGGGGTGGAGGTGTGATGGTAACAGGGTGGAGGTGTGATGGTAACAGGGTGGAGGTGTGATGGTAACAGGGTGGAGGTGTGATGGTAACAGGGTGGGGTGGAGGTGTGATGGTAACAGGGTGGAGGTGTGATGGTAACAGGGTGGGGTGGAGGTGTGATGGTAACAGGGTGGTGGTGTGATGGTAATAGGGTGGGGTGGAGGTGTGATGGTAACAGGGTGGGGTGAAGGTAGAGTGGGGGTGAGGAGGTAGTTGAGAGGATTGGGGTGAAGGGTTGAAGTGGGGGGGAGGAGGGGAGGTAGTTGAGAGGATGTGGGTGAGGTGGAGTGGGGGTGAGGAGGTAGTTGAGAGGATGTGGTGAGGTAGTGGGGGTAGGGTAGTTGAAGTATGGGTTAGGTTGGGGGGTGAGGATGTAGGTTGAGAGGATGGGGTGAAGGTAGAGTGGGGTGAGGTATTTGGTATTTGGAGGTAGTTGAGGGATGGGTGTGAAGGTTTAGAGTGGGGGAGGAGGAGGAGGTTAGTGAGAGGATGGGGTGAAGGTAGAGTGGGGGAGGAGGAGGTAGTTGAGAGGATGGGGTGAAGGTAGAGTGGGGTGTGAGGCCAGTTGGATAGAGGTAAGAGAGTAAGGTTGAGGGTGGAGATGAGAGCTCAACAAAACTGTGAAAGTAATTATTTTTAGCCTAAACATTCATCTCTCTCCCTTCATCTTCAGTTTATATTGATAACGTACCTGCTGGCAGTGGTGTGGCTGTTGGTGTTTGCCTTCTCTGCCTTGCCTGTCTACTTCTTCTACAACATGGCCGCTACCTGCCACACCATCACCGTCCTGACTGAGACCCCAGCTAGCATCAACCAGCTTTGTATCGATGCCAGGCAGTATGGTAAGGAAAGAAAACATCACTGTAGTTCTCTATATGATCCATTATGTTCAATCATATTGTAACATACAGTGCATTCGGGAAAGTATTCAGACCCCTTGACTTTTTCCACACTTTGTTACGTTACAGCCTTATTCAAAAATGGATACAATTGTTTTTACCCCTCATCAATCTATACACAATACCCCATAATTACAAATCCAAAACAGGTTTTTAGAAAATTTTGCAAATGTATTACAAATAAAAAACAGAAATGTCACATTTACATAAGTATTCAGACCCTTTGCTATGAGACTCGAAATTGAGCTCAGGTGCATCCTGTTTCCATTGATCATCCTTGAGCTGTCTCTACAACTTGATTGGAGTCCACCTGTGGTAAATTCAATTGATTGGACATGATTTGGAAAGGCACACACCTGTCTATATAAGGTCCCACAGTTGACAGTGCATGTCAGAGCAAAAACAAAGCCATGAGGTCGAAGGAATTGCCCGTAGAGCTCCAAGACAGGATTGTGTCGAGGCACAGATCTGGGGAAGGGTACCAAAAAATGTCTGCAGCATTGAAGGTCCCCAAGAACACAGTGGCCTCCATCATTCTTAAATGGAAGAAGCTTGGAACCACCAAGACCCTTCCTAGAGCTGGCCGCCCGGCCAAACTGAGCAATCGGGGGAGAAGGGCCTTGGTCAGGGAGGTGACCAAGAACCCGATGGTCACTCTGACAGCGCTCCAGAGTTCCTCTGTGGAAATGGGAGAACCTTCCAGAAGGACAACCATCTCTGCAGCACTCCACCAATCAGGCCTTTATGGTAGAGTGGCAAGACAGAAGCCACTCCTCAATAAAAGGCACATGACATCCAGCTTGGAGTTTGCCAAAGGGCACCTAAAGGACTCTGAGACCATGAGAAACAAGATTCTCTGGTCTGATGAAACCAAGATTGAACTCTTTGGCCTGAATGACAAGCATCACCTCTGGAGGAAACCTGGCACCATCCCTACGGTGAAGCATGGTGGTGGCAGCATCATGCTGTGGGGATGTTTTTCAGCGGCAGGGACTGGGAGACTAGTCAGGATCGAGGGAAAGATGAACGGAGCAAAGTACAGAGAGATCCTTGATGAAAACCTGCTCCAGAGCGCTCAGGACCTCAGACTGGGGCGAAGGTTCACCTACCAACAGGACTGAATGTCCTTGAGTGGCCTGGACTTGAACCCAATCGAACATCTCTGGAAAGACCTGAAAATAGCTGCGCAGCAACGCTCCCCATCCAACCTGACAGGGCTTGAGAGGCTCTGCAGAGAGAAACTCCCCAAATACAGGTGTGCCAAGCTTGAAGCGTCATACCCAAGAAGACTTGAGGCTGTAATCGCTGCCAACGGTGCTTCAACAAAGTACTGAGTAAAGGCTCTGAATACTTATGTAAATGTATTATTTAAGTTTTTTATTTTTAATACATTTGCTAAAAATTCTAAAAACCTGTTTTTGCTTTATCATTATGGGGTATTCTGTGTAGATTGTTGAGGGGAAAAAACAATTTTATCCATTTTAGAATAAGGCTGTAACATAACAAAAGGTGGAAAAAGTCAAGTGGTCTGAATACTTTCCAAATGCACTGTATGATCTCTGTGGGCCTAGTAAAGATTGGTCATACCCTGTTTAACAGGTATGACCTTTTATGTGGCATTAACACAACCAGTCATGTTTTCATCTGATTGTCAAACAATCACTTCAAAAAGGCGCTCCTGTAGGCAACCCGCACATGTTCATCCACTCACAAAATAATTCCATCATCCAAACCCCAACAGTGCACTGTGCACCTGCAATTTGATTAATGGAAAGAGACATCTGTTACAAAACACCTAGGTGTATTATAATGACATTCTGCGATTGTCATTAGGCCTCCACTTGTAGCCTGAATTGATGCATCCACCGTTGACTTTGCGCTCCTCGGTCCCGGCCACTCATCTCCGCCTTGGCAAAAGGTGTTCTCGTCGAACTACAACGCAATTCGCTCATTTCATGCAGCTAACGTGCGGTAATGTTAAATAATGGCCTATATTTTTCTTGGCAATTTGTGTTAATTGTGATAGGCTCACGTTTTACCAGTAAGGCGTACACCCACTATTTATTTTGCTGGGACACCGTACCTTACCAGACCATACCGTACCTTACCAAACCGTACTAGACCTTACCATACCAGACCGGGCCAGACCATACCTTACCAGACCGTACCGTACCATACCGTACCAGACCATACCGTACCATACCGTACCTTACTGTGCCAGACCATACCGTACCTTACTGTGCCAGACCATACCGTACCAGACCATACTGTGCCAGACCATACCGTACCAGACCTTACTGTGCCAGACCATACTGTGCCAGACCATACTGTGCCAGACCATACCGTACCAGACCATACTGTGCCAGACCATACTGTGCCAGACCATACCGTACCTTACTGTGCCAGACCATACTGTGCCAGACCATACTGTGCCAGACCATACCGTACCTTACTGTGCCAGACCATACCGTACCAGACCATACTGTACCAGACCATACTGTGCCAGACCATACCGTACCTTACTGTACCAGACCATACTGTGCCAGACCATACCGTACCTTACTGTGCCAAACCTTACTGTGCCAGACCATACCGTACCTTACTGTGCCAGACCATACTGTGCCAGACCATACCGTACCTTACTGTGCCAGACCATACTGTGCCAGACCATACTGTACCAGACCATACCGTGCCAGACCATACCGTACCATACTGTGCCAGACCATACCGTACCTTACTGTGCCAGACCATACTGTACCGTACCTTACCAGACCTTACCGTACCAGAATATACCGTACCGTACCAGAACATACCGTACCTTACCGTACCAGTTTGGGAAACCCTGGTCTATACGACCTAATCATTCATGTGGACTCAGTGCTCAATTAATTCAAATCTACTCTGCAGACATTTGGAGAGACATTACCAACTGTGAAAGCAGAAATTTTATAGCAGAGAATCAGAAATGTGTATGTATTTTTCATCTCTTTCAGGGCTCCTACCATGGAATGCGATGCCAGGCAAAGCTTGTGGAATGACACTGTCCACTGTCTGCAAAACCAGAGAGGTCAGTAATACAGTCTCTCGTGATGGAACTTGGCAGGACACGTTAAAAACAAAGCGTCTCCAGAGTCTAGAATGTTAACGTCTGACTCATCTCTGACTCTGATTTGTCCTTTTACAGTTCCGTGTGACCTATGACCTGTACATCGCAGCGTTCGCCGGGGCTGGCATCACACTCTTGGCTCTGGTGAGTGACCCTGTCCTAACCTCTTAACTGGGACCAGATTGGCTAAAGCTTTACAATAGAGTTGTGTCCCATGTGACGTAGTCAGTGTAGGTGTTCAGGAATGCCAGAATGTCAGGCCTCCATGGCTGATGAGTCTCACTGTAGCTCTGTTCTTTGACTTGAGTTCTCAGCTGATTTATAATGATAGAATCACCATAAAAATGTCATAACGTCTTGTACTTTTCCTGCTGGGAAGATCCCATAGTTACATTGCCATATCAGTACACTGTTAATGTAGCCTACGGTAGATTGTCATGGACCTTGATGAACATAATAGGTGCATGAAATGGGGCTCGAAATTCTGTCTTATCTCTCTCTCTCTCTCTCTCTCTTTTTGGTCTATGCTCTTTCTTTCCCTGTTTCTCTCTCTCGCTCTCTCGCTGTCGCTCTCTCTCTCTAGCTCACCTACATGGTGTCCACCACTTATAACTTTGCGTTGCTGCGGTACCTGGGGAGAAAGGGCATCGGCACGCGGTGTTAAACTCTCCACCTCCTCCCTCCTGTCTCTCGATCCGACACCGAGACACCCAGAGGAGACACTATGACTCCCTGACACCCCTCTACCTATCCTCAACACCACCGGTGGAGTTGATTCTTTGAACTTTACTGATTGATTCCTTGAACGATTCATATTCTTTCCATTTTCCCTTCACGACCCACCAGCCTTTCCCTGTACTGTGTACTTCATAGCACAATGGGTGGTTTAGTGGAAGTGTTGAGAAACACAGACAACTACTACCTTTGTCTGCTGCTTTGTCACACTGTTCTTCTCATGTTATATTTAGTTTGCTCTGAATCTTCAAGTTAAAGTCTTCTGTATTGTTGTTGTTGTTCTCCATGTGTATTTGATCATGTGTTTGTAAAGATGAATGTAATGTTCCTCATATACTGCAGTTAGTGTGCCTTGCGTACACTCCATGTTTTATCTTTCTTCACTTTTTTAAAACATAAATCACATGGAAAACCTAACTAGTAACTTTGGTAACATAACAAATATCATTTTATTTTACAAACGTCTTCAGTTATAAATGTCATGCTGATTTATGGTTAGGGTACTTGCCTACTTTAAGCTATGGGATTATAATCGGTTACCATGGGTACCATCCCTCACATCTGGTTGCCATGGTGCCAGACAAGTGTGTGTTTGCAGTTCTTCTCTCTGACCTCAGGGCCTTTTCTCACGGGCAGCAGAAAGGCCTCAACAATGGAGGCCGCCCCGCTTAGGACTTCTTAGAAAACTAACCAATCAGAGGGGGTTCCAAGGGTCCACCTGCCCCGGCCGGGGGGGAGGAAGGGGGGTCTGTGTGACAAGTCCCCTTTGTTACTATAGGGACCTTGGTCTGTGGCAAGGGTCAGATTGAATGTCAGAAGGAGAGGGTCTTCATGACAAAGACAGGAGAAAGGCTGAAGGCTTCTCTCAATGGCCTGAATACAACCCTTCTGTGATGGACCCACTGCTGCATAACGCCCCATCTATTGGAGGGGATGGATCCTGTGAAGGGACTTGGAAAGAAAAAAGGGTTAACATTTGTTTGAATGAAGGGATTTCTCATCTGAGAAAAGGGGCAGCATTTCTTGTGTGTGTGCCAGACTTCTGGTTGGTACGGATCAGGAGAAGTCCTTCATTTCTCTGTTTTTAATGTTGACATGGTAAAGTTGTTACAGGTGCTTACTTTTTTTTTTTTTTTAGCAACCTTCATGTTATTTAGAAGTTTAAAACATCTCTGAAGATGCTTGACTCTGTTTGGCACTACATTGAGTTATTATTGCTCTCCCTTCTGGCGGTATATATGGTATCGTTCGCAAGGTATGAGGTTCTGTTATAGAGGCAAAACAATGCAGCTTTTTATATAGTTTTGTCTCTGTAGCTGTCTAGAAGATATTAGTAGTTATTGTATAACACCATACTACTTACTGTAGGTAAATGTACTAACCTTAATGACAATTTAAACAAAAGATGGGATCTCTAACTAACAAAATATCTTGTAACATACTGTGAGTATAGGTTATCCAATTGGGTGGAAGCTTTATCCAACAGCACAGGTTGGTTTTGTGAATTGACGGCTGGCTGTTTGTTTCTTTGCGTTTTATGATATGTTGGTTTGGCAATAAAAGATCTATCCTTTTAAAGAAGTTGTTTTCTCTGTTTCTGTCACGACCGGATATCGAACCCATGACGTCCACGCTACTCCAAGGTTTGGCTACTATTGTCAGAACCCAGAACAAAACCTTGTGTGCCCTGGCCAGCTACTCGATGTGGCATTTATTTGACATTTATGTGAAGTCTGCCACGGGAAACTAGGCTGCTTCATCACACAAGCATAGCTCACTGAACCAATAACTTGGTGTTATTGTAGGCCATGTCCTCCTGGAACTGATGGTGTTCTCTCTCATCTCATCTCTATACAGATACAGTCAGTCAGAGAAAGAAAGGAAGAGCTACGAGCTGTTTGGGAGACTCCGGAAGGACAGTGGAGGGACAATGCGCTCCCTTTACGCCCCCCACATCATATCTGATAGTCTACCTCCTGACTGACCCCCTCATTCCTCCATGGTAACCCCCTGAGAACGATCAGTTGGCGCTGAATCCTTAAACTTGAAGTGCCAGTTTCCCGGACCCAGAATAAGCCTAATCCTGGATTTAAAAGCACTTTCAGTGGAGAATCTCCATTGAGCATGTTTTTTAATCCAGGACTTGGCCTACTAATCTGGGTCTGGGAAGCTGTCCCTCAAAAGATTCCTTCCTAAAATGTAAAAAATAATATTTGCTTTATATTCTTAGTCTTTAAGCCCACAAACCTTCTTGTGTCTGCTTAGCCCAGTGGGTGGTTTAGTTTGGAGAGCTGTTGTTGAAATTCCTGCAGAGTATACTTCTTTCTCCTGCTTTGGATCTAGCTAGTCATTTTAGGACCAGGACAGATTTATTGTCAGGATATTATTCCATGTTAAAATACAGATTCTTTGTATTTATATACAGATGGTCTCACTCTAACCATACATAGGCTGTGAAGTACTATGAAGTTGTTTCAAGTGTGTTCCTTTTGATGTATGTTTACAAGACTTGCATTCAAGCTTAAATTCATAGTAAAAGACTTATGAGTTGTACACAGTGGAGATGTGTTGGACAAAGAACCCTATTTGGCCTTGATATTTTTTTAAAATTAAATGTCCTTCTGAGGGGAAGAATATGAAATGTTACCATATCAAATGTTTAGCTTTTTAGGCCAAATAAAGAAAATATGCAATGTTTACCGTAACTTTCCCTTTTTATGATCCGATTCTAACAATGTACTTTCCAAAGAGTCGTACTCGAGCGCACAGTCTAAAAGAAGCCCCAACCACGGACAAGCCAGTTCCTGTATTTGGTATGTTGCATGTTTGGTTTTATTAGTTGTCGTACAGTATTGGATAGTATTCACACCTACATCAATATGTCTGCATCCCAAATGGAACCCTATTCCCTATATAGTGGGGCCATAGGGCCGATTCCCTTTATAGTGGGGCCATAGGGCCGATTCCCTTTATAGTGGGGCCATAGGGCCGATTCCCTTTATAGTGGGGCCATAGGGCCGATTCCCTATATAGTGGGGCCATAGGGCCGATTCCCTATATAGTGGGGCCATAGGGCCGATTCCCTTTATAGTGGGGCCATAGGGCCGATTCCCTTTATAGTGGGGCCATAGGGCTCTGGTCAAAAGTAGTGCACTATGTACTGTAGTAACTGGGTGCCATTTGGGACGCAGCTCTTTGAAAGGGACAATCTTAACCTCCATAGGGCAACGAAGAGAGGTTTTAAGGAAGGCTTGATGTTGGATTTACAAGCAAACATATGTACAGTGGGGGAAAAAAGTATTTAGTCAGCCACCAATTGTGCAAGTTCTCCCACTTAAGAAGATGAGAGAGGCCTGTAATTTTCATCATAGGTACACGTCGACTATGACAGACAAATTGAGAGAAAAAAAATCCAGAAATCACATTGTAGGATTTTTTATGAATTTATTTGCAAATTATGATGGAAAATAAGTATTTGGTCACCTACAAACAAGCAAGATTTCTGGCTCTCACAGACCTGTAACTTCTTCTTTAAGAGGCTCCTCTGTCCTCCACTCGTTACCTGTATTAATGGCACCTGTTTGAACTTATCAGTATAAAAGACACCTGTCCACAACCTCAAACAGTCACACTCCAAACTCCACTATGGCCAAGACCAAAGAGCTGTCAAAGGACACCAGAAACAAAATTGTAGACCTGCACCAGGCTGGGAAGACTGAATCTGCAATAGGTAAGCAGCTTGGTTTGAAGAAATCAACTGTGGGAGCAATTATTAGGAAATGGAAGACATACAAGACCACTGATAATCTCCCTCAATCTGGGGCTCCACGCAAGATCTCACCCCGTGGGGTCAAAATGATCACAAGAACGGTGAGCAAAAATCCCAGAACCACACGGGGGGACCTAGTGAATGACCTGCAGAGAGCTGGGACCAAAGTAACAAAGCCTACCATCAGTAACACACTACGCCGCCAGGGACTCAAATCCTGCAGTGCCAGACGTGTCCCCCTGCTTAAGCCAGTACATGTCCAGGCCCGTCTGAAGTTTGCTAGAGTGCATTTGGATGATCCAGAAGAGGATTGGGAGAATGTCATATGGTCAGATGAAACCAAAATAGAACTTTTTGGTAAAAACTCAACTCGTCGTGTTTGGAGGACAAAGAATGCTGAGTTGCATCCAAAGAACACCATACCTACTGTGAAGCATGGGGGTGGAAACATCATGCTTTGGGGCTGTTTTGGTGCAAAGGGACCAGGACGACTGATCCGTGTAAAGGAAAGAATGAATGGGGCCATGTATCGTGAGATTGAGTGAAAACCTCCTTCCATCAGCAAGGGCATTGAAGATTAAACGTGGCTGGGTCTTTCAGCATGACAATGATCCCAAACACACCGCCCGGGCAACGAAGGAGTGGTTTCGTAAGAAGCATTTCAAGGTCCTGGAGTGGCCTAGCCAGTCTCCAGATCTCAACCCCATAGAACATCTTTGGAGGGAGTTGAAAGTCTGTGTTGCCCAGCGACAGCCCCAAAACATCACTGCTCTAGAGGAGATCTGCATGGAGGAATGGGCCAAAATACCAGCAACAGTGTGTGAAAACCTTGAAGACTTACAGAAAACGTTTGACCTGTATCATTGCCAACAAAGGGTATATAACAAAGTATTGAGAAACTTTTGTTATTGACCAAATACTTATTTTCCACCATAATTTGCAAATAAATTCATTAAAAATCCTACAATGTGATTTTCTTTTCTCAATTTGTCTGTCATAGTTGACGTGTACCTATGATGAAAATTACAGGCCTCTCTCATCTTTTTAAGTGGGAGAACTTGCACAATTGGTGGCTGACTAAATACTTTTTTCCCCCACTGTATATTCCTACATCACAACTGTATGGTAGTTAGTTTTACACCTCTTACTCAGGTCAAAGCAGACTAACAAACACTTAGGTAAGGTTGAAAATGACATTTCAGTCAGTTTGTACAGTATTGAGGATTGAAATGATTACAATGTACATTAACCATGTCTTTGTGCACTGTGGCAAGCCCAAAGGAAACATGACTGAGTACATTGTTCTTATTCATTCAACATATAGATTAAAAACAAAACAGGTCATCAACATTGGATAGTGGGAGTGAGATAAGACTAGAACTGTATGTTAACAGACATAGCAGTAGAATGTCTGACTTTCCATTGGGTAAAATACATCACGGGTATATATTTTTTTTTACTGTTAAAACAAGCCATTCACATCTCAGTTAATACTTATTTTGTTACGTACCATGACCTGGAACATTCTAATTGTAATTTTGTTAAACTAAATACCACAGGTTGAGTAAATTGACAATCATCAACATCATCAATAGATACAGGTGTACCATGAGATCAGCGTGAACACAGCACAGTGCTAAAGTTTCATTGAACAGTTGGCTCTTTCACAGTGGCTCTCTCTGCTGTACCAGACAGTCATTTCATTTGAATTGAGAAGCAGATTACTTTTACCAATCTAAAAATGACTATTACACACGAACATAACTTTAAAAATGTAACTTGAATCAGTGAATTTCACATCCATGCAAAATAAGAACAATGTATTGTAGTAGTAGTAATGCAACACTGCATTGGTTGATGAATTTGGTAGGCATAGCAACAGTACCATGTTGACGACTAGGTAAAATACTGGAAACAGAGACAGCTGAAGTGTTATCTGTGGATTCAGGCATCTGAAGTATTGTATAACATCAGTAATGCTATTTTCCTTCAAATAACAAACTGCTTAGCAAAGTCATCAACATTTAGCAAACTGATCATTTGATCTAGGCTACATCATTCAAATCCAGTGTAGGTAGGCCAGCATAGGTAAACATTTACAGTGAGGAAAAAAAGTTTTTCTGGATTTTTTTGTTGTTATTCTGTCTCTCACTGTTCAAATAAACGTACCATTAAAATTATAGACTGATCATGTCTTTGTCAGTGGGCAAACGTACAAAATCAGCAGGGGATCAAATACTTTTTTCCCTCACTGTATGTAACATAACAAGCCAAACATGATGTACTCAAACATAATGCTTTTAAGACAATGTTCACTTACAGCACATTGGGAAAGTATTCAGACCCCTTGACATTTTCCACATTTAGTTACGTTACAGCCTTATTCCAAAATGGAGATTTTTTTTTGGTTATCCTCAATCTACACAGAATACCCCATAATGACGAAGCAAAAACAGGTTTTTAGACATTTTAGCAAATTTATTTTTAAAAATTACCTAAAGTATTCAGACCCTTTGCTATGAGATTCAAAATTGAGGTCAGGTGCATCCTGTTTCCATTGATCATCCTTGAGATGTTTCTACAGCTTGATTGGAGTCCACCTATGTATTGGTGGAGTGGGACCTAATATGCTGTCTATATAAGGTCCCACTCCACCAATCAGGCCTTTGTGGTAGAGTGGCCAGACAGAAGCCACTCCTCAGTAAAAGGCACATGACAGCCCGCTTGGAGTTTGCCAAAAGGCACCTAAAGGATTCTCAGACTATTGCGAAATAAGATTCTCTGGTCTGATGAAACCAAACTCTTTGGCTTGAATGCCAAGCGTCACATCTGGAGGAAACCTGGCACCATCCCTACGGTGAAGCATTGTGGTGGCAGCATCATGCTGTGGGGATGTTTTTCAGTGGCAGGGACAGGGAGACTAGTCAGGATCGAGGGAAAGATGAACGGAGCAAAGTACAGAGAGATCCTTGATGAAAACCTGCTCCAGAGCGCTCAGGACCTCAGACTGGGGCGAAGGTTACATTTACATTACATTTACGTCATTTAGCAGACGCTCTTATCCAGAGCGACTTACAGTTAGTGCACACATTTTTTATTTATTTTTTATACTGGCCCCCCGTGGGAATCGAACCCACAACCCTGGCGTTGCAAACGCCATGCTCTAACAACTGAGCTACCTCCCTGCCGGCCATTCCCTCCCCTACCCTAGACGACGCTGGGCCAATTGTGCGCCGCCCCATTGGTCTCCCGGTTGCGGCCGGCTACGACAGAGCCTGGTTCACCTTCCAACAGGACAACGACCCTAAGCACACAGCCAATGCAGGAGTGGCTTCGGGACAAGTCTCTGGATGTCCTTGAGTGGCCCAGCAATAGCCCGGACTTGAACCCGATCCAACATGTGGTCCTCTGTAGCTCAGCTGGTAGAGCACGGCACTTGTAACGCCAAGGTAGTGGGTTCGATCCCCGGGACCACCCATACACAAAAATGTATGACTGTAAGTCGCTTTGGATAAAAGCGTCTGCTAAATGGCATATTATTATTTTATATTATTATCTCTGGAGAGACCTGAAAATAGATGTGCAGCGACGCTCCCCATCCAACCTGACAGAGCTTGAGGGGATCTGCAGAGAAGAATGGGAGAAACTCCCCAAATACAGGTGTGCCAAGCTTGTAGTGTCATACCCAAGAAGACTCGATGCTGTAATTACTGCCAAGGGTGCTTCAACAAAGTACTGAGTAAAGGGTCTGAATACTTATGTAAAAGTGATATTTCCGTTTTTGCCTTGTCATTATAGGGTAGTGTGTGTAGATTGATGGAAAAAAAACAATTTAATCAATTTTAGAATATGGCTGTAACTTAACAAAATGTGGAAAAAGTCAAGGGGTCTGAATACTTTCCGAATACACTGTGTCCCTCTTATCAATACCTATAGGAGAAAATGGTGGTCCTCTGTAGCTCAGCTGGTAGAGCACGGCGCTTGTAACACCAAGGTAGTGGGTTCGATCCCCGGTACCACCCATACACAAAAATGTATGCACGCATGACTGTAAGTCGCTTTGGATAAAAGCGTCTGCTAAATGGCATACTACTACTACTATAAAATGCAAAATCTGTACATTAAAAAGGTACAGTTATTTTCCTTTGTGCTCAGGTTGTTTCACATTCAAATAAGACTTTAAATCAACAAGGCAGATCAGAGGAGTAGAGGGGGGGTCTATGGTATTACATTAAGGACTGGAATGTTCTTATATATTCTGTCTAGAATGTTCTGACTTGAATACTCTAGAGCTACCAATGTCCTAGATTCGATAAGGTTCTACAACTTCCCAATGTTCTATCTAGATCCTAGAATGTTCCAGAGCAGGGCCTATGCGGTAGACAGGCAAGGCAGAAGGGCTGAGGAAACAAACCATCATCACTCTTCCTTAGTGACACACCAACCCAAACACGTTACATGGTAGAAAACCCACAGTAAATATCAGAACATAAATCAACTTCTGAAAAGAAAAATTGATCTGCCATACGCCAAACAAAAACCTGTCACATCTATAAGAAATATGCTTCATTGACTAAGAACATTATATCCCTAACATTGATGTGTCGAGAGACCTGAAAAATGAAAGGGATCTCACAAAGCAGGTACGTACCGTAGTAGGTAAGGGATTAAATTAAAGCAGGCGTCTCCTACAACTCTCACACATAGGACTAACATTTCTCAGATTCAGACAAACCTAGAGAGCCTATAGGATATTTGGAGAGAATACTGGATCCCTCAAATACCTCATATTTACCCAGTGTTAACAGGTATGACAGAACAGAAACATCTTTCCCTTTGGAGAAAATCAAACAAAATCAAATTCCTTTTTTGTGCAGTAAACATTTTCCCCTGGTTCAGTAATGTGTGTAATCAATGTTGTCCGTTTTTAAACTGGACTGGATAAAGTCCAGTTTCGCTTGGAGGTCTATGTCAGTGGATTGTATTATATTCCACCAGTCAGCCAACAGACCATGTCTATATCAGTATTATATTTAATCAATAAGGCCCGAGGATGTGTGGTATATGGCCAATATACCACAGCCAAGGGCTTTTCTTCTGTACGACGCAACGCGGAGTGCCTGGACACAGCCCTTAGCCGTGGTATATTGGCCATATACCACAAACCCTCGAGGTGCCTTATTGCTATTATAAACTGGTCACCAATGTAATTAGAGCAGTAAAAATAAATGTTTTGTCATACCCGTGGTATACGGTCTGATATACCACAGCTGTCAGCCAAATCAGCATTCAGGGCTCGAACCACCCAGTTGATAATAAATTATATTCCACCAGTCAGCCAACTGACCATGTCTATATCATTGTATTATATTAAATTATATTCCACCAGTCAGCCAACCACTGTAATGAGATATGACAGCGTGATAGAGTCACGTTCTGGTCAAAGTACCTATGAAACCTAAGAAGACTTAGCAGACAGACAGAGATAGTAATGGATGAGAATGTTGCGGTGCCACAAGCAGCCTGCGCTCTTGGAGAGGAGAACTGGAAGGATATTAATATGACTTCTGTAGGAGGGCTAGGCCTATATGGTGAAAACACTGCACAGGGCAGGTACATGAAGCTGAAGCTGGCTGGATGGATGTAGAGAGCAGTTTTGTGATATACTGCTGAAAGCAGACCGAGTTGAAAAACATAGTGTACCTGTTACATTTAACCTCATTGATAATCTTTCAAATCAGCTGTGTTGATAACCTGATTTATCTTCTTCGTCTCAGTAGCTTGTCCCTGCATCATGTAGGTAACCATAGAGATCAGTGGAGAGCAGAACACCTCTATGGCTCTCAGGGTGCTCAGGCTAGACAGAGAGGACTCAGGGAGGGGCTAGCTCCGACCAGTCCTTTCAACCAATCAGCAGCAAGAAGAGTGCCGTACTTTACGGTTGCCGTGGAGATCGATAGTGCTACTCAACAACGTGTGGTCGATCTGATCCTCCGCCGCCAGAACCTCCCGTACCGCCGCCTCGAACGCCACTCCCACGTTAGTATCGTCCTTAGCACTGGTCTCGAAGTAGGGACAACAGCCGTTCTCCTCACACCAGGCCCGAGCCTCGTCCTCCCCCACCTCCCTCCCCTCCTTGTCCACCTTGTTGCCCAGGACAACGAAGGGGAACCTCTCTGGGTCTCGTACGTCAGAGTAAAACATGAACTCCTTCTTCCAGGCGGCCAGGTTCTGGAAGCTTTGCAGGTCGTCTACAGCGAAGGTGAGGAGGCAGCAGTCGGCACCACGGTAGAATGGCGTCCTCAGGGACTTGAAGCGCTCCTGACCTGCCGTGTCCCAGATCTGAAGGGTCACCAGGCGCCCGTCCACCTGGAGGGAGGAAGTGAATGAAAACTTTAATTGTACCGAAGAGAAACCTTTATTGCCCCCAAAGACAATGACATTTGTAAATAATCAAGATATAAAACAGTAGACAGGAAGAATCAATGGCAGTAGTACAGCATACAGTAAAACATTTTGTAGTCCACTGCACTAGACTATATAGAGAATAGGTACAATAAGTATAAATCAATTGAACAAATAACTGCTCAATTTAAATTGACGAACTGTATCGATGTTGTCTGCTGTAGTTATTGCTTGTGATTAATGTACACTACCGTTCAAAAGTTTGGGGTCACTTAGAAATGTCCTTGTTTTTGAATGAAAAGCAAATGTTTTGTCCATTAAAATAACATCAAATGGATCAGAAATACAGTGTAGACATTGTTTATGTTGTAAATGGCTATTGTAGCTGTAAACGGCTGATTTTTAATGGAATATCTACGTAGGCGTACAGAGGCCCATTATCAGCAACCGTCAGTCCTGTGTTCCAATGGCACGTTGTGTTTGCTAATCCAAGTGTATAATTTTAAAAGGCTAATTGATCATTAGAAAACCCTTTTGCAATTATGTTAACACAGCTGAAAACTGTTGTGCTGATTAAAGAAGCAATAAAACTGGCCTTCTTGAGACTAGTTGAGTATCTGGAGCATCAGCAATTGTGGGTTCGATTACAGGCTCAAAATGGCCAGAAACAAAACTTTCTTCTGAAACTCGTCAGTCTATTCTTCTTCTGAGAAATGAAGGCTATTCCATACGAGAAATTGCCAAGAAACTGAAGATCTCGTACAACGCTGTGTACTGCTCCCTTCACAGAACAGCGCAAACTGGCTCTAACCAGAATAGAAAGAGGAGTGGGAGGCCCCGGTGCACAACTGAGCAAGAGGACAAATACATTAGTGTGTCTAGTTTGTGAAACAGACGCCTCACAGGTCCTCAACTGGCAGCTTCATTAAATAGTACCCGCAAAACACCAGTCTCAACGTCAACAGTGAAGAGGCGACTCCGGAATGCTGACCTTCTAGGCAGAGTTGCAAAGAAAAAGCCATATCTCAGACTGCCCATCTTAATCTTTTCTCTTTATTGGCCAGTCTGAAATATGGCTTTTTCTTTGCAACTCTGCCTAGAAGGTCAGCATCCCAGAGTCGCCTCTTCACTGTTGACGTTGAGACTGGTGTTTTGCGGGTACTATTTAATGAAGCTGCCTTAGGACCTGTGAGGCGTCTGTTTCACAAACTAGACACACTAATGTATTAGTTATTTGTTTCTGGCCATTTTGAGCCTGTAATCGAACCCACAATTGCTGATGCTCCAGATAGTCAACTAGTCTCAAGAAGGCCAGTTTTATTGCTTCTTTAATCACCACAACAGTTTTCAGCTGTGCTAGCATAATTGCAAAAGGGTTTTCTAATGATCAATTAGCCTTTTAAAATGATAAACTTGGATTAGCAAACACAACGTGCCATTGGAACACAGGACTGATGGTTGCTGATAATGGGCCTCTGTAGATATTCCAGGCCACTAGAAGACCTCCTAAATCTATGGATTTTACAGGTTACAGTCCACCAACTTTAACTCTATGGGCTCTATGACCGATCCGCGCCCCCCACCTTTAAGCGGCGGGCTCCAGCAGTAAAAGCTGGAGGCCGGAAAAGAGTGAGACAGGTAGCGCGCAAAAGTAAAAGTGGAACCGAGAGTGGTACGAGAGACAGAACGAGAGACAGAACGAGAGCAAGACAGACAGACATTACGAGAGCGAGACAGTTTGTGCAAAGGAAGTTTTCATGCACAAACCCTCATTATGGAAAACAAACGTAGAAATGCATATGATGCAGCTTTTAAGTTAAAGGCAGTCAATCTGGCTGTCAAAACATCCACGATCATTAACGGGTTCCGAAAGGCTGGACTGCTGCGTGATGAAGAGGAGGACGCCGCCACAGCTGAGGCCCTTCAGAGGCTGTTCGATTCCGACAGTGACGAAGAGGAGTTCGTTGGTTTTGAGAGCGACAACGAAGGAGAGAGGAGAGTGGCTGACGAAGCCACCCTGAGCCTGTTCGTTTCCGACACTGAAGATGAGGACTTTGGTGGTTTTAGTACGCAGGAAGAAGACGGAGATGAGGATTAATGACTTGACTTTTCTGGTTACAGCCGTGTACTGCACCTTAGCCTAAAAGATGAAGACGAGGATTAATGACTTTTCTGGTAGGCTGATTACCGTATATTTTAAGCAGCCGTTTTGCTGCAACTTTAGGCTTACGCGCTTACTGTCGTGTTACAGGCACTTTATTTTGCACTTTCAAAAAAACACATTTAATTTAGCCATTGATATTGCCTCGTCAAGCGCTGTAAGCTTTGTTTTTTGTTATGGTACTACTATAGGCTATAATGTAGATAAATATTCAAAGATGTGCACACTTTTTCAAGGTTTTTCAAAAATAACCAAAGTTAAGTGGTTAAATGATTGTGACGCTATTAACTAATTTAGCTGGGGAACCCCTAGCACTCCCTCAAGGACCACTGGTTGAAAACCACTGCTGTAGATCACTGCCGGTATGTGCGCTGGGAGCGCACCGTTTAAGTTTGAAAGTTGAAAAGTTTGTGTGTCTGAAACGCTATGTGATACAGTACAGTTTACACAGCACAGTATATGTTCTGTAGCTACTATTGCACTAAATGGTAACACTTGAATACGTTATGCAAATATGCAACTTGTTTGTTGAAATGTTAATAAATGGGAGCTTCCTCAAGCAGCCATCTCTTTCCCGACAATCCCCTCTGTGCACGAACCCTTACATATGGTAATTAAACATTAAAACACCTGCGGCTTATAGTCCAGTGCGGCTTATATATGTACACATCATTCAATTTAGCTGCTGCGGCTTATACTCCGGTGCGCCTTATAGTGCGGAAAATACGGTACTTATGTATTTATGCACTTATGTGGTAATGCTGTGGTTTGTTGAGATGCAAGACACATTTCCAGAAAGGGACACACAATAATTATTATTCAATTTCAGACAGACCTTGGCTCTATCTCCTCGCCTCCTTCTTAATCTTATTGGAGGAGAAGGTCCAAGGTCCCTCCCCTCATTTTGCAGTTTGAGAAGGCGGCAAGGAGATATAATGCGAAGAATCAAGAACATACTAATTCAGAAACAGCTATAAATCTGACCTCCAGGTCTCTGTTGAGGAACTCGACCCCGATGGTGTGGAAGGACTGGGAGTCGAAGCGGTCTGTGACGTAGCGGTTCATTAAGGAAGACTTCCCCACGCCACCATCCCCCAGCAGGATCACCTTTAACAGCAGGCTCTTCCCGCTCATCACAAACCTCCCTCCGCTGCTAGGTGCCACAGCTCACCAGGTCATTCCAGGACCAGGCCCCCTCCCTCCGCTGGCCTGGAGCTGAGCCTCCTAGTTGGGTTACTGACCACTGTGGCCCAGCCTCCACCTCGATGCTAGGCTACTTGGCTAGTACTAGCAGGGTCAATGCAACCTAAAGGAGGAGCAGAGAGATTCATGTTATTGGTATTTGCAAGATGTTACAGGTGTAGCGAAATACAGTGCAGGAATACCTAACAATACAAGCAAATCCGAAAATGTATAGAAAGAAATTAAGAAATATTAGAACGAGCAATGTCCAGAATATAAATATATGTTTATGATGGTGTGTATGGACAGTATGTGAATAGAGAAGGTGTGTACAACAGTAGTTATATAGGATGATCCTTGACTAGAATACAGTATATACACATATTACATTTTATTGGTTGCGTACACATATTTGGCAGATGTTATCGCGGTGTAGCGAAATACTTAGGTTCTTAGCTCCAACAGCGCATTTATGTCTAACAATACAATAGTTATATAGGATGAGCCTTGAATAGAATACAGTATATACATATAAAGTGAGTGAAACAGTATGTAAACATTATTAAAAAGTGACCAGTGTTCAATGACTATGTACATAGGGCAGCAGTCTTTAAGGTGCAGGGTAGAGTACCGGGTGGTAGCCGGCTAGTAACAGTGACTAAGGTTCAGGGCAGCGTACTGGGCGGAGGCCAGCTAGTGGTGACTATTTAACAGTCTGATGGCCTGGTGATAGAAGCTGTTTTCCAGCTTTGATGCACCTGTACTGTCTCCACCTTCTAGATGGTAGCGGGGTGAACAGGCCGTAGCTTGGGTGGCTGAGGTCCTTGATGATCTTCTTGGCCTTCCTGTGTCACCGGGTGCTGTAGATGCCCTGGAGGGCAGGCAGTGTGCCCCGATGATGCGTTGGGCTGACCGCACCACCCTCTGGAGAGCCCTGCGGTTGCAGACGGTGCAGTTGCCATGCCAGGCTGTGATACAGCCTGACAGGATGCTGTCAATGGTGCATCTGTAGAAGTTTGTGAGGTTCTTTGAGTCCAAGCCGAATTTCTTCTGCCTCCTGAGGTTGAAGAGGCGGTCTGTGTGGGTGGACCATTTCAGATTGTCAGTGATGTGCACGCCAAGGAACAAAGCTTTTCACCCTCTCCACTGCAGCCCCGTCGATGTGGATGGGGCGTGCTCCCTCTGCTGTCTCCTGAAGTCCACGATCACCTCCTTCATTTAGTTTACGTTGAGGGAGAGGTTATTTTCCTGGCACCACTCCGCCAGGGCCCTCACCTCCTCCCTGTAGGCTGTCTTGTCATTGTTGGTAATCAGACTTACTACTGTTGTGTTGTCTGCAAACTTGATTGAGTTGGAGACATGTGTGGCCACGCAGTCACGGGTGAACAGAGAGTACAGGAGGGGGCTGAGCACGCAGCCTTGTGGGGCCCCCTGTGTTGAGGATCAGCGTAGCGGAGGTGTTGTTGCCTACCTTCACCATCTGGGGGCACATCTGGAATTCCAGGCCCAGTTGCATAGGGTGGGGTTCAGACCCAGGAACCCAAACTTAGTGATGAGCTTGGAAGGCACTATGGTGCTGTAGCTCAACTGGTAGAGCACGGCGCTTGTAACGCCAAGGTAGTGGGTTCGATCCCCGGGACCACCCATACACAAAAATGTATGCACGCATGACTGTAAGTCGCTTTGGATAAAAGCGTCTGCTAAATGGCATATTATTATTATTATTATTATTATTATTATTATTATTGAAGACAGAGCGGTAGTCGATGAACAGCATTCTTACATAGGTATTCCTATTGTCCAGATGGGATAGGGTAGTGTGCAGTGCAATTGCGTCATCAGTGGATCTGTTCGGGCAGTATGCAAATTGTAGTGGGTCTAGGGAGTCGGATAAGGTAACTAGCCTCTCAAAGCACTTCATGATGACAGAAGTGAGTGCTACGGGGCGATAGTCATTTAGTTCAGTTACCTTCGCTTTCTTGGGTACAGGAACAATGGTGGACATCTTGAAGCAAGTGGGGACAGCAGACTGGGATAGGGAGAGATTGAATATGTCTGTAAACACTCCAGCCAGCTGGTCTGCACATGCTCTGAGAAAGCAGCTAGAGATGCCGTCTGGGCCGGCAGGCTTGCGAGGGTTAACACACTTAAATGTGTTACTCACGTCGTTCACACGGTGGCGGCCATACGTTTTCCTCCAAGTGGGCGAAGAAGGTGTTTAGTCCGTGAGCAAGGCGTCGGTGTACGCAACGTGGCTGGTTTTCCCTTTATAATCCATGATTGTCTGAGGTCCCTGCCACATACGTCTCAGTGTCTGAGCCGTTGAATTGCGACTCCACTTTGTCTCTGTACTGTTGTTTTGCCTGTTTGATTGCCTTACAGAGGGCATAGCTGGACTGTTTTACTCATCCATGTTCCCAGTCTCCTTGCCGTGGTTAAATGAGGTGGTTCGCGCGTTCAAATTTGCGTGAATGCTGCCTTCTATCCACGGTTTTTGGTTTGGATAAGTTCTAATCGTCACAGTGGGAAACATCCTCTATACACTTCCTGATTAATTCAGTCACTGAGTCAGTGTATACATCAGTTTTTTTTTTAGAGACAACCCAGAATATATCCCAGTCCGCGTGATCAAAACAATCTTGAAGCATAGATTCTGATTGGTCAGACCAATGTTAAACAGTCCTTACCATGGGTACTTCCTGTTTCAGTTTCTAGGAAGGGAGGAGCAGAATGGAGGCATGATCTGATTTGTAGAAGGGAGGGTGGGGGAGGGCCTTGTAGCCGTCCTGGAAGGGGGAGTAGCAATGGTCAAGAATTCTTGATGACCAAGTAGCACAGGCAATGTGTTTATAAAACTTTGGTAGCGTTTTTCTCCGATTTGCTTTATTAAAGTCCCCAGCTACAATAAATGCGGACTCAGTATATGTGGTTTCCAGTTTGTACAAAGTCCAGTGTAGTTCCTCGAGAGCCGTCATGCTGTCAGTTTGAGGGGGAATATACACGGCCGTGATGATGGCCGAAGAGAATTATCTTGGGAGGTAATGCGGTCGACATTTGATAGTGAGGTATTCCATATCGGGAGAACGAAAGGACTTGAGTTCCTGTACGTTACCACAATCACACCATGAGTAGTTAATCATGAAACATACACCTCCGCCTTTCTTTCTTCTTGTCCGTGCGATGTACGGAGAACCCCGCTGGCTGTACGGACGGGAACAATATATCTGGAGAGAGCCATGATTCCGTGAAACAGAGTATGTTACAGTCCCTGATGTCTCTCTGGAAGGAGATCCTCCACATGAGCTTGTCTACTTTATTGTCCAGGGACTGAACATTTAAGAGTAATATACTCGGAAGTGGTGGATGGTATGCACCCTTCTGAGTCGTACTAAACGACTCTGTATTCCTCTTCTCGTCAGCGGCATCTTGGAGCAGCCCCTGGGAGCAGTGGAAATGCCTCTGGGGGTACGAACAAAGGATCCAACTAAGGAAAGTCGAATTGCTGGTCGAAATGCTGGTGAGGGACCGCCGATCTAATATCCAAAAGTTATTTTCAGCTGTAGGTAATAATGCAAGAAATGTTCTGAACAAGTAATATAAGAAATAATAACACAACAACAAAAACTAAATACTGCAAAGTTGTCTGGTAGCTAGGAATAGAAGACCATGTCTGTCAGCGCCATCTTGTACTCGTCAGTTAACAGCAGCATAATCATCTATATACAAATCACAGACCACACTCATTGGCAAGCATTTGCTTTGTGTTCATGAGAGGCCGAAGACCTAACAGCAACCTGAGAGATACATGCTGGAAGATACTGACAATGTGCAACACAATTTAGGCCTAGACAAAAAAAAAATACATCAAGTGGCTGTCTTTCACCAGGAGGAGAAGTGGAGGAGAGTAGCTAGAGACAGAACAACAGAGAATGTTACTAAAACTGACACAAACTAAATTAGCAGCAGCCTTAAAAATGGTAACAAGAATACTGATACAAAAACATAATCTCTCTTCCCACACCCACTGTATCTGGAGCGCCATAAATCTGGCAACCCAGACTAACAGAACAACTATTTGGAAGTGATGTCCCTCCTGTCTGGGATGTGCGAGGTCAAGAGATATGTGTAAGGTCACCAGGGTGGCTGTCCTCAGGGACACCTGATAGGGGTGAATGACCCTGAGAAGAAACTCCCCCTCTCACAAGCCCAGGGATTGGTTGAGCTGGAGATTGGCACATCGTAAAATGTACTACTGATGAGCTAAAGTTCCTCTGCTGTACATCATGATGCCCATGTTGTTGATAACAATGTAGCTATAGGAAGCAACCCTGAACCAGTATACAGTATGGTTGAAAATCACATGGGAGAAATAAGTATTAATGCTGCAAGTGACATGGTTCTTGATTTACAATACAGCTTCAGTAAACTGCTTCTTATTATACCACATAAAGAGATGAGGCTGAGAGATCCCAATAATAGATAGTTAGTTAACTCACAACAACTCAGAATGTATCCTCTACTGCCAGAGACTTTCATAACAACAACGAGTCAGGAAGACGAGCACACAACTGACTCAGGTAGGGTGCCCCCGACACTGCCCCGACGCTGCTCCATGACATGCACCAGCTTGCTGTCAAAAGGTGTTTCAATGGGTGATTCTCACAAAACATGACAACTAAAAAGCACATTTTCCACCATAATTCCTCTTGGATCACTAACATTAGGATCTGTATTTATCTATTTCATAATTATTGTTATGTTTATTGATAAGATATTATGTATTTTACCACAATTACCAACGCAAAATGTCTCATTACCGCAATAGTTTTGGAAATCCCAAAAAGTAATAAACAAATCAATTTCTTTTTTTTTCTTTTTTTATATTCCTCACCTAATAAAAGGCCTGAGTTAAATATGACACTGAAAACAAATATTAAAATTGTATTAACATTTATTTTGCAATTTCTCATTACCGCAACACATTTTCTGAATCTTGTTTTGTGTCATAATTACATGTTATTTTTATGTGGGTAAAGAACAAAAGTCATACTATCAGATTAAAAGCCAAAATGACTAAAGTATACATTTTATTTTTCCTAATTTCCTAAATATTGGTGCATTACGGTAATGATAAGCAGGTTTCGCAGATTAGAATGCATGTTTTGGTATTGAGGGTTTCATAGTTTGCCATTGAAAAACTGTACTGAGCTCTATTTGAGATTCAGTAACCCAATACATCAAACTGTGTCATTTGTTAATCCCAAATGACCTGCATAATACTATAATCCCTGATCGTAATGCAATTGACTAAAACACTCCATATTTTAGCATAAGGACTGTAATTACATGCATGTATTTTCAAAAGTCCAGTGGACTGAAGCATAAAAAAAGTTACTTTAAAAAAAGTGGGTTTTTTCAAAGGTCTTTACAGGTAATATTTGCGTATTGGGATATGGATGTGTGTGGTTCTAAGGTATTTTAAATGTATTTCTAATTTGAATGGGATCCTATGGGCAAATGGCATAACATGATATGCCTATAATTTTATTTTATTTATTTCACCTTTATTTAAGCAGGTAAGCCAGTTGAGGACAAGTTCTCATTTACAACTGCGACCTGGCCAAGATAAAGCATAGCAGTGCGATAAAAACAACAACACAGAGTTACATATGGGGTAAAAAAACAAAGTCAAAAAATACAACAGAAAATATATATACAGTGTGTGCAAATGTAGCAAGTTATGGAGGTAAGGCAATAAATAGGCTATAGTGCAAAATAATTACAATTAGTATTAACCCTGGAATGCTAGATGTGCAAGAGATTATGTGCAAATAGAGATACTGGGGTGCAAAAGAGCAAAATAAATAACAATATAGGGATGAGGTAGTTGGGTGGGCTAATTTCAGACGGGCTGTGTACAGGTGCAGTGATCGGTAAGGTGCTCTGACAACTGATGACAACGTATCTAAATATGTGGGATATGGACAAGCAACTGTCTTGGGATACCTAAAAACAGTATAGGTAAGTGCTAAAACAGGTACACGTCAAATTGGGGAATATCCTCTTTTAAGTGGCAGTTGCTCTTTGCTGAAACACAAACTCCAGATTGTGGCATTAAGTAAATTAAAATGGGGTTTATAAACCCATATTTATTGACAACCCCTACTTAATCAAATAACTGTTCTACAAAAAATCTATACAATAGGCGTTACCAGCACAGCACACCCATTGACTATACATTAGAATGAGCTTATTATCATTACCGAAACTGACCCTAAAAATTAGGCAGTAATGAGAAGTGTGTTTCGCAATGACAGGCCCTTTGCTCAATCTACAAGTAATAGGAGACTGGCATCATGATTCAGCAAACAATTGACCACATCAGTAAAGGCCATTCATGCCTCCATGTTGGTACGGTAATGGTTCTTCATGTTTTTCCCAATTTTAGCTTTTTAGTCATTACAGTAATGAGAAGGTTAAGTGTCGTAAAGAGGGTGTTTGAGAATAAGATCTACTGAAGGCATATAGGTGAAGAAATGAAATTAACTAAGGTCTGCTCCTCTAGATGATGCATCATGGGTGAATACAACTTTATTTCAAACAGGATTGGAGTTTTTACAGCAACTTGAAAAAGTGTTATTGTAATGAGAAACATGTCCACAGACAGTTTTTACATAAATAAATATAATTTTAATGTAAACTTCTATTAATGTATACAATGTTATGATTTATGGACAAACTACAGCAACATTGTGTTTTATTCAAGTAAGTTAGCTAGGTTTTTCTAAAGTAAAATTGTATAAAATGACCCGAGAATTTTATCCAGAAGGATTTCGGTAATGAGAATTTGGGGTGAAAATGTCTAAAATTCAGGCGAAAATGTTAAATGTATTTAAACCTAGACACTGTGCCATAAACTAGGCATCTTAGTCTCCAGAATTATAATTTATTCTTGCAGAAGCATCATGGTTTTCTAACTCAAGTAGCTAGTGCCATGATTAAAACTGGTTTCATTAGAATCATCAAATTAGTAGCTAACCTCAACTACCTGCTATATTGTTGTTCTGATGCCATTTTATTGTAGATAATGAAATCTGAGGGTTCCCATTTCGTAAATGTAGCTTGATATTACACAGGACATCTAGATATATATATAAGGATGAATAGCTAGCAAATGAAATGGCGACTATGTAATGATGATGATAATGTTTTTTTTTTAAAGCCAAACAGTAGCCAGCCAGCTACTAGTAGCCTGTTCCCGTTAGCTAGCTTTCCACTGGGCTGGGTTGTGATGTTGACATCAATTGTTGTGAATTATTCAACTAAACTATGAATAAATAGACCGGTTTGATCAAACGTGCACCATAATCAATATTACTACATGTGACTGCATTAATGTAAGGCGTAAAATCGTTTTCGTTACCTCATTTTGTACCATGATATGAGTCTTGACTTGCCCAGTTTTGCATCTGAGATGTGATGTGCTGTGAACTTGCTTGTTGGAGTTGCAGCGCGTCCCCTGTCTTTTACAGTCCAGTGTAATCGTTAGTCAAAACAGGTGCGTTTTGCAACGGAAAACGAGAGTTGCTATTGGACAAATTCAGTTGTTCGCCTCGTTTAATTCAGTTTGCTTCCGTTTAAGAAACGTTTTGCAACATAATTGGCGTAATGAATATACTCCTGACTCCAGTCCTGACGCGTAGTCCTAAAGCCCACAATGTATTTCCCATCCCTGGCCCATTTATTTATTTTGCTGTCAAATTTGGTTCATCCTCTGTGAGTCTGGATACTTCGACATGTTCAAATGGCCCTGCTTTGACTGTATATATTCTCTATTTATTTATTTATTTTTAATGTTTTATCGCTGTAGAAAATAATGTGAAAGTGCACAGTCAGTGTGTGATTCCACTCCAGAACTGTAGATGGTAGTAATGCACTAAACGTAGATTTGGCGTGGAGACGCGTACCAGAGGAAGATCCCAGATTGTTTCCCTTTCTTTCTCTCCACCCAAATAAACATTTCCAGAGGAAATTCCTGAGTTCAGAGACAGGCAGGAAAAAAAGAGAGAGGAACGCATCTACATTCATGTGTTTATTGTAATGATAACGGTAAGAATACGTGCGTCTGATTGTGTCCGTCAAAGAGTGGTTGCTTCAGTATCTAGCCAGAGAGATGGCTTTGATCTGTACTATGACGTAGCTGACTGGCTAGCTATAGTGGATCAGTATATTTAGTGGCTGTATATAGTGAAATATCACCGTGTAGCTATCATGTAAGTGAACCCGTCCAGAGCCATCTATTGCATGCCAGTACGAAGCATATCTATGGGCCAAAAACATCCATAGACTATGGCTGTATACTTGACTAGTGTGCAGTGTGCAAGCAGACAGAATCCAATAAAAGCATGATGTCTGATCTATGTAATGTCTCTCTCTGGTTCTCAGATGTCGGTGGAGGGGAGGCTAGGGGGCCAGGCTGGTGCCCTGCTGTGTGTGGCTGTGTCTGGGGCTGCTGTGTCTCCTGTCCACCCTTGCCCTGTTCCTGGTCCCAGGACCCCCTTTACGTTGGCGACCCCATGGATACTGGGTACTCCGTGGATGCAGATCGGGGTGCCTTCCAGGCGCAGAGTGCCCTGTCTGACATGGAGTTCTCTTCCATTGCTTCCTACGGCGTCCCCGGCAACAATGACTCACGTGGCAACAAGGAGCTGCCCATCCTGTTGTGGTGGAGTGCAGGACTCTTCCCTCGTTTCCCCGGAGACACAGAACGCATCGACTGTCACTCCTCCTCCTGTCTGGTCACACGCAATAGGAAGGTCTGTGGTTCTAGTATTATAGCTTGGTCTTCCAGTGGTTTATTCTGTTGTGTGTTGTCCTAGCCTGGTCCCAGATCTGTTTGTGCTGTTTTGCCAACTCCTATGGCTATGGCCATTGTCACACCAAACAGATCTGGGACCAGGCTAGTGTTATCGTTGTGATCTGTTAATACACGTTGTTTATAATATGTTATTAATAATAGCCCCTGTCTTTTTCATGACCATGGATTTCCGTTTGTATTGACAGCAATGTGGATATGAATAAACTGGAACCATCCTGATCTCTACAGGTTCAACTGGACCGACGCACCTCCTCCATCATCTTCTATGGGACAGACTTCAGGGCCTACGAGGCTCCTCTTCCCAGACCCTCTCACCAGACCTGGGCCTTCTTCCACGGGGAGTCCCCCATGAACAACTACGTCCTGTCCCACAGCCCAGGCATCAGGCTGTTTAACTACACAGGTACAGGGAGACAATGTGTCAACTCTTATCTTGTGTAAATAAATGAAAGGGTACTTGGAGCCAACAATCGCTCACATAAAAAAATAAGCTTGCTCCCAAATGGCACCCTATTCCCTATATAGTGCACTACTTTTGACCAGGGCACAGAGGGCTCTAGTCGCAGACTCAAACAAAGGACACCACTCACTTTAATGAATATAATTTGCAATCAAAGCTTTGTTTTACTTTTCTTTTTCTCGTAGCAACATGTCTTAATAGACCATACACTCCCTTCGTTCATTTTGGATGTTCAACTCCACAGCCACCTTCAGGAGGGGCTCAGACTACCCTCTGACCCTGCAGTGGTTGCCCTCCATGGGATACCTGCTCCAGCCTGTAGCCGTGTCTCTGGAGCAGAAGAACCACTGGAGGAGAGAGGGCCTGGCCCCAATCATGTACATGCAGTCACAATGCGACATCCCCTCTGACAGGGACAGAGATGTACAGAAACTCATGAAGTACATAGAAGTACAGTGATATGGAATGTGTTCCCTCCTAGCCTAGATGTTTTGATATAAAGGAATGTTGTCTGGTTTTTATTGTTGTATCCCATGATTTGGTGGACTGGCAACCATTTGTGTGAATTGAGCCCTCTAGTCTAGTCCTAACTTTTCACCCAACTACCTATTTCTTTGTCCCCTGTTCACCCACCCACCCACTCTTTCTCTCTCTCTCTCTCTCTCTCTCTCTCTCTCTCTCTCTCTCTCTCTCTCTCTCTCTCTCTCTCTCTCCTCCCCCTCTCTCCCCCCTCCCTCCAGGTGGACTCGTATGGGAAATGTCTGAACAATAAGCCCCTCCCCCAGTACCTGGAGGACACAAGCACAGCCACAGGGGAGGACGCCGGCTTTATGAGCCCTGGAGAACGGCCTGTGTCAGGTAAGAGAGGGAGTAATAGAAAGAGAGAGACTATTTAGGTTTATAGGCAAAATCATGTTTGTAACTCGTGTTTTTAGCTTGCCCTTCAATTAATGATTTTATCATTGTTTTAGACATCCTTTGCGTTTGCATTTTTTGATTAATCTCTCTTATACAATAGGAACTGAATGGTGAATAATGTATTGTGTCATTTTGAAGTCACTTTTATTTTAAATAAGAATAGAATATGTTTCTTAACACTTCTACATGAATGTGGATGCTACCATGATTATGGATAATCATGAATTAATCATGAATAATGATGAGTGAAACAGTAAGAGGAAGAAAAAAATGCTAACCTCCCGTTATTGATCATTTTGGGGGTATAATCTTTGTTCCTATGTAACTTTCTCCCTCGTCATTATGTCAAGTAAAGGGTGACATTCTGTACAGTTGCCTCATATGAAACAAATCCAAAATGTATACTGAACAAAAATATAAACACAACATGTAATGTGTTGGTCCCATGTTTCATTAGTTGAAATAAAAGATCCCAGAAATGTTCCATGTGCAGAAATGTGTTTACATCCCTGTTAGTGAGCATTTCTCTTTTGCCAAGATAATCCATCCACCTGACAGATGTGGCATATCAAGAAGCTGATTAAACAGCGTGATCATTACACAGGTGCACCTTGTGCTGGGGACTATAAAAGGCAGCTCTAAAATGTGCAGTTTTGTCACACAACACAATGCCACAGATGTCTCAAGTTTTGAGGGAGCGTGCAATTGGCATGCTGACTGCAGGAATGTCCACCAGAGCTGTTGCCAGAGAATTGAATGTTCATTTCTCTACCAAAACGTTGTTTTAGAGAATTTGGCAGTACGTCCAACCGGCCTCACAATCGCAGACCACATGTAACCACGCCAGCCCAGGACCTCCACATCCGACTTCTTCATCTGCGGGATCGTCTGAGACCAGCCACCCAGACAGCTGATGAAACTGAAGAGTATTTCTGTCTGTAATAAAGCCCTTTTGTGGGGAAAAACTCATTCTGATTGGCTGGGCCTGGCTCCCCAGTGGAAGGGCCTATGCCCTCCCAGGTCCACCCATGGCTGCACCCCTGCCCAGCCATGTGAAATCCATAGATTAGGGCCTAATGAATTTATTTCAATTGACTGATTTCCTTATATGAACTGTAACTCAGTAAAATTGTTGCACATTGCGTTTTATATTTTGGTCAGTGTATATATACAATTATATTTGTGTTTGTGGAGGAATTTATTTATACCGCATGAAGACTATTGCGCTACGATTTTGAGCATTTACGATCCATTAAAAACAGAAACGTTTTCAAAAACGTAAACTTCCTGGTTACTTTCATAGCTGTTTCTTTGTATTCATCTCTTTCATTGTTTTAACTGTAAAGCATGTTGTGATTTTTAAATGCACTTTTAATAAAGTTGGATTTGATTTTATCCAGGACTACATGACAGAGAAGCTATGGCGGCCTCTCCACCAGGGCTGTGTACCGCGGCTCCTCCTCAGTAGCTGACTGGATGCCCAACGACCACTCTGTCATCCTTATCGATGACTTCCCATCACCTCAGGACCTAGCCAAGTTCCTCAAGGCGCTGGATGAGAACGATGAAGAGTACGCTAGATATTTAGAGTTTAAGAAGCCGAGCCGTGTTACCAACGTTGGCCTGTTGGAGGCACTGGAGAGCAGGAAGTGGGGCGTGAACGACATGAGCAAACCCAACTACCTCAACGGCTTTGAGTGCTATGTCTGTGACCAGGAGAATACCAGACTGGCAGCGGAACAGGCCTATAGGAAAGCCCCAGAGAAGAGCCCGCCTCCCCAGCCTAAGATGGCCAATAATTCTCATATGGGATGTCCTCTACCCAGCCCAGGGTTTGTAGACCTTCAGGACCTACACACCAATGGCAGGCAGGCACCACCAGCCTCTGAAATAAAGGGCTTTATCTTTGTGAAATGTTAGGCTTTGACTGTATAGTACATTATGACAGTATACTGTTTGCAGTGAGAGATATTCCTCCATTGAGTGTCTTAACATGTCTTAACATCCACACACAAAAGTTTTTCTCCTAACATTTCAAATAAATTGCTGTGCTTATTGGCTTTATTCATTTATTATTGTGTGTTTTTTCAGCTGGGTCCAGATGTGGCCGCAGGACTACTGGCAGAGCCTAGATCAGGCTGAAGGATTGGAGTCTCTCATCAGACATAACGAGTCGGACCCTGCACTTCTCTGGCATCACGTCCAGGAGATGGCTATGAGGAGGGTTCCAGAGGAGGACAGGCATAACTAGTCGAACCCTGAAATGCTGAGGAACCACATACAGGAGGAGAGCCAGAGGTAACTGAGAAAAGTTCCTTATTGTCAGTATTTTTTGACTGAAAAAGGACAAGGAAATAAAGCCATCTATTTGTCCAGAGACCTGCACCCCTAAACAGTGGGGCGTGGCCAAAGTGGATCCGCAAACCAGAGAGATGTGGACCAGCAATAAGAATCAATGAACTGCTACTGAACTATCGGTAGTGTAGACTGTAGAGGATAGAGAAGATGTGAAAATATATACAGTATCAGCTGGTAGAGCATGGCGCTTGTAACGCCAAGGTAGTGGGTTCGATCCCCGGGACCACCCATACACAAAAAATTATAATAATAATGTATGCACGCATGACTGTAAGTCGCTTTGGATAAAAGCGTCTGCTAAATGGCATATTATTATAATTATTATAATGCCATCCACTTGAGGTGTCTGGTATATTGAGGGGTCTGTAGCATCTGTGGCACCAAAGGGCCTAATGTATGTCAAAGTTACAGTAGATGTTTTGTTACTCCTCTCTGCAATGAAAAACGTTGTGCAATATATTTGATCTTGTTCTATAGGTCTCAAACCTGTCGCCATAACTGCTCTTTTCAACAGTCTTGTCAACACTCCATGTACAAAACATATTTATATCATGTTTATATAAATCCGTTTTATTGTTATTGTGAGACAAAACGTCAAAGGCAATTAAAAACTGGAGAAAAAAAATGTGTATTTACTTTGCATTGTCAAGCTTGAAAGTAGAAAATTGTACCCAACCACCAATCTACATAGCCAGTTCCCTGTTAAATATTTACATACAGTATCTTCATATTTCACAATACATTCACCAAGTTACGACATTAAAGGTCCACTGCAGCCGTTTTTATCTCAATGTCAAACCATTTCTGGGGAACAATTAAGTATCTTACTGTGATTGTTTCCAATTAAAATGGTAAAAAATAAACAAAAATAGCTTCTTAGCAAAGAGCAATTTCTCAAGCAAAGGACTGTCTGGGAGTCCTAACTGGACGAGCCTAATGGGAGGGATATGTAACATGAAAACTAGCTGTTATTCGCAGAGAGGTTTGAAACTCTTATTTGTTATTGGTCTATTAACGTATACCGCCTGGTGATGTCACCATGGAAGGCCAGAACTCCCTTCCACCAAAACAGGCTGACATTTCAGGCAGTCTATTCAAAGAGCTCTTACACTACTAAAAGGGAATTATCATACTTTTCACAATTTCACAGTATTATTCCAACCTCATAGTGTGGAAATATATATAAAACACAGGAAAATCATGTTATTGACTGCAATGGGCCTTTAAGGAGAATTAAAGGCAAAAAAAAGGTGGACATGCAAACGGACGGAAGATTCAACTATATCAGTAATATGATCATATTAATATCTTTACCAACCCTAAACCATAGAATAACTGCCATAGTATTCCAGTGTTAACCTCATTCAATTCAGTAGGATCCATACAAAGGTATGAAAACAAAATCTGACCCATGGAAATTCATGTCAAACTAAAGGTGCAGTGTCCCTGTCTGTTAGCAGACGACAGGCCTTGATGGGAGAGAGCAGTTCTATCAGCCATCCAGTCTTGTCACCTCTGTGGCCGTGAAGGAAAAGAGACAAGGAAAGGAAGCATCCTAGAAGACGTTGGAGTAGCAGCTCTCACAGTGGACGGTCCCTTTGTGCAGGAACATGTTGAACAGAAAGTCTCCCATTGGCTTACTGCAAACACCACACTGCAACAACAACAACATAGCATATTGTTAATGTAACACAGCCAAGACTATATGAACGCTTCGGCTTAGTTCTAGTCTGCAATAATTTTACCTGCTAGCAACACGGCTGCTACACCACTGAAACAACCACTTTTACAACTACCGCAGCCACTACAGTTGATACAGGGTCAAAGTGTATAACCTATAAACATGATTGTAACCAGAGTTTAACATATAACATGTTAATAACCAGGTTTAGTTACCTTGAAGCAGGCCGGGTGGCAGGAGATGTTTAGGTGCTCGATGGTGATCTTGGCATCGTTGCCCACCTGCTCTCCACAATACGTACAGGCAGACGTCATGGTAGACCTAGTAGAGGGGGGGGGGGGGGGGGTGTTCAGCATGGGACATAGCTCTATTCGGTCAAAGCCTGTATCTACAAGTTTCCAGCCAAGGCGAGACAAAATGGTACGCGTTTCCAGGGTTATTATAGTTTTGTGATTTAATATTAGTTATTCGTTTTTAGAGTTTTATTTGAAGTTTAGTTTCAGTTGGTTTTCAGACTTTATTTACACTTTTTTATTTACTTTCAGTTTAATAAAAGCATTTCTGTTTCGGTTGTATATTATTTAGTTTCAGTTTTAGAAAGTAGCCTATTGGTGAGAGGCTAGGAGCCATTTCTGTTGTAGGCCTATAGTTTATACATAAGGTGATAGACATAACTATGGAGGACTAAAAGTGCCACAATTAAATAAATAAATACACCATTAAATAATTACTTAAATGTGTCATTAATTAATTAAAATTAGAATTAAATACATAAATGTGTTATTAAATGTGTCATTAATTAATTCAAATACCGATTCATTTTATGTAAAATACATATATAATTATTTCACTATTTACATTTACATTTCATGGTCCTGCGTTGGAGTGCTTCCTGAATTACTTAAAACTGTCAAACTGACCCATCAAAAGTTGGTAGGCGGAACCTAACGCCTGATTGGTTACCCTCTGCATCAAGCCAAGACAAATCAATTCCGGATAATGTCAGCAGGTCCTGCTTCTACATCCTCTGCTAAGTTTAAAATGTCTCTAACCAACTCCCTGGAAAGTTCACGGAGATCCTCCATTGTCTCTATCCAGGTTGGCCTACTCTACTTCAGACCAAAGCAATGGATCAGACTAGATTCGCGTTAGCCCCGCCCACTGACTTTGATGGGTCAGTTTGACAGTTTTAAGTAATTCATGAATCACTGCAATGCAGGATCATGAAATGTAAATGTAAATAGTGAAATAATTATATATGTATTTTACATAAAATGAATCGGTATTTGAATTAATTAATGATACATTTAATTACACATTTATGTATTTAATTCTAATTTTAATTAATTAATGACACATTTAAGTAATTATTTAATGGTGTATTTATTTATTTAATTGTGGCACTTTTAGTCCTCCATACATAACATCTCTGTATCTGTATCTGTGACAACATGAGCAGCGCCATTGAGGCCATCTCCATTTTGAAGTAGTACATTTACTTCTTCACTAGTAAAATGAATTGGCTGATCCCTCCTGATGACCCGGCTGTCACGACTCCAACCGGGTCATCAGGTCATGCCAACCGGGTCATCAGGATGAAGTTGGGAGTCCCGCTCAGTTGACTAAATCAAAATGGTGAAAGTCCTCAATGTCGCTACCCATGCAAACACAGGCTTTTGGCCACTAGACTCCATACAACTCTGTGGCCTGGAAATAGGTTTGGTTAGGTTTAAATTACAAATCAATCCTAATGTGACTTGGATTTAAAGGATAAGTGCCTAGACTGGTGCAAGAAATATGGTGGAAGGAAACTCTCTTGCCCATGTTTACACCAAACCAATGCTTTTTTAACTTTAGTAGCAGATGTCAAAAGAATCGAGTACCTTTACCGTTATCTGACAGACAGAGAGAGGAAGAATCAACAGATTAAGTCATGTAATATTAAACATGTCTCACTGACTAACCCCATGTCTCTCTGACTAACCCCATGTCTCACTGACTAACCCCATGTCTCACTGACTAACCCCATGTCTCTCTGACTAACCCCATGTCTCACTGACTAACCCCATGTCTCACTGACTAACCCCATGTCTCACTGACTAACCCCATGTCTCTCTGACTAACCCCATGTCTCACTGACTAACCCCATGTCTCACTGACTAACCCCATGTCTCACTGACTAACCCCATGTCTCACTGACTAACCCCATGTCTCACTGACTAACCCCATGTCTCACTGACTAACCCCATGTCTCACTGACTAACCCCATGTCTCACTGACTAACCCCATGTCTCACTGACTAACCCCATGTCTCACTGACTAACCCCATGTCTCACTGACTAACCCCATGTCTCACTGACTAACCCCATGTCTCACTGACTAACCCCATGTCTCACTGACTAACCCCATGTCTCACTGACTAACCCCATGTCTCACTGACTAAACCCCTTCAAATAGGGTTACTAGAAACAGCTGAAACAAAAGCAGCAAAAACACTTCTTCACAAATCTATCAGTTCATAGCCTGCCAGCCAGCCAGCCAGCCAGCCAGCCAGCCAGCCAGCCTGCCAGCCAGCCAGTGGGAGATTTTCTGGTTTAGAACTCTTGGGATGCAGGGGCAGACACCAGATCCAGTCCTACAGGACACAGCTTTGGATAAACAGCCATCCTGCCAGAACTGGAGAGGTGACTCTGTAAACACCCCCCCCTTTACCTCTTCCAGGTATTTCCACAGCTCACACGGGGCACTTAATGCCCTGCCAGGTAACCCTCCGGCTGGACAGTGACAGTGATTCAGTATGCATGCAAAGCGCTCACACAGTGACGTCAGGAGGACCTGTGCCAACTGTTTTGCAACAGTAGTGACTGCAAGTGTACCTCAAGGTTGAGAAGGCACAGCAACACATCAGACAGCGACTGGCTGTCAGTTTGAAGTTGGTCGGTGTGGATTGCGAACGGCTCCAACAATTTGACAAGCTGTTCTAGCTTGGCCCAGTCACGCTCTGTGCTCACCCTCGGATTTCTTCCCTGTTAGCTAGTGATCGCTAATGACAGTGATGCACAAGCTATGTCTATTTGAAACATCGGCATTTACCTGCCAGATTCAGAAGCTCGAAAACCACATTAGGAAGAAAAAAAGCTTGAAAACCCCATTAGATTTTTGGCCAAAGTTTACATGAAAAAAAACTCTAACGTTTATTTTTTCAGTCAAAGATAATAGTTTTCATTTTTATTTCAGTTTACTAAATCGTTTTTCCAATTTTTTTTTATTTTAGTTTCAGTTTTCATTTACTATAATAACCTGGGCGGCAGGTAGCTTAGTGGTTAAGAGCGTGGCACCAGTAACCGAAAGGTCGCTGGTTCTAATCCCCGAGCCGACTAGGTGAAAAATCTGTCGATGTGCCCTTGAGCAAGGCACTTAACCCTAATTGCTCCTGTAAGTCGCTCTGGATAAGAGCGTCTGCTAAATGACCTATTTTTTATTTATTTTAACCTTGGTGTCCATACCACTTCTTTGCCAATCTGAAGGAACCGGATAGGTGTAAGCAATAAAGTTTGATTTGAATATGGAGATGACCCCACTCCACCCATCTAGCCTTGTAGCTTCCTTCTGCCGTGTTGATTACACCTATCTGGGTTCCTTCAGATTTGAACAACAAGGGCCTAGGAGTTGTTTTCAAATGGAGGAGTGGACAAAAGTATTGTTACCTGGTGGAAGAGGAGGGGCTGCTGTAGAAATGGCTGCTAGAACTAGACGTTACATAGTCAGGATCGTCTCTAGTGTTGTGTTTGGTTAGGTCTGTAGCGTTCACATACTCCTTCAGATATACAAAACCCCTGAGAGAGGAGAGAGAGAAGGGTGGGGGTGGGGGTGAAGGGTGGGGGGTGGGGGTGAAGGGTGGGGGGTGGGGGGTGAAGGGTTGAGAGAGAGAGGTACTTATTGTAACCATCACATTGATAGTAACCATCACTACTATGGTAACTGTTATTACTCACTGTACTTCTAAAGTTATACCCCCATCCTTCTCATGATTCACTCACTTCTTGGACTCAGTGTCTGGTGACTTGGGTCTCTGGTTTGCAGAACTGTCCAAGGTGCTGGAGTAGGAGTTAGAACTAGAGGAAATAATATTGTATACCAGACAGTGTGTCAGGGTAGATTTGTTATTATGGGTGAAATAGAACATAGCAGATAAATAGAATGGGACAGGAAAACACAGGACAGGCTATACTGGGACAGTGAGGGAAAGAAGTATTTGATCCCCGGCTGATTTTGTACGTTTGCCCACTGACAAAGAAATGATCAGTATATAATTTTAATGGTAGGTTTATTTGAACAGTGAGAGACAGAATAACAACAAAAACATCCAGAAAAACACATGTCAAAAATGTTATGAATTTATTTGCATTTTAATGAGGGAAATAAGTATTTGACCCCCTCTCAATCAGAAAGATTTCTGGCTCCCAGGTGTCTTTTATACAGGTAACGAGCTGAGATTAGGAGCACACTCTTAAAGGTAGTGCTCCTAATCTAAGCTTGTTACCTGTATAAAAGACACCTGTCCACAGAAGCAATCAATCAATCAGATTCCAAACTCTCCACCATGGCCAAGACCAAAGAGCTCTCCAAGGATGTCAAGGACAAGATTGTAGACCTACACAAGGCTGGAATGGGCTACAAGACCATCGCCAAGCAGCTTGGTGAGAAGGTGACAACAGTTGGTGCGATTATTCGCAAATGGAAGAAACACAAAAGAACTGTCAATCTCCCTCGGCCTGGGGCTCCATGCAAGATGCAAGATCTCACCTCGTGGAGTTGCAATGATCATGAGAACGGTGAGGAATCAGCCCAGAACTACACGGGAGGATCTTGTCAATGATCTCAAGGCAGCTGGGACCATAGTCACCAAGAAAACAATTGGTAACACACTACGCCGTGAAGGACTGAAATCCTGCAGCGCCCGCAAGGTCCCCCTGCTCAAGAAAGCACATATACAGGCCCGTCTGAAGTTTGCCAATGAACACCTGAATGATTCAGAGGAGAACTGGGTGAAAGTGTTGTGGTTAGATTAGACCAAAATCGAGCTGTTTGGCATCAACTCAACTCGCCCTGTTTGGAGGAGGAGGAATGCTGCCTATGGCCCCAAGAACACCATCCCCACCGTCAAACATGGAGGTGGAAACATTATGCTTTGGGTGTGTTTTTCTGCTAAGGGGACAGGACAACTTCACCGCATCAAAGGGACGATGGACGGGGCCATGTACCGTCAAATCTTGGGTGAGAACCTCCTTCCCTCAGCCAGGGCATTGAAAATGGGTCGTGGATGGGTATTCCAGCATGACAATGACCCAAAACACACAGCCAAGGCAACAAAGGAGTGGCTCAAGAAGAAGCATATTAAGGTCCTGGAGTGGCCTAGCCAGTCTCCAGACCTTAATCCCATAGAAAATCTGTGGAGGGAGTTGAAGGTTCGAGTTGCCAAACATCAGGCTCGAAACCTTAATGACTTGGAGAAGATCTGCAAAGAGGAGTGGGACAAAATCCCTCCTGAGATGTGTGCAAACCTGGTGGCCAACTACAAGAAACGTCTGACCTCTGTGATTGCCAACAAGGGTTTTGCCACCAAGTACTAAGTCATGTTTTGCAGAGGGGTCAAATACTTATTAGGCTCATTAAAATGCAAATCAATTTTTGACATGCGTTTTTCTGGATTTTTTTGTTGCTATTCTACCTCTCACTGTTCAAATAAACCTACCATTAAAATTATAGACTGATTATGTCTTTGTCAGAAGGCAAACGTACAAAATCAGCAGGGGATCAAATACTTTTTTCCCTCACTGTATGACCTCAGTGTCTCCTGGATAACCGGTATGTACTATGACCTCACAGTTTCTCCTGGATAACATGTATGTACTATGACCTCACAGTTTCTCCTGGATAACCGGTATGTACTATGACCCTCACAGTTTCTCCTGGATAACCGGTATGTACTATGACCTCACAGTTTCTCCTGGATAACATGTATGTACTATGACCCTCACAGTTTCTCCTGGATAACATGTATGTACTATGACCTCACAGTTTCTCCTGGATAACATGTATGTACTATCACGGTAGACAACTCCATTGTGTCCTCCTCCCAGAGTGCAAGGAACCTTGGTGTGACCCTGGACAACACCCTGTCGTTCTCCGCTAACATCAAAGCGGTGACCCAATCCTGCAGGTTCATGCTCTACAACATTTGCAGAGTACGACCCTACTTTACACAGAAAGCGGCACAGGTCCTAATCCAGGCACTTGTCATCTCCCGTCTGGATTACTGCAACTCGCTGTTGGCTGGGCTCCCTGCCTGTGCCATTAAACCCCTACAACTCATCCAGAATGCCGCAGCCCGTCTGGTGTTCAACCTTCCCAAGTTCTCTCATGTCACCCCGCTCCTCCACACACTCCACTGGCTTCCAGTTGAAGCTCGCATCTACTACAAAACCATGGTGCTTGCCTACGGAGATGTGAGGGGAACGGCACCTCCTTACCTTCAGGCTCTGATCAGACCCTACACCCAAACGAGGGCACTACGTTCATCCACCTCTGGCCTGCTAGCTCCCCTACCTCTACGGAAGCACAGTTCCCACTCAGCCCAGTCAAAGCTATTTGCTGCTCTGGCACCCCAATGGTGGAACATGCTCCCCCACGACGCCAGGACAGCGGAGTCACTGACCACCTTCCGGAGACACTTGAAACCCTACCTCTTTAAGGAATACCTGGAATAGTATAAAGTAATCCTTCTACCTCCCCCACCCCCCCCATAAAAAAAAGAAGAAAAAAAGTGGTTGTCCCACTGGCTATCATAAGTTGAATGCACCAATTTGTAAGTCGCTCTGGATAAGAGCGTCTGCTAAATGACTTAAATGTAAATGTAATGTACTATGACTCTCACAGTTTCTCCTGGATTCATCTTTAGTGTCCCCAAAATATCACATGTATTTGGTTTCCTATCTTACTACCAATAGATTCCTTACTATCATAGAGTCCCTACCCTATCTCCAACTACAACATGCATTAGGTTTCCCTTACCCCTTCCTTAGCACAGCAGCAATGAGAATGTTGTAAAGATTTAGAGGAAACATGAAGAGATATTAAGATGTTGCTGTGTAAGACAGATAACATGATACACTCACCGGTCCATTGAAGGCTCTGGGTCTCTGTGATGGAGAGACAGTAATATCAGTCAGAACATCCACTTCTAGAGAATGGCTTCCAATAGCCACACTGAGCACAGACGTCAATTCAATGTCTATTCCACGTTGGTTCAACGTAATTTCATTGAAATGACGTGGAAACAATGTTGATTCAACCAGTGTGTGTCCAAGTGGGTTCTCATCCAAGTCTCTAACTTGTCACTTCTTCTTCTAACTTGTCACTTCTCAACGGTGATGCTAAGCTGTGTGTCAATAGACAACCAGCTAGACTTTTTGATTTCACTTCTCTGTGATGCTAAGCTTTATGGCTCCTTATAAAGAGTATGTCTCCTTCTACCAGTCGTTCCCCCTTCCAGAGGTATGTAGATGAATGACAGGGATGATGTGTCTCTGGCTGCTTTACTGGCTAATAAAGGTGTGTTCTGACACTTCTTTCCTGTAGTGTTACCCTACCTTAACTGACCGACCTCTCCTCCCCTTCTAGTCATACTGCAGTTAACCATTACCTCACTCTTTCTTTCTCTATCGCTCTTTATTGGCATGGGAAACGTATGTTAACATTGCCAAAGCAAGTGAAGTAGATAGTAAACAAAAGTGAAATAAACAATAAAAAATGAACAGTAAATATTACACTCACAAAAGTTCCAAAATAATAAAGACATTTAAAATCTCTCTCTCTCTCTCTCTCTCTCTCTCTCTGACATGCTTCTAACATTATGCTGATAATGTTAGTAAATGATTAAAGGCATTGTGTTGTAAAATAAAGACTAGTAAGTCCTATAGGGATTGTAAAATGATAAAGGTCATACCTTTTCTCAGTCTCCTTCTCTTTATAGACAGTAGGTGCACTCCATCTATCCCATGGAGAATCACTCTCAGATGACCTACAACACACACACAAACAAACACAAACCATTAAGACATCATTCATACCACTCCCATAGCAAGATACAGTAACATCATGTACATAGTGATGGATGTAAAGAGATCAGTTTACTAGAGATGTAAGGGAAAGTGGTAACGGGTATATATCTGAACTATGTCCTATATACAGCAGCACCAGTTCAGTCTGTGGCTGAGGGTGTTACTGATGGAGGTTATAGAAAGAGGCTGAGGGTGTTACTGATGGAGGATATAGAAAGAGGCTGAGGGTGTTACTGATGGAGGTTATAGAAAGAGGCTGAGGGTGTTACTGATGGAGGTTATAGAAAGAGGCTGAGGGTGTTACTGATGGAGGTTATAGAAAGAGGCTGAGGGTGTTACTGATGGAGGTTATAGAAAGAGGCTGAGGGTGTTACTGATGGAGGTTATAGAAAGAGGCTGAGGGTGTTACTGATGGAGGTTATAGAAAGAGGCTGAGGGTGTTACTGATGGAGGTTATAGAAAGAGGCTGAGGGTGTTACTGATGGAGGTTATAGAAAGAGGCTGAGGGTGTTACTGATGGAGGTTATAGAAAGAGGCTGAGGGTGTTACTGATGGAGGTTATAGAAAGAGGCTGAGGGTGTTACTGATGGAGGTTATAGAAAGAGGCTGAGGGTGTTACTGATGGAGGTTATAGAAAGAGGCTGAGGGTGTGTGTGTGAGGAGTGATTCAGTGGTGGGGGGTGGGGGATTTCCAGAGCCTTTAATATAGAGGTGGCTTACTGTTTCTGAACCGTGACCAGGGATACCTGTGGATCCTCCTGCTCCTCCTGCTCCTCATCCTCCTCATCCTCACTGACATGAGAGAACATAAAAGGCTTTTAGTACAACCCCCTGGGGTCATGGATGGATGGGTGGTTTGATGTGGGCTTGGGAGGTGGCAGTGTGGATCTATATAAGTGACGATCTGTGAGGAGGTTCATTCACCTCTTGTCTGTGGAAGTGATGGGGTTGACGTCCCAGGACCTCTTCCATGTCAGTCTGTAGAGAGAGAGAGAGAGAGAGAGAAAGAGAGAGAACACCACAGTTAGTCTGGAGACAGAGCTCAATTCTAACATTGGGGTTTACAAATATACACTAGTATAGGATGCACACAGTGAAACATTCAAATACCTTGTTGTGTTTGTGTCCCTGTCGATGGGGATAACGTCGTCTGCAAGGGCCTCCAACATATTTTCATTCACACTTTAAAACAGAAAACAGATTAAAACAGATAATTTAAAGCTCTGACTCGTCATGAGCAATGTGGATCCAAGTGTAAAAACGTCAATGAAAGTGATACAAGCACGTCTCTCAGTAGACCGGTACAGTATATCTATTTTATCTATTTATTTATTTTTGTACTTTTTAGCCCTTTTTCTCCCCAATTTCATGATGTCCAATTGGTAGTTACAGTCTTGTCCCATCGCTGCAACTCCGGTACGGACTCGGGAGAGGCGAAAGTCGAGAGCCATGCGTCCCCCGAAACACGACTCTGCCAAGCCGCACTGCTTCTTGACACACAGCTCGCTTAACCCGGAAGCCAGGAGGAAACACTGTACAACTGGTGACCGTGTCAGCGTGCATGCGCCCGGCCCGCCACAAGTAGTCGCTAGAGCGCGATGGGACAAGGACATCCCGGCCGGCCAAACCCTCCCCTAACCCAGACGACGCTGGGCCAATTGTGCGGCGCCTCATAGGTCTCCCGGTCGCCACACAGCCCGGATCGAACCCGGGTCTGTAGTGACGCCTCAAGCACTGCGATGCAGTGCCTTAGACCGCTGCGCCACTCGGGAGGCCCCAGGTACAGTATATATAACAGGTGGTCTCTCTCAGTAGACAGGTACAGTAGATCTCACCTGGAGTCAGTACTAGGGGTCGGACTGTCAGGGGCCACTACCTCGGTCGAGACACTATATCTGTTGAAATAATATAATTATATGGTACTGTTAGAATGAAACACATTGAAGTACAATAGTAGTAGATTTAGTAGTGGCAGGTAGTAGTATTATTATTAGTAGTAGTAGTAGTAGTAGTAGTAGTAGTAGTAGTAGTAGTTAGTAGTAGTAGTAGTAGTAGATTTAGTAGTGACCGGTAGTAGTAGTAGTAGTAGATTTAGTAGTGACCGGTAGTAGTAGTAGTAGTAGTAGATTTAGTAGTGACCGGTAGTAGTAGTAGTAGTAGATTTAGTAGTGACCGGTAGTAGTAGTAGTAGTAGATTTAGTAGTGACCGGTAGTAGTAGTAGTAGTAGTAGTGTAGTAGTATGTAGTAGAGTTAGTAGTGACGCGTAGTAGTAGATTTAGTAGTGGCCAGGGATTAGTAGTAGTAGATTTAGTAGTGACCGGTAGTAGTAGTAGATTAGTAGTGACCGGTAGTAGTAGTAGTAGATTTAGTAGTGACCGGTAGTAGTAGTAGATTTAGTAGTGGCAGGTAGTAGTAGTAGATTTAGTAGTGGCAGGTAGTAGTAGTAGTAGATTAGTAGTGGACCGGTAGTAGTATAGTAGATTTAGTAGTGACCGGTATAGTAGTAGTAGTAGATTTAGTAGTAGGGGACGGTAGTAGTAGTAGATTTAGTAGTGACGGTAGTAGTAGTAGATTTAGTAGTGACGGTTAGTAGTTAGTAGATTAGTAGTGAGGTAGTAGTAGTAGATTTAGTAGTGGCAGGTAGTAGTAGTAGATTTAGTAGTGGACGGGTAGTAGTAGTAGTAGTAGTAGGAGTTAGTAGTGGACGGTTAGTAGTAGTAGATTTAGTAGTGACCGGTAGTAGTAGTAGATTTAGTAGTGACCGGTAGTAGTAGTAGATTTAGTAGTGACCGGTAGTAGTAGTAGATTTAGTAGTGGCAGGTAGTAGTAGTAGATTTAGTAGTGACCGGTAGTAGTAGTAGATTTAGTAGTGACAGGTAGTAGTAGTAGATTTAGTAGTGGCAGGTTAGTAGTAGTTTAGTGGATTAGTAGTAGATTGAGTGCAGGTAGTAGTAGTAGATTTAGTAGTGGACAGGTAGTAGTAGTAGATTTAGTAGTGACGGTAGTAGTAGTAGATTTAGTAGTGACGGTAGTAGTAGTAGATTTAGTAGTGGCAGTAGTAGTAGTAGATTAGTAGTACCGGGTAGTAGTAGATTTAGTAGTGACCGGTAGTAGTAGTAGATTTAGTAGTGGCAGGTGTTAGTAGTAGTAGATTTAGTATTTTGCGGTATTTAGTAGTAGATTTAGTAGTGGCAGGTAGTAGTAGAAAGATTTAGTAGTGACAGGTAGTAGTAGTAGATTTAGTAGTGGACGGTTAGTAGTAGTAGTAGTAGATGGACCGGTAGTAGTAGTAGATTTAGTAGTGACCGGTAGTAGTAGTAGTAGTAGATTTAGTAGTGACCGGTAGTAGTAGTAGATTTAGTAGTGACCGGTAGTAGTAGTAGATTTAGTAGTGACCGGTAGTAGTAGTAGATTTAGTAGTGACCGGTAGTAGTAGTAGTAGTAGATTTAGTAGTGACAGGTAGTAGTAGTAGATTTAGTAGTGACCGGTAGTAGTAGTAGATTTAGTAGTGACCGGTAGTAGTAGTAGATTTAGTAGTGACAGGTAGTAGTAGATTTGAAAAACAATTTCACACTGATTTCGCTCTGAATCACTAACATGACATGATTAATTCTGATCTCATTGACTTGTGATGGAAGGAGAAGGGTGCAATGTTATACTCTTTAAATGATAAACATGTGGAAAGATAGTGGAGAGGCAGACTGCAATTCAACCAAAACTGGTGTCCGGAAAGCCTGTGGCATTAGGAAAGACAATTGTTGTGATGTCAGACCCTATGTGTGTGTCATACTACATATCCTAGTAGTTTAAGATCAGGTGAGAGGTTAGAGGATAGAGGGAGAGGGTAAAGGGTAGAGGCTAGGGGGAGAGGGTAAAGGGTAGAGGCTAGGGGGAGAGGGGGAGAGGGTTAAAGGTTAGAGGCTAGGGGAGAGGGTAAGTTAGAGGCAGGGGGAGAGGGGTAAAGGTTAGAGGCTAGGGGGGGGAGGAGGGGAGAGGGTAAAGGTTAGAGGCTAGGGGGAGAGGGTAAAGGTTAGAGGCTAGGGGGAGGGGTTAAAAAGAGGGGGAGGGGTAAAGGTTAGAGGCTAGGGGAGAGGGTAAAGGTTAGAGGCTAGGGGGGGAGAGAGGGGGAGGTACGGTTAGAGGCTAGGGGGAGAGGGGGAGAGGGTAAAGGTTAGAGGCTAGGGGGAGAGGGTAAAGGTTAGGGAGGGGGAGAGGGGGAGCGGGTAAAGGTTAGAGGCTAGGGGGAGAGGGTAAGGTTAGAGGCTAGGGGGGAGAGGGTAAAGGTTAGAGGTAGGGGGAGGGGGAGAGGGGGAGAGGGTACAGGTTAGAGGCTAGGGGGGAGGGGGAGAGGGTAAAGGTTAGAGGCTTTGGGGAGGGAGGGGAAAGGTTAGAGGCTAGGGGGGAGGGTAAAGGTTAGAGGCTAGGGGGGAGAGGGTAAAGGTTAGAGGCTAGGGGGGAGAGGGGGAGAGGGGGAGGGGTACAGGTTAGAGCGGGGGGGAGAGGGGGAGAGGGTAAGGTTTGAGGTGGGGGAGAGGGTAAAGGTTAGAGGTAGGGGGGAGAGGGTAAGGTAGAGGCTAGGGGGAGAGGGTAAAGGTTAGAGGCTAGGGGGAGAGGGGGGAGAGGGTAAAGGTTAGAGGCTAGGGGGAGGGAAGGAGGAGGGAAGTAAGGTTAGAGGCTTAGGGGGGAGAGGTAAAGGTTAGAGGCTAGGGGGAGAGAGGGGGAGAGGGTAAAGGTTAGAGGCTAGGGGGAGGGGGAAGGTAGAGGCTATGGGGGAGAGGTAAAGGTTAGAGGCTAGGGGGAGGGGTAAAGGTTAGAGGCTAAAGGGGGGAGAGGGTAAGGTTAGAGGCTGGGGGCGGGAGAGGGTAAAGGTTTAGAGGCTAGGGGGAGAGGGTAAAGGTTAGAGGCTAGGGGGGAGAGGGGGAGAGGGTAAAGGTTAGAGGCTAGGGGGAGAGGGTAAAGGTTAGAGGCTAGGGGGAGAGGGGGAGAGGGTAAAGGTTAGAGGCTAGGGGGAGAGGGTAAAGGTTTTGAGGCTAGGGGAGAGGGGGGAGAGGGTTTAAGGTTAGAGGCTAGGGGGAGAGGGTAAAGGTTAGAGGTTAGGGGGAGGGATGGGGGAGAGGGTAAAGGTTAGAGGCTAGGGGGAGAGGGTAAAGGTTAGAGGCTAGGGGGAGAGGGTAAAGGTTAGAGGCTAGGGGGAGAGGGAGGTTTGAGCTAGGGGGAGGGTAAAGGTAGAGGCTAGGGGGGAGAGGGTAAAGGTTAGAGGCTAGGGGGAGGAGAGGGTAAGGTTGAGGTAGGGGGAGAGGGTAAAGGTTAGAGGCTAGGGGGAGAGGGTAAAGGTTAGAGGCTAGGGGGAGAGGGGGAGAGGGTAAAGGTTAGAGGCTAGGGGGGAGGGAGGTAAAGGTTAGAGGCTGGGGGGAGAGGGGAGAGGGTAAAGGTTAGAGGCTAGGGGGAGAGGGTAAAGGTTAGAGGCTAGGGGGAGAGGGTAAAGGTTAGAGGATAAGGGGGAGAGGGTAAAGGTTAGAGGTCAGGGGGAGGGAAAAGGTGAGTAGGGGGAGGGGGGTAAAGGTTAGAGGCTAGGGGGAGAGGGTAAAGGTTAGAGGTAGGGGAGAGGGTAAAGGTTTTGAGGCTAGGGGGAGGGGGGGAGGGGTAAAGGTTAGAGGCTAGGGGGGAGGGGAGAGGGTAAAGGTTAGAGGCTAGGGGGAGAGGGGGAGAGGGTAAAGGTAAGGTAGAGGCTAGGGGGGAGAGGGTAAAGGTTAGAGGCTAGGGGGGAGAGGGGTAAAGGTTAGAGACTAGGGGGAGAGGGGGAGAGGGTAAAGGTTAGAGGCTAGGGGGAGAGGGGGAGAGGGTAAAGGTTAGAGGCTAGGGGGAGAGGGTAAAGGTTAGAGGCTAGGGGGAGAGGGTAAAGGTTAGAGGCTAGGGGGAGGGGAAGGGGGGAGAGGGTAAAGGTTAGAGGCTAGGGGGAGAGGGGGAGAGGGTAAAGGTTAGAGGCTAGGGGGAGGGTAAAGGTTAGAGGCTAGGGGGAGAGGGTAAAGGTTAGAGGCTAGGGGGAGAGGGTAAAGGTTAGAGGCTAGGGGGAGAGGGTAAAGGTTAGAGGCTAGGGGGGAGAGGGGCGAGGGTAAAGGTTAGAGGCTAGGGGAGAGGGTAAAGGTTAGGGCTAGGGGGAGAGGGTAAGGTTAGAGGCTAGGGGGAGGGGTAAGTTGAGGCTAGGGAGGGGTAGAGGGGGAGAGGGTAAAGGTTAGAGGCTAGGGGGAGAGGGGGAGAGGGTAAAGGTTAGAGGCTAGGGGGAGAGGGGGACTGAGCTGAGAGAACTGGCTGCTCTACGGACTGAGCTGAGAGAACTGGCTGCTCTACGGACTGAGCTGAGAGAACTTAAAGAGGCAGACATGGCACTGAAGGAGGAGGTGAGAAAGCGAGAGGTGTGACAGAGAGCAGGACACTTCCCCAGAGAAGCCAGCAGAACAGCCCACCTCAGACCCGGACCTCAACCTCAACACCACAATGGGACAGACAACACAGGACCCACAAATAATTGAAATTGAGATACACACATGCGCTGTGATGTATGGAGGAATGAATGAGTGTCTGATATAAGGGGTCTCCTCTTTTCCTACCTGTCTGATCCACTGAGAAGCTCTTGACTCCAAAATCCTGGGCTGGGAGGGATGGGCTCTACCAACTCCTCTTCTAGACTACACATAAAGGAGGGGAGGGGAGGGGAGGGGAGGGGAGGGGAGGGGAGGGGAGGGGAGGGGAGGGGAGGAGAGGAGAGGAGAGGAGAGGGAGAGGAGAGGAGAGGAGAGGAGAGGAGAGGAGAGGAGAGGAGAGGAGAGGAGAGGAGAGGAGAGGAGAGGAGAGGAGAGGAGAGGAGAGGAGAGGAGAGGAGAGGAGAGGGGAGGGGAGGAGAGGGGAAAATAGCATTAAAAGGCTTATATTGCCACCAAAATAGTTGGGAAGAGATTTTTGATGTACCGATTCCATGGCACATGGTTTATGAACTGATACACAAAATGACGCCAGATTGGGGCGAAAGTTCACCTTCCAACAGGACAACGAGTCTTCTTGGGTATGACGCTACAAGCTTGGCACACCTGTATTTGGGGAGTTTCTCCCATTCTTCTCTGCAGATCCTCTCAAGCTCTGTCAGATTAGATGGGGAGCGTCGCTGCACAGCTATTTTCAGGTCTCTCCAGAGATGTTCGATCGGGTTCAAGTCCGGGCTCTGGCTGGGCCACTCAAGGACATTCAGAGACTTGTCCCGAAGCCCCTCCTGCGTTGTCTTGGCTGTGTGCTTAGGGTCATTGTCCTGTTGGAAGGTGAACCTTTGCCCCAGTCTGAGATCCTGAGCACTCTGGAGCAGGTTTTCATCAAAGATCTCTCTATACTTTGCTTGGTTCATCTTTCCCTCAATCCTGACTAGTCTCCCAGTCCCTGTCGCTGAAAAACATCCCCACAGCATGATGCTGCCACCACCATGCTTCACCGTAGGGATGGTGCCAGGTTTCCTCCAGACGTGATGCTTGGCATTCAGGCCAAAGAGTTCAATCTTGGTTTCATCAGACCAGAGAATCTTATTTATCATGGTCTGAGAGTCCTTTAGGTGCCTTTTGGCAAACTCCAAGCGGCTGTCATGTGGCTTCCGTCTGGCCACTCTACCATAAAGGCCTGATTGGTGGAGTGCTGCAGATATGGTTGTCCTTCTGCAAGGTTCTCCCATCTCCACAGAGGAATTCCGGAGCTCTGTCAGAGTGACCATCAGGTTCATGGTCACCTCCCTGACCAAGGCACTTCTCCCCCGATTGCTCAGTTTGGCCGGGAGGCCAGCTCTAGGAAGAGACTTGACGGTTCCAAACGTCTTCCATTTAAGAATGATGGAGGCCTCTGTGTTCTTGGGGACCTTCAACCTGCAGCCATTTTTTGGTACCCTTCCCCAGATCTGTGCCTCGACACAATCCTGTCTCGGACCTCTACGGACAATTCCTTCGATCTCATGGCTTGGTTTTGACTCTGTCAACTGTGGGACCTTAAATAGACAGGTGTGTGCCTTTCCAAATCAATTGAATTTACCACAGGTGGACTCCAATCAAGTTGTAGAAACATCTCAAGGATGCACCTGAGCTCAAGTTCGAGTCTCATAGCAAAGGGTCTGAATACTTATGTATTTCTGTTTTACATTTTTCATAAATTTGCAGAAATGTCTAAAAACCTGTTTTGTCTTTGTCAATATGGGGTATTGTGTGTAGATTGATGAGGAATTATTTTTATTTAATCCATTTTAGAATTGTATTTATATATTTATTTTATTTTACCTTTATTTAACTAGACAAGTCAGTTAAGAACAAATTCTTATTTACAATGACGGCCTACACCGGCCAAACCCGGACGACGCTGGGCCAATTGTGCGCCGCCCTATGGGACTCCCAATCACGGCCGGTTGTGATACAGCCTGGAATCTAACCATCTAGGAATCAAACTGTACAACTGACTCCTGGATTTTCTCTAAAGACAATGGGGTGGACAAACTTTAACAGTCTCACCCAGAGCTGTATATAGCCTACCCATTAACACTACACACACTGTGGTGCAACATATCTGATAATTGTAGTCTGTACTTATTCAAATGAATAGATATATTAATGAATCAATACCGTACCTGGATGAACCTGTGTCGAAGGAGATAAGTGTGTCCGACAGGGCTGTCAGAGTGTCCACTGGGGCAGGATCCGTCTTCAATGAGTTATATGGGACAGGGGACACTAATACAGGGTACACTGGGGGGACGTCTTTCAACGGGACACCACTCTCTGGGGACAACTTTTTCATCACCTCAACTGTCAACTCAGGAAGTGGAGTAGCCATTTTGGTACACCCTGGCTTCACTGCTGGGGTGTCAACTATGACGGGGGCTGGAAGGAGGACGTCTTTCACACATACAGTAGGGACGTCTTTCACACATACAGGAGAGACAGCTTTCACAGATACAGGAGAGACGTCTTTCACAGATACAGGAGAGACGTCTTTCACACATACAGGAGGGACGTCTTTCACACATACAGGAGAGACAGCTTTCACAGATACAGGAGAGACATCTTTCACGCATACAGGAGGGACGTCTTTCACAGATACAGGAGGGACGTCTTTCACACGTACAGGAGAGACAGCTTTCACAGATACAGGAGAGACATCTTTCACGCATACAGGAGGGAAGTCTTTCACACATACAGGAGAGACAGCTTTCACAGATACAGGAGAGACATCTTTCACGCATACAGGAGGGACGTCTTTCACACATACAGGAGAGACGTCTTTCCCAGATACAGGGGAGACGCCTTTCACAGATGGTGCAGCTGTTTCTTTGGGGACAGAGGGAGTCTCAGTGAAGACAGAGTCATCATTGTCTGTGATCACCACCCTTTAGACACACAAGAAACAACATGTCAGAAAAACAAAACATCTCCAGTCAAGCCTTTCATTTCAGACAACATCGTCATTTTCCATGAGGGACAAAACAGGACAGGACAGTCCATTGAGAGGCATCAGTTACCTTTTAGCCACAAAAGATGGAACATCTGGGGTCGGGGAGGTTTCTGGTGGTTTATCTGCAGAACTGTCAGGTGAACAGGAGATAAGACACAAACAGGGGAATTTAGAGATGGAAAGAGGAGGAGAGAGAGACAGACAAAGAGAAGAGCTAGAGAGAGGGAGGGAGAGGGAGAGAAAGGGAGAGAGAGAGCTATATAACCAGTCACATACTCGTATTTCTTGGCAGCTGAGAGGACGTAGGAGCGTTGTTGGACTGAGGAGCTCCTGAGCACGTCCATGGCTGCTTCCTCCCTGATGGACAGATGGAGAGAGAGAGAGACGGAGAAAGACGGAGAGAGAAAGAGGGAGAGACAGAGAGAGAGAGAGAGAGAGACGCAGGGAGGAGAGGAAGAGAGAGAGAGAGAGAGAGAGAGAGAGAGAGAGAGAGAGAGAGAGGAGAGAGAGAGAGAGAGAGAGAGAGAGAGAGAGAGAGAGGGAAAGAAACGAGATGAGACTTGTTTTTCCTTTACGTCTATTTTCGGAGGTAAAATAAGAGTTTCGTAGGCTGCATCTGAAATGGCACTCTGTTAAAAGTAGAGCTCTATAAAGGGAAAAGGGTGCCATTTGGGATGCATTTTGTGTGTCTCTCACCGTTTCTCCTTCTCCTCTGGGGAAAGCTGGTCCTCAGTTTGAACTGGGAGGTTTGTGGTGGGACGCACTGTGTGAGGAACTCTGGAGGGAATGACACACACACACATACACATACACACAAACACACACACAAACACACTTATCAAACACATCCCCTTAAGTCACTACAGTTATCTCTGACAATCCTTTAGCACACACAGTGTCACACACTCGAGCACGTTTACTGAGTTTAGTAGATCTCTGACATCACTGCTGCCAGTAGAGCTCTGACATCACTGCTGCCAGTAGAGCTCTGACATCACTGCTGCCAGTAGAGCTCTGACATCACTGCTGCCAGTAGAGCTCTGACATCACTGCTGCCAGTAGAGCTCTGATATCACTGCTGCCAGTGAATCTCTGACATTACTTTATTTACCTGAAGCTATTGGATGTAGATGAGGTGGCAGCAGGCTTGGTGTCTGTCTTGGTGAAAACCCCTCTGACAGAATAGAAAATGTTATTCATTCACCTTTTATATTATTCACAATTAATGAATTTAATATATTGAATATGCTGTTGATCAAGTGATGCAATGGTGGAGGTCTGTTATACCTGATAAGGTATCCTGGAGATGGTGCTCTAGATTTAGGAAAGAGAACCAAAGGTCCGTTTATGATGAAGAGCACGTTTTGTTGTTTGTGTTTTGAGGTGGGTGTCAGCGTGTAGTGTTGAGGTGGGTGTCAGTGTCTAGTGTTGAGGTGAGTGTCAGTGTGTAGTGTTGAGGTGGGTGTCAGTGTGTAGTGTTGAGGTGGGTGTCAGTATGTAGTATTGAGGTGGGTGTCAGTGTGTAGTGATGAGGTGGGGTGTTAGTGTCAGTGTCTAGTGTTGAGGTGGGTGTCAGTGTAGAGTGTTGAGGTGGGTGTCAGTATGTAGTGTTGAGGTGAGTGTCAGTGTGTAGTGTTGAGGTGGGAGTCAGTGTGTAGTGTTGAGGTGGGTGTCAGTGTCTAGTGTTGAGGTGGGTGTCAGTGTGTAGTGTTGAGGGTGGGTGTCAGTATGTAGTGTTGAGGTGGGGTGTCAGTGTGTAGTGTTGAGGTGGGTGTCAGTGTGTAGTGTTAGAGGTGGGTGTCATGTGTAGGGGTAGTTTAGTTTGAGGTGGGGTGTCAGTGTATAGTGTTGAGGTGGGTGTCAGTATTATGTGTTGGAGGTGGAGTGGAGTGTCAGTATGTAGTGTTTGAGGTGGGTGTCAGTGTGTAGTGTTGAGGTGGGTGTCAGTGTGTAGTGTTGAGGTGGGTTGTCAGTAGTGTAGTGTTGAGGTGGGGTGTCAGTATGTAGTGTTGAGGTGGAGTGTCAGTGTGTAGTGTTGAGGTGGGGTGTCAGTGTGTAGTGTTGATGTTTATAGGTTGGGTTGTCAGGGTGTAGTGTTGAGGTGGGTGTCAGTGGTATTTTGGGGGTGGGGGGGTTTCAGGTGTATGTTGAGGTGGTGCGTGTGTATGGTTGAGGTGGGGTGTCAGTGTGTAGGGGTTTGGGGTGGGTGTCTTTGTGTGTGATTGGGTTTCATTTTGTTTGAGGGTTTTTTCTTTTTCCCCCTTTCTTCTGCAGGTTGGGGGAGGGAGGGGTCTTGGATTGGGAGGGGACATTGGGGCTGGTGTCCCTAAAGGGGGGCCCCATTGGACCGATTCACTCTAACTTCTCCATCCTTTCAGGGAAAGAGGGGAAAAAAAAGGAAGCAGATAAAAACGCTAATCATTAGGGGGGTGGGGCTGATAGAGATTCCCATTTTTTATAGAAAGAGAAGAGAGAGAGAGAGAGAGAGAGAGAGAGAGAGAAGAGAGAGATAGAGAGAGAGAGCGAGAGAGAGAGAGAGAGAGACGTTGATACTCCATACTAACCTCCATTCCACAGGTTAATTTGTACCACCAGAGAGAGATCTGGCAGTACTGACCACTGATATGAGTCTAACTTCAATCCTAAAGACTTATTTTGTCCTGTCTGTCTGACCATGGTTTTCTCCTGTCCTGTCTTTCTGACCATGGTTTCTCCTGTCTGTCTGTTGTCTTTCCTGTCTGTCTGACCATGGTTTCTCTGTCTGTCTGTGTCTCACCATGGTTGCTCCTCCGTGTCTGTCTGTCTCACCAATTGTTTCTCTGTCGTCTGTCCTGTCTGACCATGGTTTATCCTGTCTGTCTGTCTGGCTGTCTGTCTGGCTTGCCTTGTCTGTCTGTCCTGACCATGGGTGTTCTCCTGTCTGTCTGTCTGTCTGTCTGTCTGTCTGTCTGTCTCACCATTGTTTCTCCTGTCTGTGTCTTGGCTGTCTGTCTCAACCATGGTTTCTCCCTGTCATGTGTACATGTCTTGTCCTGTACCACCATGGTTTCGTCTGTCTGTCTGTCTGTCCAATGTCTGGTCTGTCTTTCTGTCTGTCTGTCTGTCTGACTGCTGTCCTCCACATGGTTGCTTCTCCTGTCTGTGTCTGTCTGTCTGGGTCTGTCTCACCATGGTTTTCTCCTGTCTGTGTCTGTCGTGTCTGGTCTGTCCTGTCTGTCTGTCTGTTCTGTCTGTCGGATCTCTCTCCATGGTTTCTCCTGTCTGTCTGTCTGTCTGTCTGGTCTGTCCTGGCTGTCTGTCGTCTGTCCTGTCGTCTGATCTGTCCTGTTCTGATCTGTCTGGTACGGTCTGTCTCAACCATGGGTTTCTCCCTGGTTCGGTGTCTGTCTGTCTGTCTGTCTGTCCGTCTGTCCTGTCCTCCCCAATGGTTTCTTCCTCCTGGTCTGGTCTGTCTGTCTCTCCCATGGTTTCTCTCAAACCTGTCCATGTCCTGTTCCTGTCTGTCTGTCTGTCTGTCCTGTCTGTCTGTCTGTCTGTCTGTCTGTCTGTCTGTCTGTCTGTCTGTCTGTCTGTCTGTCTGTCTCACCATGGTTTCTCCTGTCTGTGTCTGTCTGTCTGTCTGTCTGTCTGTCTGTCTGTCTGTCTGTCTGTCTGTCTGTCTGTCTGTCTGTCTCACCATGGTTTCTCCTGTCTGTCTGTCTGTCTCTCCATGGTTTCTCCTGTCTGTCTGTCTGTCTGTCTGTCTGTCTGTCTGTCTGTCTGTCTGTCTGTCTGTCTGTCTGTCTGTCTGTCTGTCTGTCTCACCATGGTTTCTCCTCCTCTGCTTCAGACTGGGGTTCACTGCATCTCTGCATCCAGCTGGCATCTCCCTTCAGCTTGGTCCGAACCTTAGTGGCCCTGAACACTGACGCTCTGTCCACTTCTGAAACACAAACACAAACAGTACACATGTTAGACATAAACACACGCATGCACAAATGCACACACTGAAACAATCACACACACACGCACACGCACACACCATCTGAATAAGAGAACACACCTTCATGATACATACTTCACATGGAGCACACAGGAGGGAATGGAGGAAACTATGTTGTAATAAACGTGGTATCCATCACCTCATCCCCTTAGCATGGAGTTGATCTACTACCACATCTTACAATGGTAGGAAACCCACTATCACACACTCATCCTATTGAAATCAGCTCAGTGAGTCAGTAACCCTGTCAACTCACCTTTTGACATAGTCGGTGGTTGTAATCTGGTTCCTGTGACTCCTCCACTGGCTCCCTGAGTACCACAGACGGCAGAACAGACACAGGTTAGTAAGAGAGGTCCGGTCCACAAACAACCCCTAGTCCACTTGGTCCTTGTGTACATCTGATAGGATTGGACCTCTTGGTGTACAGTAATGGTATAGGTGCTGGACTGACACACTCAGGGTTGCAGGTTAAGAGGGTCACAGATTTGAGGCCCATTGGGGCTATCCCCTCTAGTTTGTTCTAGAACTGTTTCATCTCTGTCAAAAGGAGGGCCGCAGTATCCCTCCCCTCCCTTAAGGAACAGGAACATGTGATAGGCATTCCACAGTCATGCTCCAACCATGCAGATGAGCCTGTATTACCACTTTCTACCAAACGACCAAACGTACCCTCTGTCAGCCAAAGATAGATTGACAAACCCACGCCTGCACATGCACACTCACACGCACACAAATTGAAGCAAACGTAATTTCTCAACGTAGGGTCTTAGAAGCAGGGTTCGGGATGTTCATGAAAACCTGGTCCGCTTGCTCTTTCTCCCACATATTCTATTGAAATATTCTATGAAGTGGCTTAGATAGAATGGTCTGACACAAATAGTATCCTTCTCTCATCTCTAATCGAACACAAACGGTTCACTCACATTTCTCCTCAGGGAACTGAAAGCAAGTGGGAATTGTAATAAAACATTGTTAAGATTTTTCCTTATCAAACGACAGGCAAAGTTGAGCTGCTGCCAAACGGAGCGCTGCCAAATTCACTATGCAAATGACCTCCCAGTGGTAAAAAATGTTATCCTGATGCAGTAAAATCGCTCTTTTTTTCCTTCTTTTTTTTTAGGGGGGTAGATCAGCTTAATATTGCAGATAGATTGTAACTTCCATCAATGTAATTGTCTGCATCACTTCCAATCCCCTATGTTTTTTTTCTCGCAAATATATATATACATACATACACATACATACATATAAACACATATACATATGTATATACATATACTTTTTAAAAAAATATTTCCCTTTATTACGTTCCAGCCCCACCACCCCTTCCCTAATTGGAGTAAACTAGTGAACAACAATGCTTAGGCCTCTACTTCCAGCTTATACATACTATATACATTTTATGGACACAGTCAATTTTACAATAATTATATTTTGTTTGTTTTTACTCATGAACTTCCTCTACTCTCAACCTCTCCGAACATTTTCATGATGTCCATCCGGTTTGCTTCTATATGCCATATCATTCTAACTGTGCTCTTTCACAAAAGCTCTCAACCTATAACCTATATACTTATTATGGACACAGTACGCTTTACATTAGTTATCTTGATGTTATTAGTTGTTGTTATTAGTCCCATCCTTCAACTCCATTCAACACCACCCATCTATCTCTTAACACCATCCATATTGGATTTCTATTTGCCATATATTTTTAAACTGTACTGTGATTTTTTACAAAAGTTCTGAACCCTTCTATTCTCATTGTTTCTACAGATTGTAAATTGAAAATAAACATTTTTGCTAAAAGTATTATTATATTATTGATCAATTGACTATGACTTTTCAGATCACCCAGTAGTGCTATCTGCAGGGTTAGCTCCAGGTAAATATTGCAATCCTTTAGCCATTCCTGGACCTGTGTCCAAAAACAAGCTACAAATGGACAGTACCAAAACAAATGATCTAATGATTCTGCCTCTTCGCAGCAAAATCTGCAGAGCTGGGAAGATTGTATCCCCCATATAAATAACATTCTATTGGTAGCAAGAATGTTATATAATAATTTAAATTGAAAAAGTTTTGAATCCGGCATCGTTTTGCGCATCAGTTCATAAACACTATGCCATGGAATCGGTACGTCAAAAATCTCTTCCCAACTATTTTGCAATCTATATGGGACGGCTGTCAATCTTTTGGTCCTTAAATGAAACTGGTATACCTTTTTATTTATCACAATTTTCTTTAACCAATTATGTTCTTTAATGCAGACAGACAAGTTCCTTACTTTTTCCCCCTTCCACTTTCCTCTTCCATTTTTGTGGTAAGGCTGCAATGATTTGGTTGTAATTTTGGGTAGAGCAGACATTTCCATATGTTTGTGTTAGCTGCATGTGCAACATAACTCCACCAGCCCTACCTATGATATCCTTTACAAAGATTATACCTTTTTTAAACATTTTTTCAAAAAATAATGGTTTTTCTATCAATTAGTATATTGGAGTTTAACCACAATATTTGTTGCATTATTTGTTCTGTCGTTTCTGGAGGATTAAATTGAAATTGCAACCAACTTTCTATGGCTTGTTTTAGAAATAGTGATATTTGGGAGATTATTTCCTTTTCAAATAACTGAAAGTGAGAGGTTGTAATCTGAATAAAGGGAAAAAGGCCTTTTTTGAACATTGGGTGAGACAATCTTACTAATTTGCTAGAGAACCAGTTCGGATTTAAGTATAACTTTTGTATGACTGAAGCTTTTAATGATAGGTCTAAACTACATGGTAATGTAGAAATTGTATGTTTTAGTGATCCAATATGTAATATAGTACATTTATCACAATTTGGTTGTAATCCAGAGAGGTTAGAACATGTATCTAGATCCTCTATGAGGCTGTGGAGGGATTCAAGTTGTGGATCTAAAAGAAAACATGAATCATCAGCGTACAATGACACCTTTGTTTTTAAGCCCTGGATTTCTAATCCCTTGATATTATTGTTGGATCTGATTTTAATAGCTAACATTTCGATGGCCATAATAAATAGATATGCCGATAGTGGACAACCTTGTTTCACTCCTCTTGACAGTTTAAAACTTTCAGAGAAATAGCCATTATTTCCTATTTTACACCTAGGGTTACTATACATGATTTTAACCCATTTTATAAGAGATTCTCCAAAATTCAAATGCTCCAGGCATTTATATATAAACCCCAGTCGTACTTTATCAAATGCCTTTTCGAAGTCTGCTATGAATAGCAGGCCTGGTTTCCCAGATTTTTCATAGTGTTCTATTGTTTCCAGTACTTGCCTTATATTATCTCCAATGTATCGCCCATGTAAAAAACATGTCTGATTAGAATGAATAATTTCCGACAATACCTTTTTAATTCTATGCGCTATACATTTTGCTAGAATTTCTGCATCACAACACTGAAGTGTAAGGGGCCTCCAATGTTTTAAATGGACTGGATCTTTATATTTTCCACTTGTATCCTGTTTCAGTAATAATGTAAAATCGCTCTTTCCGAATATCATCTGGCGGTGTTGACAGACTTAATAGACTGAAGGCTTAGATATTGTATCGATCATACATGATACACACCAGTCTACAAACGATACATTTGACATGATACACACCAGTCTACAAAACGATACATTTGACATGATACACACCAGTCTACAAACGATACATTTGACATGATACACACCAGTCTACAAAACGATACATTTGACATGATACACACCACCAGCACACACACACGTTAAATGAGAAATGATAAGCTACGGTAAGGGAGCAACAGGATGGAAACTCTTCTGACAGACAGGCGGTGATCATGGTGAGCAAACAAGGCAGTGAGTATAATGGTTCTGAGAGGACAAACAGACTGCCTGACAACCATCACACGTCTGTCTGAGGAGTTAGCATAACATAAACAGTTAGCATAGGATATGATTGATCAAAAAGTGAGGGTCAAGAAACATTTACATTTTAGTCATTTAGCAGACGCTCTTATCCAGAGCGACTTACAGTTAGTTGGTGCATACATTATTATATAGATTTTTTTCATACTGGCCCCCTGTGGGAATCAAACCCACAACCCTGGCGTTGCAAACGCCATGCTCTACCAACTGAGCTACATCCCTGCCGGCCATTCCCCCCCCCCTACCCTGGGCCAATTGTGCGCCGCCCCATGGGTCTCCCGGTAGCGGCCGGCTACGACAGAGCCTGGATATGAACCAGGATCTCTAGTGGCACAGCTAGCACTGCGATGCAGTGCCTTAAACCACTGCACCACTCAAAACAATGTCAAGAAGAGAGAATCCACATTCTAAACCCCGACAAACATGGCACATACTAAACCTAATAAGTACCTAGATGGAAATGAGAATAAAAAAGTACCTACTTTCACTGGATACTGTATCCACAGACGGTCTCCCAAACTGTAGAGAATTCCACACAGTAGATTGAGAGCAGGTGAGAGAGAACAGTATGGGTAAAGACTGATAGGTGTGTGTCTGTGAACAGAGAGAGGGAAAGTGTTTTCTGTGTGACAAGCTTACAGGTGTTTGAACAGGTACGGGCGTGGACACAGACTAGCTCAGCCAGTCAGAGAGGCTACGCCACCACCCGGGGTAAGGGTGGGGGTGGGTGGGTGTGTGTGTGTGTGTGTGTGTGTGGACGTGTTTAAGTAGGTCCTGTGTAGCTCAGTTGGTAGAGAATGGCGTTTGCAACGCCAGGGTTGTGGGTTCGTTTCCCACGGGGGGCCGGTATGAAAATGTATGCACTCACTAACTGTAAGTTGCTCTGGATAAGAGCGTCTGCTAAATGACTAAAATGTAAATGTATACTTGGTGGGGACCAGAAGTCCCCACAAGAGTAGTAAACAAACCAATATTTGACCAACTGGGGACATTTTGTTAGTCCCCACAAGGTCAAAAGCTATTTCTAAGGGGTTTAGGGTTAAGGTTAGAATTAGTGTTAGGGTTAGAATTAGGTTTAGGAGTTAGGGTTGGTTTTAGGGTTAGGTTTTGGGGTTAAGGGTTAGGGAAAATAGGATTTTGAATGGGACTGAATTTTGTGTCCCCAAAAAGTTAGTTTTACTGTGTGTGTGTGTGTGTGTGTGTGTGTGTGAGAGAGAGAGAGAGAGAGAGAGAGAGAGAGAGACAAAGACAAAGACATCAGAGACAAAGACATCAACCAACACAATCAGAGACATCAACACATCTGAGAACAGTGACTGTAGCTATTCTCTAACAATTGGGTGACACTTTCAAGTCTAATGTACTTCAAAGTGTTTCACAATCCCAAAGCAAACACCAGAACTGCTATTTGCTTTGTAATGATATGAGTTCAATACGCCTCTCTATTTCTATTTCAAACTAGAGGCAATTATGTTCTAGCCCCATTAAAACATGCCTCATCTCGATAGGGTCTGTTTAAGTTAATAGCAGTCTGGTTAACACGGTCAGTAAGCTGACCTATGAATGGGTAAACCATGGGACCATGAGGTGAAGACGTAGGCAGAACAGGGTGTTAGCTCACAGATGATAGCCATCCGTGTGTGTGTGTGTGTGTGTGTGTGTGTGTGTGCTTGCGTGTGCCCATGCGTGTGTGTGTGTGGTGATGACACACTTTCTCAGAACACCTGCGTCCAACAACTATGATCTGCTCCAAAGCGGTTGTCAATAGCAACATAATAGAGGAACTCTCAAAATGACTGTCCACACCAGATACTGTACTAAGTTTACAGTACATAACCCCACCCCTATTTAGTTACAGAAACAATCACACACATAGCGTGCATACATTTACCCAGCCTTTTTCAAATGGAATAGGGTGGGGACTTGGGAGGAATGTCACAATGCAACTCTCAGGGACATTCATTTACACATTACTGTCTCTTTACTCAGCCATGCAGGTTCACTGTAGTAGAGAGAGTAAGGATGAGGAAACTGGTTGGTTTTAGTGCCAAAGTTTCACTTCAGCTGATAGTCAGTGTAAACTGTGAAGTCTATTGTACCTCATTGCTCTTCTCAACCCCCCTCATTCCCGCTCTCTCTCCCTCTCTCTCCCCCTCCCGCTCTCTCTCCCTCTCTCTCCCCCTCCCGCTCTCTCTCCCCCTCTCGCTCTCTCTCCCTCCCTCTCTCTTCCTTGCTCTCTGAGGGGTAAACCAGTTGAACAGCTCAGCCCAGCAGCAGTCTCACCATGGCCCATTATACTGGAAGTATTGTCAGGCATTTCAACCTAACCACCGCCCTCCATCGCTTTCTCCCTCTTTCTCTCTCTCTCCCGCCATTACATTTTAGTCATTTTAGCAGACGCTCTTATCCAGTGACTTACAGTTAGTGAGTGCATACATTTTTCATACTCTCTCTGTCTCCCTCCTTCACCACACCAACAAGATAATGTGTGGTAGCACATCTGAACACTCCCCCCCCCCCTCCCGCCCCGCCCGCTCTCCCTCTCTCCCTCTCACCCACCAGGTATCTAATTTTAACCCCTCTCTCTCCTTCCCTCACCACACCAACAGGTGGAATGCCAAACATGCACCAAAAGCCACTCTCCCTGGCCCTGTCACTAAGTGCCACAGTTAAAGTCACTGTGATTGACCTTTTTTTTTTTTTATTTTAATTTATGCCATTTAGCAGACGCTTTTATCCAAAGCGACTTACAGTCATGCGTGCATACATTTTTGTGTATGGGTGGTCCCGGGGATCGAACCCACTACCTTGACGTTACAAGCGCCGTGCTCTACCAGCTGAGCTACAGAGGACCACTATAAGATGCTTTGACGCTAATGCACCGAAACGATACCTTTCACTGTGATCAGCTTTAATAAGTGTTACAGGGTAAGTTTGTGAGAGGAAATCATGTCATTGTGACAGTAAGACAGCTGGAATGTAGAAAAGGGAGGATGACGGAGAGAGAGAGAGAGAATAGTTGCCCATCCCTTTCTGTTCTGTGAACTACTGTTCTATGACATACAGTACCAGTCAAAAGTTTGGACACACCTACTCAGTCAAGGGTTTTTCTTTATTTTTACTATTTTCTACATTGTAGAATAATAGTGAAGACATCAAAATTATGAAATAACACATATGGAATCATGTAGTAACCAAAGAAGTGTTAAACAAATCAAAATATATTTTAGATTCTTCAAAGTAGCCACCCTTTGCCTTGATGACAGCTTTGCACACTCTTGGCATTCACTCAACCAGCTTCATGAGGAATGCTTTTCCAACAGTCTTGAATGAGTTCCCACATATGCTGAGCACTTGTTGGCTGCTTTTCCTTCACTCTGCGTTCCAAATCATCCCAAACCATCTCAATTGGGTTGAGGTCGGGGGATTGTGGAGGCCAGGTCATCTGATGCAGCACTCCAACACTCTCATTCTTGGTAAAATAGCCCTTACACAGCCTGGAGGTGTGTTGGGTCATTGTCCTGTTGAAAAACAAATGATAGTCCCATTAAGCCCAAACCAGATAGGATGGCGTATCACTGCAGAATGCTGTGGTAGCCGTGCTGGTTAAGTGTGCCTTGAATTCTAAATAAATCACAGACAGTGTCACCAGCAAAGCACCCCCATACCATAACACCTCCTCCTCCATGCTTCACGGTGGGAACCACACATGCGGAGATCATCCGTTCACCTACTCACAAAGACACGGCGGTTGAAACCAAAAATCTCACATTTGGACAGATTTCCACCGATCTAATGTCCATTGCTTGTGTTTCTTGGCCCAAGCAAGTCTCTTCTTGTTATTGGTGTCCTTTATTAGTGGTTTCTTTGCAGCAATTTGACCATGAAGGCCTGATTCACGCGGTCTCCTCTGAACAGTTGATGTTGAGATGTGTCTGTTACTTGAACTCTGTGAAGCATTTATTTGGCCTGCAATTTCTGAGGCTGGTAACTCTAATGAACTTTTATCCTCTGCAGCAGAGGTAAGTATGGGTCTTCCATTCCTGTGGTGGTCCTCATGAGAGCCAGTTTCATCATAGCGCTTGATGGTTTTTGCAACTGTACTTGAAGAAACTTTCACAAAGTTCTTGACAATTTCCAGATTGACTGACCTTCATGTCTTAAAGTAATGATGGACTGTCGTTTCTCTTTGCTTATTTTAGCTGTTCTTGCCATAATATGGACTTGGTCTTTTACCAAATAGGGCTATCTTCTGTATACCACCCCTTCCTTGTCACAACACAACTGATTGGCTCAAACACATTAAGGAAAGAAATTCCACAAATTAACTTTTAACAAGGCACACCTGTTAATTGAAATGCATTCCAGGTGACTACCTCATGAAGCTGGTTGAGAGAATGCCAGGAGTGTGCAAAGCTGTCATCAAGGCAAAGGGTGAAATATATTTTGATTTGTTTAACACTTTTTTGGTTACTACATGATTCCATATGTGTTATTTCCTAGTTTTAATGTCTTCACTATTATTCTACAATGTAGAAAATGGTTAAAAAATTAAGAAAAACCCTTGAATGAGTAGGTGTGTCCAAAATTTTGACTGGTACTGTACATTGCAATACAGTTTGTCTTTGTCTTAAATACACATCATACTAACATTAATCCTGTGATATCGGCTTTGGAAAAAATAAGGGCGGGGCTTGCCTGAGTCATGGTGGATAAATGCTTCAAAACATGCAAACATTTGTCTTTAGCTAACTAGATTTTCTAATGAGGGTAAACAAACGTTATATTATATGTTGACAATGTTGGTTAATATACAAACACATTCTTTCTAAGTGTTTTAATAAACAAACTGTGCAATGTTTAGATTTAGGAATGTATAACACATTTTATTTGAAGTGAACAAACTGCATGGTTGCTTGTGATTTGTATAAGAGAACATAAACAAGATAGCTGTAAAGGGAAAACAGTCACAGTAAATGTTTCACTCATACATCAAAATTAGTGTTTGTGAATAATGGCAAGAGGAAGTGCTGGAAACATCTCCATGTTAGATTGTGTATTCACATTCCACATAGAGAAGAAATGTGTGCTGCTCTCTATTGGTGAAGACAGGTACTGAAGCCAGGCAAAAATGGAGTACTGAAAGTTCTAGAAAAGGTGAGTGTTCACAGATCCTCATACAGGCCTACAGACATTATGAGAGAACACACTCATTTCAAAGGCTCATTCCCCCAGTTAGTATTATGGGACAAAAAATATGTGAGTTTGAAAATAACTTTTTTTTAACCTAACGAACAAGTCTTAAGACACTGGTGAGAGAATGAAACACAGTCCATCCCCTTGGGGTTGAATCTTAACTTGAGAACTGTACTGAGAACTGTACACAACTCCCAGCTTAATGTTTTTATCCCATTGACATCAGTGCATGATTTTACTAAAATGACCAAGTTATGTGCATAGATCTCAAGTTAGGATTCAGCCGTGAGGCTCCATATCACTAGCCTCGAATCCAAGCTGATACGATCCATTTCACCATTGTTTCACAGAGCATATCAGTTTGGTTTCCAGGCTACCATCATGCTCCATGTCGTAGATGAGGATAGCTCTCCACCGTGCGTCTGATCCCGTCCTTTAGACTAACCACAGGCTTGTACCCCATGTCCTGCTTGGCTCTGGAGCAGCTGTAGAAGTGGTGTGTACCTGCCAGGGCCACCCTCATGGGGGTGAAGGTGGGTTTGAAGGCCACTAGGGGGCGTAGTAACAGGGACAGCAGCCACAGCAGCAAAGCCAGCCCGTAGACTAGTGTGTAGGGAAGGTGGTAGCGCGGAGCAGCGTAGCCCAGACCTACTAGAATATCTGCCATGAAGTCCCAGAACCGGACAGGCTCGTCATTAGTGATGTGGTATGCCTGGAGGGGGAGGAAGACCAGTCAATACAGATTGATAAAATCTTAAATGTTGACAGAGTTAGGGTTGACAAAGTTAAGACATTACTATTCTGTAGTCATACATTAGTTAGAACCTAATCTCGTCCAACTGCCAGCTCTTTCTTTTTCGAACAGTCTGGTTTCACAGCGCCTCAGAAAGAGACTTGATCGGAGCGGGAAAATCCCACTGGATTTTCATTGGCTGATCTCTCAGTCCCATCACCATCTTGCACTGGGATGGGCAACTTTGATGGGGGTGGGGCCACAACAAATCAGAACTCATGAGGGGCCGCAGCGGCTCGCGGGTCTGTGTACTAAATTATATTTTACAGCCCTCTAACCAATTGTACAATTATGTGTGTTTTTTCACGTTATTTGTAATTTATTCTGTACATAATGTTTCTGCTACCAAAAATAGCTTCTGGATATCAGGACAGCGATTACTCACCTCATATTGGACAAATATGTTTTATTAAAAGGGGCCCAAATCCCCGTCATTCGGCCCAAATCCCCGTCATTCGCATGAGAAAGAGACAGAGATATCGTGGACGTAGGTCGGGGTGCCTTGTAAGGATCCGACGGCGAGTGAGTAAACTGCCGCTCCCATCAATCCTATTAACCAATGTTCAATCATTTGAAAATAAATTGGATGACCTAAGATTACGGTTATCCTACCAACGGGACATTAAAAACTGTAATATCTTATGCTTCACCGAGTAGTGGCTGAACGACGACATGGATAACATACAGCTAGCGGGCTATACGCTACATCGGCAGGATAGAACGGCTGACTCCGGTAAGACAAGGGGTGGCGGTCTGTGTATGTTTGTAAACAACAGCTGGTGCACACAATCTAATACTAAGGAGGTCTCAAGGTTTTGCTCGCCTGAGGTAGAGTATCTCATGATAAGCTGTAGACCACACTATTTACCAAGAGAGTTTTCATCTATATTTTTCGTAGCTGTCTATTTACCACCACAAACCGATGCTGGCACTAAGATTTCACTCAATGAGCTGTATAAGGCCACAACTAAACAGGAAAACGCTCATCCAGAGGCAGCGCTCCTAGTGGCCGGGGACTTTAATGTAGGGAAACTTAAATCCGTTCTACCTAATTTCTACCAGCATGTTAAATGTGCAACCAGAGGGAAAAAAACTCTAGACCACCTTTACTCCACACACAGAGACGTACAAAGCTCTCCCTCGCCCTCCATTTGGCAAATCTGACCATAACTCTATCCTCCTGATTCCTGCTTATAAGCAAAAACTAAAGCAGGAAGCACCAGTGACTCAGTTAATAAGGAAGTGGTCAGATGACGCAGATGCTAAGCTACAGGACTGTTTTGCTAGCACAGACTGGAACATGTTCCGGGATTCTTCAGATAGCATTGAGGAGTACACCACATCAGTCAATGGCTTCATCTATAAGTGCATTGATGCCTTAGTCCCCACAGTGACCGTACGTACATACCCCAACCAGAAGCCATGGATTACAGGCAACATCCGCACTGAGCTAAAGGGTAGAGCTGCCGCTTTCAAGGAGCGGGACTCTAACCCGGACGCTATGCCCTCCGACGAACCATCAGACAGGCAAAGAGTCAATACAGGACTAAGATTGAATCGTACTACGCCGGCTCTGACGCTCGTCGGATGTGGCAGGGCTTGAAAACTATTAAAGACTACAAAGGGAAGCACAGCTGCGAGCTGCCCAGTGACACAAGCCTACCAGACGAGCTAAATCACTTCTATGCTTGCTTCGAGGCAAGCAACACTGAAGCATGCATGACAGCATCAGCTGTTCCGGATGACTATGTGATCACACTCTCCGTAGCCGATGTGAGTAAGACTTTTAAGCAGGTCAACATTCACAAGGCCGCAGGGCCAGACGGATTACCAGGACGTGTACTCCGAGCATGTGCTGACCAACTGGCAGTGTCTTCACTGACATTTTCAACATGTCCCTGACTGAGTCTGTAAAACCAACATGTTTCAAGCAGACCACCATAGTCCCTGTGCCAAATAACTCTAAGGTAACCTGCCTAAATGACTACCGACCCGTAGCACTCACATCTATAGCCATGAAGTGCTTTGAAAGGCTGGTCATGGCTCACATCAACACCATTATCCCAGAAATCCTAGACCCACTTAATTTGCATACCGCCCAACAGATCCACAGATGATGCAATCTCTATTGCACGCCACACTGCCCTTTCCCACCTTGACAAGAGGAATACCTATGTGAGAATGCTATTCATTGACTACAACTCAGCGTTCAACACCATAGTGCCCTCAAAGCTCATCACTAAGCTAAGGACCCTGGGACTAAACACCTCCCTCTGCATCTGGATCCTGGACTTCTTGACGGGCCGCCAGGTGGTAAGGGTAGGTAACAACACATCTGCCACGCTCCTCAACACGGGGGCCCCTCAGGGGTGCGTGCTCAGTCCCCTCCTGTACTCTCTGTTCACCCATGACTGCATGGCCAGGCACGACTCCAACACCATCATTAAGTTTGCAGATGACACAACAGTGGTAGGCCTGATCACCGAAAACGATGAGACAACCTATAGGGAGGAGGTCATAGACCTGGCCGTGTGGTGCCAGGACAACAATCTCTCCCTCAACGTGATCAAGACAAAGGAGATGATTGTGGACTACAGGAAAAAAAAAAAGAGGACTGAGCACGCCCCCATTCTCATCGACGGGGCTGTAGTGGAACAGGTTGAGAGCTTCAAGTTCCTTGGTGTCCACATCACCAACAAACTATCATGGTCCAAACAGTCGTGAAGAGGGCACGACAAAGCCTATTCCCCCTCAGGAGACTGAAAAGATTTGGCATGGGTCCTCAGATCCTCAAAAAGTTATACAGCTGAACCATCGAGAGCATCCTGACTGGTTGTATCACTGCCTGGTATGGCAACTGCTCGGCCTCCGACCCCAAGGCACTACAGAGGGTAGTGCGTACGGCCCAGTACATCACTGGGGCCAAGCTTCCTAGACTGTTCTCTCTGCTACCGCACGGCAAGCGGTACCGGAGCGCCAATTCTAGGTCCAAAAGGCTTCTTAACAGCTTCTACCCCTAAGCCACAAGACTCCTGAACAGCTAATCATGGCTACCCGGACTATTTGCATAAAATAACAATAGCAAGGCTATATACAGGGGTTACCGGTACAGAGTCAATGTGCGGGGGCACCGGTAGTAATTGAGCATGGGACGAGGTTAGTTTGAACCCAACAAATATTGTGTGAGTTCGAAAGGCATCTCTTTCTTCGAACACGGAACAGTTGACCCCATTGGTCATCATCATCATCATCATACAGTCGTACAGAGCAAGCAGGTCTACCGTATGAGCTAGACCATATAGAGGGTTCCTACCTTGCCACAGATAGGAGACTCTGGCCTCAGACTCTCAGCTGCCAGGATGTGTCCATGAACCACATTGTCCACAAAGGTGAAATCCACCAGGTTAGAACCATCACTACAGAGACAGAGAGAAAGAGAGACAGCGAGAGAGAGAGACAGAGAGACAGAGAGACAGCGAGAGAGAGAGAGAGAGAGAGAGAAAGAGAGACAGCGAGAAAGAGAGACAGCGAGAAAGAGAGACAGCGAGACAGCGAGACAGCGAGAGAGAGAGAGAGAACAGAAAGAGGTAGACAGAGAGACAATATCAACTAGGACAGCCCCATATCCTTAAAACATTAACTTTGGTTGATCCCACTATGTCTAGGGAAGAGTCGATGTTTCATTCCAGTTCTGTGTATGACTGACTGACCCGATGATGAACTTCATCTTGCCCCTGCGTGCCGTGTCGACCAGGATAGGCACCAGCTGGGGGTCCCGGGGGCCGAAGATACCGTGAGGTCGGATGGCCACCGTCAGGAGACCCTTCTCTTTGTCACAGGCCTTCAGAACCAGCTGAGACACCACAGAGAGACAAGATGGAGAAAAAGGATAACATTAATTATTTCATGTGGAGCAGATGTGGAGTTTGTAGAATGTATGTAACATGTAGGTATGTAGCCAGCATCAATGTCTTCATGTGTAGGCAAGTTCTCTCCCCTAGCAATGCTCTGGTACCATTAACATAACTATGATAAGGCTATTCTACAGATAAGGCTCTTCTACAAAATAAACAAGCTTCTCCTGTTTTATATTGGTCTCTGTGTAGTGGTGTCCTCACCTTCTCCTGTTCTACCTTGGTCTCTGTGTAGTGGTGTGCTCACCTTCTCCTGTTCTATCTTGGTCTCTGTGTAGTAGTGTCCTCACCTTCTCCTGTTCTATCTTGGTCTCTGTGTAGTGGTGTCCTCACCTTCTGCTGTTCTATCTTGGTCTCTGTGTAGTAGTGTCCTCACCTTCTCCTGTTCTATCTTGGTCTCTGTGTAGTGGTGTCCTCACCTTCTCCTGTTCTATCTTGGTCTCTGTGTAGTGGTGTCCTCACCTTCTCCTGTTCTATCTTGGTCTCTGTGTAGTAGTGTCCTCACCTTCTCCTGTTCTATCTTGGTCTCTGTGTAGTGGTGTCCTCACCTTCTCCTGTTCTATCTTGGTCTCTGTGTAGTAGTGTCCTCACCTTCTCCTGTTCTATCTTGGTCTCTGTGTAGTGGTGTCCTCACCTTCTCCTGTTCTATCTTGGTCTCTGTGTAGTAGTCGATGGGCTTCTTGGCATAGGGAAGGTCTTCTCTCCCATCCTTGATGTCTGTTCCTTCAAACACCACACTGGCACTGCTGGTCAGTACCACTTTCTACAGTAGACAGACAGAACTGACGATCAGTAATTATATCACCTTAACTGTTAGTCCCCTATACCGACTATCTATTTACTAGATCAGTAATTACATCAAAGAAGGGAGAATGTCCAAGTATTTTAACAGAGCATTTCTTTCATTGAATTGAGTCAGTCTTTATTGTAATATCTTGTATGACACACCTGTCTGTCCAATAACAACTCTATACTGCCCCCTACCTGTACTCCAGCCTCAGTGCAGGCCTGTAGGACAGTCTGTGTCCCTTGGATGTTGACTCTCTGGAACAAAGCCTTGTCATCACTGGCTGGGGCTGGAGAGGCACAGTGGAACACCAGGGAGACATCTTGGAGGGCTGTTAGGAGAGCCTGGGATAGGTACACATACACACAATGATGTTCAGATGCAGACACACATAGAACGCACACAAAAGCAAACACGAAGACACACCACAGTTCAAAGGCCATAGACCATAACTAGGTCATATAGCAGGCCCCAAACGGCTCAGTGCACAGACTCTTCATAGACAGACAGACTCACCTGTTTGTCACAGAGGTCTCCCTGGTGGAAGGTGACTCCAGGTAGTTCGTAGCTCTGTCTGATGTCAAACACGGAGACAGTGTAGCCCTTATCCAATAGCTTCTCTACCAGGTGTCTACCCAGGAACCCAGAGCCTCCTATCACTGCACACCGCTTACTGCTCTGTAGAGGGATAGAGGCACAACATTCAGTAAAGAGACAACAAAATAAACACTATGATACAATGAAATGAAACACCGACAACCACAAGACATATGAGAAGAACAAATACACCGCTGAACATGTGGCATATAGCTCAGAATTTGATATTTTCTACAAACTGCCGCGCACTCACCGGTCGTATGCGCGTGGCCATGGCAAACTGCAGGTGAGTTGTCGGTGTCGGGAGACAAACTGGCAGAGAAAATACAGTATTTGGTTAAATGTTCCCTCGTTCGAAAACATTTTGACAAGATCATGTCACATGGACAATTGAAGCATGATGAAGACTACAAGTAAACACCTTTAGTCTATTTCGAGACAAGTTTACAATATAAAGACACTGTAATATGCTATCAAATAAGTGAACATGCTTATCGTTTACCAGTTTTCTGTTTTGCAACAGTATGTATTGACCCGCGCACAAATAATAAACCCTGTATCAGCTGAGCGCGAGAGGCGCTCTCGTTGGGTGGACTGGAGTTTGGGTGTAAAGGTGGCATGCTCGAAGAGCCAATGGAGTGGAGCCTACGTCAAAGAACGCCACTGCTCTGACCAACCGGGACATAGCCACAGTGAGACCACACCCACAGTGGGTAGAGAATGAACGCACCTAAACCTGATCCTGTATCTGTTTTTATATTTCACACACCTCGGTTTGAGATGAGTTGGCGCACGGAGAACAGATTCTGGATCAGAGATTCAACGATCAATCCAGCCAATTGTCGTATAGCGTTTTATACCACATGTCGTCAACAACCAATAATCTTCTCGCCCGACTAGGTGTACTCGATTTAGCTTGCTCAGCACGTTCGTACGAATTGTTTCAATTCTGAATGTTCTATTTTGCACACCCGGAGTGTAGATTGAGCTAAATGAAGTGCGCATTCACAGGCACTGATCAAAATGATTATAGCACTGACTGAATACTGCGCTCATTGACTGGAAATCTTCATTTTCTATTCTTAATGTATTACTCAAACATTATATTAACCCTATTTTAACATTGTAATATGCTCGGCTGATAATAACTGCATGTCTGTAATAAACGGTCCGTTTTTCTGTCTATGATCTCATCTCTGCCTGGATGATAGGAGGAGAGAGAGGGGCGACATCAACACATTAGACAGAACACTCTTCAGTAAATCTACGGTTCTCTTGTTGCTGTCTTCGCAAAAGTGATAATCTGAAATGGTGAGTATGCCCATGCCGGAGCGCAATGAACGGTTTTGCAGTTCTGTTTTGATGCTCCTTGTGCTTCTGCTACAAGTTACAAAAGGACTCCATACACTGAGGCTACCACAACCTGTATTAACCCTAACTGGCTGTGCGAGAGGAATGGAAGCTCCCGAGTGGCGCAGCGGTCTAAGGCACTGCATCTCAGTGCTTGAGGCGTCACTACAGACCCCCTGGTTCGATTCCAGGCTGTATCACAACCGGCCGTGATTGGGAGTCCCATAGGGCGGCGCACAATTGGCTCAGCGTCGTCCGGGTGTGGCCGGTGTAGGCCGTCATTGTAAATAAGAATGTATTCTTAACTGACTTGCCTAGTTAAATAAAAAGTGCATATTATCTGATAGAGCTAATAATGGAATATGAAAAAAGCAATGATGCATATTTTCCCAAATCCTGAAAGCATTCCTTCTGTTGCATTCCTTCTTTTTTATTCCTTCTGTTGCATTCCTTCTTTAGGACTGGTCATGTTTTTTTAAATTACATAAATTGTCTCCCTATTTATGCCATGTTTCCCCGAAGCTATCTGACTTTACATTGAAATGGCCCTATGCAGATACAAGATGACTTGTCTATAAAGATCAATTGAAATCACACCCTTCTAAGGCTTTCCCTGGCTGCATCTCAATAGTCTAAAATAGCTGGACTGAAGGAGATTAGACAAGGAATCTACTTATCACCATTGAGATGCGCCCATCAACCCTTAATGTGCTTCCTTGTTGCCATCGATAGGCGACCATTGTAAAGAGGCCGTCCCTGGGTCCGGTCCCTCCCCCCAGGAAGAAGTCCAGCCCAAAGTCGGAGGTCACTGAGGAGCTGAAACAGGAGATCAGAGAGGCCTTTGAACTTTTTGACACCGACGCCTCCGGACACATTGATGTCAAGGAGCTAAAGGTCAGGGGGCAGAGGTTCAGGGTTAGGGGTTATGCACAGGGACAGTGTTTGTGTAACATGATGTACTACAGTACCCATAATGCTTATTAATACAGTGTTAGTCAACAAAGGTAGTCCTGGGGAGCTACGGGGTGTGCAAGCTTTTGTTCCAACTCAACACTAACACACCTGATTTTAACCAACCATCTATCTATCTATCTATCTATCTATCTATCTATCTATCTATCTATCTATCTATCTATCTATCTATCTATCTATCTATCTATCTATCTATCTATCTATCTATCTATCTATCTATCTATCTATCTATCTATCTATCTATCTATCTATCTATCTATCTATCTATCTCTCTCTAGGTTGCTATGAGGGCGCTGGGGTTTGAGCCTAAGAAAGAGGAGATTAAGAGGATGATAACAGAGGTGGATAAGGACGGAACAGGAAAGATCTCCTTCTCTGATTTCCTCACCGTCATGACTCAGAAGATGGTAAGAAAAACAACATAGTGAACACTGTCAGTGCTTGTAACATAACATTGCAATTTAGCAACCAAAAAAATGTGATGGGAGTTGTACATTTTAGTTCGCAAATATACAGTGTATTATGTTGTATTACGGGGTGTTTTAGTGATATTGTATCACCATGCTGTATTGTGTTACAGTGTATTGTATTACAGTGAATTGTATTACATTACATTACATTGAGTTGTAACTGTTACTGTCTACCCACCCAGACTGAGAAGGATTCTAAGGAGGAGATCCTGAAAGCATTCCGTCTGTTTGATGATGATGAAACTGGGAAGATCTCCTTCAGGAACCTGAAGAGGGTCGCCAAGGAACTAGGAGAGAACCTGACTGACGAGGAACTGCAGGTGAGACATATGTCTCACCTGGACAGCACTGAATACACACACACACACACACACCTGGACAGCACTGTACACACACGTGAACCTACAGGATGATATGGGATAGGATACAAGATAGCTTTATTTTGTCAAGAGAAATATACTGGTCTACTACTAAGGCTTCTGTTTAATCATTTACTGTGAATCTGCCATCCTCCCTTCCCCTGTCCCCTGCTTCCTCTCTCCTCTGTTCCCATCCCTCTCCCTCCCCTCTTTCCTCCACACCTCCAGGAGATGATCGAGGAGGCAGACAGGGATGGAGACGGGGAGGTGAACCAGGGAGAGTTCCTCCGCATCATGAAGAAGACCAGCCTGTACTGAGACTGGACCAGGGTGTTGTGGGGTAGAGGGTGGAGGGGTTAGAAGACCAGTCGGTACTGAGCCTGGACCAGAGTGTTGTGGGGTAGAGGGTGGAGGGGTTAGAAGACCAGCCGGTACTGAGACTGGACCAGGGTGTTGTGGGGTAGAGGGTAGAGGGTGGTGTTGAGGACATACTGGGGCAGAGGAGACTGTGGGTTGGTTTTACATGTTATGTACTAGTCAAGTCATTACTCAGTTATCCTGTCCTAGTTTAATTAGACAACTTCCTTTCCTCGTCTCCTTCCTTACCTCCTTACTGTCATGACCACTCATCAGTTAGAAAATACTATTTATCTGTCTCTTAGTTAGAATGCTGGTAGAGTCCCACAACAGTGCTTTCATCTATCAATAACCTGTTTCACCTTTCATATCTGTTATCGTGAAGGTAAATGGGACAAGGACAGGAAGCTGTTTAAGACGACTAGGATCCGATACTGCACACAGAAAGAAGCCAAACAATCATTTCCATTCCAGAACCTCTACTCTTCTCTCCTTCATATAGATAGCTTGATGTGACATTAAGGAATTGCCTAAAAGAATCGCCTTGCTCAAACCGATCCCCTTAAACAAACCTGTCTTTGTGCCTGAGTCTCTACCAGAGGGGATGAATCATCAGTTTCAGGGAAGACCCCACCTTCTCTACCCCTAGTCAGCCCCTCCCCTCCAACACCCACCTTAACACACCTTACATCTATTTGAACTCTAATCTAAAGTGAAAGTTGACTGTATGTTTCTTACTGTTATTGTTGTATTTTTGTCTCTTTGAATTATCTACTGTATGATCTCCTGTATTGAATGTTTTGTACATATAAACTGCATGTGCAGATCTATATCGATATTTAAGATATGGATTAATTAAATACTTTAAAGCAGTTTCTCCAGTGTCAGTGTATTCGTAAGACAAGATCATGGTACTGTGTCATGTTCTGACCATAGATATCCATATACTGTGTCACCATGTTGGATAAGTCTCTAGAAATAAATATTTCCCCTGACCAAAGATGGCTGTCCTATAGTCATGTTGCCAGGATGCCAATGTCCATTCTAGTGTTACTACACATGTCCATGTTTAATCTCTCGTCTAATGTTAGTACATCATTGCTAAGAGTGGACTCATTCTAAGATGCATTCAGGGCCTGTATTCACAAAGCATCTCATCCCAAATTAGGAGTGCTGGTCTAGGATCAGACCCTCACTGAACATATAATCTTATTCATTATCTTCTAAAAGGGACAACTGGTCCTAGACCAGCAATCTTCCTCTGAGATGCTTTTATTAACAGAAGCCCTGAACATGGTTAGACCTATGGATAACAGATGCTGTAAATGTTTCTATATTCCCCAACGCCAGTCCTTTATGTGCTATCAGACAAAATACTGACAGCCAGGTTGAGTCCAAAATGGCACCCTATTCCCTGCATAGTGCACTACTTTTGGCCAGAACCCTGTGGGCCCTAGTCCAAAGTAGTGGACTATATAGGGAATAGGGTGCCATTTGCGACGCTTCCCCAGACATCCGTTTTTAATATCTTCCTCCATGACAGAGCTGTGAATAAGCACATGTAATTTTTGAGAGGGAGAGAGGGGGGGAAAGAGAGAGAGAGAGAGAGAGAGACAGACAGAGAGGGAGAGAGAGAGAGGGGGAGGAGAGAAGAGAGGGGAGAGAGACGAGAGAAGATGAGGGGAAAGAGAGAGCGAGCAGGAGAGAGAGAGAGAGAGACAGGGGGAGGAGGAGGTGAGTAGAGAGAGAGATGAGAGAGAGAGAGAGAGAGAGAGAGAGAGAGAGGAGAGAGGGAGATGAGGGGGGTTGAGAAGAACAAGGAGGTACAGTACCTAAAGCTGTCATCAAGGCAAAGGGTGGCTACTTTGAAGAATCTCAAATATAACATATATTTTGATTTGTTTAACACTTTTTTGGTTACTACATGATTCCATATGTGTTATTTCATAGTTTTGATGTCTTCACTATTATTCTACAATGTAGAAAATAGTTTTTAAAAAGGAAAACCCTTGAATGAGTAGGTGTGTCCAAACCTTTGACTGGTAGTGTATATGAGTCGGTTTCTCCCAGCATATTATGAGATATCATCTCATTGGAAAGCTCCTAAGGAACATGAGTGAAACCTGAAAAGAGATTGATAAGAGATTGCAGAATTGGCATGTAGATTTGGAAGCAATTAACAATCTGATAACCTAAAGGAAAGCGACCACAGTGAGACAGCTGAAGGTAGGTGACCACAGTGAGACAGCTGAAGGTGAGTGTCCACAGTGAGACAGCTGAAGGTAAGCGACCACAGTGAGACAGCTGAAGGTGAGTGTCCACAGTGAGACAGCTGAAGGTAAGCGACCACAGTGAGACAGCTGAAGGTGAGTGTCCACAGTGAGACAGCTGAAGGTAAGCGACCACAGTGAGACAGCTGAAGGAGAGTGACCACAGTGAGACAGCTGAAGGTGAGTGTCCACAGTGAGACAGCTGAAGGTGAGTGACCACAGTGAGACAGCTGAAGGAGAGTGACCACAGTGAGACAGCTGAAGGAGAGTGACCACAGTGAGACAGCTGAAGGTGAGTGTCCACAGTGAGACAGCTGAAGTAGAGTGACCATAGTGAGACAGCTGAAGGTGAGTGACCACAGTGAGACAGCTGAAGGTTAGCGACCACAATGAGACACCTGAAGGTGAGTGACCACAGTGAGACAGCTGAAGGTGAGTGACCACAGTGAGACACCTGAAGGTGAGTGACCACAGTGAGACACCTGAAGGTGAGTGACCACAGTGAGACAGCTGAAGGTGAGTGTCCACAGTGAGACAGCTGAAGTAGAGTGACCATAGTGAGACAGCTGAAGGTGAGTGACCACAGTGAGACAGCTGAAGGTTAGCGACCACAATGAGACACCTGAAGGTGAGTGACCACAGTGAGACAGCTGAAGGTGAGTGACCACAGTGAGACACCTGAAGGTGAGTGACCACAGTGAGACAGCTGAAGGTGAGTGACCACATTGAGACAGCTGAAGGTGGGTGACCACAGTGAGACAGCTGAAGGTAAGTGTCAGTCAGCCAGACCTTAGTTCAAATACTATTTAGAGTATTTCAATTACTTTCAAAGACACTTGGAAAGTATTTTTTTTTAATACTTGAATACACTGACTCAAATACCCTCCAAGTATTTTAAAATACTTTCAAATTGTAGGCTATTTACAGGAAATTATTTGAAAATACTTTCAATTGAAGTCATTGATTCAGGCCACATTATTTTAAAATACTCAAATGCACAGAAAATAAGTATTTACATAACCAATACTGAAATACACATGTATTTGAATCCAGGTCTGCAGTCAGCACGTCTTTCAGCACTATGTTAATCATTTCCATGGACCATGATTAACATTAACATTATTTATTTGAATATGAGAGAACATGCTAGACAAAATGTAAGTAAAGAAGCCATTGAAAATGATATAAGTGTTGTACCCTTCAAAATAGGTATTGTTACTTTAGTACTGAGGATATTTGCAAACTAATCTGTCATATAAACTACCAGTGGTCAAGGTATGAGTATTGTAGCAGTTATTGGCTGCTGATTCTACTGTACAGTCGTGGTCAAAAGTTTTGAGAATGACACAAATATACATTTTCACAAAGTCTGATGCCTCAGTTTTTTGATGGCAATTTGCATATACTCCAGAATGTCATGAAGAGTGATCAGATGAATTGCAATTAATTGCAAAGTCCCTCTTTGCCATGAAAATAAACTTAATCCCCCCAAAACATTTCCACTGCATTTCAGCCCTGCCACAAAAGGACCAGCTGCCATCATGTCAGTGATTCTCTCCTTAACACAGGTGAGAGTGTTGACGAGGACAAGGCTGGAGATCACTCTGTCATGCTGATTGAGTTAGAATAACAGACTGGAAGCTTTAAAAGGAGGGTGGTGCTTGAAATCATTGTTCTTCCTATGTTAACCATGGTTACCTGCAAGGAAACACGTGCCGTCATCATTGCTTTGCACAAAAAGGGCTTCACAGGCAAGGATATTGCTGCTAGTAAGATTGCACCTAAATCAACCATTTATCGGATCATCAAGAACTTCAAGGAGAGAGGTTCAATTGTTGTGAAGAATGCGTCATGGTGCCCAAGAAAGTCCAGCAAGCGCCAGGACCGTCTCCTAAAGTTGATTCAGCTGCGGGATCGGGGCACCACCAGTGCAGAGCTTGCTCAGGAATGGCAGCAGGCAGGTGTGAGTGCATCTGCACGCACAGTGAGGCGAAGACTTTTGGAGGATGGCCTGGTGTCAAGAAGGGCAGCAAATAAGCCACTTCTCTCCAGGAAAAACATCAGGGACAGACTGATATTCTGCAAAAGGTACAGGGATTGGACTGCTGAGGACTGGGGTAAAGTCATTTTCTCTGATGAATCCCCTTTCCAATTGTTTGGGGCATTCGGAAAACACTTTGTCCGGAGAAGACAAGGTGAGCGCTACCATCAGTCCTGTGTCATGCCAACAGTAAAGCATCCTGAGACCATTCATGTGTGGGTTTGCTTCTCAGCCAAGGGAGTGGGCTCACTCACGATTTTGCCTAAGAACACAGCCATGAATAAAGAATGGTACCAACACATCCTCCGAGAGCAACTTCTCCCAACCATCCAAGAACAGTTTGGTGACGAACAATGCCTTTTCCAGCATGATGGAGCACCTTGCCATAAGGCAAAAGTGATAACTAAGTGGCTCGGGGAACAAAACATCGACATTTTGGGTCCATGGCCAGGAAACTCCCCAGACCTTAATCCCATTGAGATCTTGTGGTCAATCCTCAAGAGGCGGGTGGACAAACAAAAACCCACAAATTATGACAAACTCCAAGCATTGATTATGCAAGAATGGGCTGCCATCAGTCAGGATGTGGCCCAGAAGTTAATTGACAGCATGCCAGGGCGGATTGCAGAGGTCTTGAAAAAGAAGGGTCAACACTGCAAATATTGACTCTTTGCATAAACTTAATGTAATTGTCAATAAAAGCCTTTGACACTTATGGAATGCTTGTAATTATATTTCCGTATTCCATAGTAACATCTGACAAAAATATCTCATAACACTGAAGCAGCGAACTTTGTGAAGAGCAATACTTGTGTCATTTTCAAAACTTTTGACCACGACTGTACTGTGGATTATTCCATTCATCAATTATGAGTCTGTACTCTTTAGGTATGTCTCCTCTACCAGGAGCACAATTCTAATCTCTCGCTTCTCCATGACATTTCAAGTGAGGTCAGGTCAACTTTAGTTCACCACTCTGAGGCATAAACACATTGGTTGTCCCAATAATCTCTCCTTTGTACCTGTTAACTTCCCTTTGTCATCTACAAATCCTCACAGTGTAAAAATCCACCACTGATTAAAAAGGAAATTACTGGTATAAGAAATATGGTGGAAACTCCCTCTTGCCCATGCCTCCACCAATCCTATGCTTTTAAATGTATGGGAAGCTAGTGGTGGCGCAGTGGTCTAAGGCACTGCATTGCAGTGCTAACTGTGCCACTAGAGATCCTGGTTCGAATCCAGGCTCTGTCGCAGCCAGCCGCGACCAGAGACTCATGGGCGGCGCACAATTGGCCCAGCGTCGTCCAGGGTAGGGGAGGGAATGGCCGGCAGGGATGTAGCTCAGTTGATAGAGCATGGCGTTTGCAACGCCAGGGTTGTGGGTTTGATTCCCACAGGGGGCCAGTATATATAAAAAAAATATGTATTCACTAACTGTAAGTCGCTCTGGATAAGAGCGTCTGCTAAATGACTTAAATGTAGTGAACGAGTGTACACTTCAGGAGAAAGGAGATATTATTGGGACACACCCATTGATGTTGGGGTAAACTGTTCCAGATCCAGCAGTGACGGAGTCGTCATGGGAACCACCAACTGTAACGTGAAGGCCTTGCAGAACGTGGTGACCCAGATGGACAGTCACCTCTACCACCTGGCCTAACTGATCTCCCTGTGTGTCGGCTGTACCCTCAACACCCTCCTCTGCCCCTCCCATCACCAGAGCCCCCTCCATGCTCAGCCAAACACACTTCTTCATCCTCACACATCTCCTCTGCTGCGACAACCTACAGGTCAGAATCGGAATCAGAATTAGCTTGATTCGCTATGTACATTTACATGTAGCAGGAATTTGACCTGGTGAAATGGTGCTGACCACAATGAACAGAATGTAGACAGGTCAGGGCTACGTAACAGTGATGGTGGGGAGTTTGGAGTTGTGACTAGGGCTGTTACGGTGACCATATTACCGTCACGTTCAGTCACAGTAATTAGGCTTCTCCAAGCGCTGATGCTGCTGATGGTCATTAGTAGCCTACCAAACTTGCTAAATGCCTGGTACTCAGCACTCTACTGTCCCTCTGGTCAGTCTGACATCAATGCAAATGTATTCAAAAATCTAACCAAACACTTCATGAGAGCCCATGAGCTCATGTTGCGCAACATTTCTATAGGCTGTGCAATTGCATGAGAAAACAGAGTTTTGATGGCCTCTATTAAAAAGAGGAGGATCCCATTAGCTAGGCCTACTATATTTATTTCTCAACTTTCCTAATATTAAGCACATTGCTTCTCTTTACAACAGGAGTATAGCCTACCTGGCTGGCATAAAAATGAACCACAGGAATAGCAACTTCCATTCGCTATTTAAGTGCATAGATTACATGTATTTTCCCCCCCTGCCCCTGTTTCATGACAGGTGCATGATAATGGTCCATTCTAAATCAAAACAAATTTCACACATATATTATTTAGTATATGTAAAGACAAGATTAAATCAAGAATAGTCTGATGGGTGACAATATTAGCTTATCACTTGTGAATGATATATTATGACTTGTGAATGATGCCCAGCATAAGAAACAATGCCTATATTTTACGACTTTTTCCAATCATAGTCGCACACCTCATGTAGCCTAGCCCATAGGCCTATATGTTTTGATAAGGTTTGTATTACAACTAAAGTGGCCAAATAACTTCTTGAAATGTAGCACATTAAACACTTTACAACGGGTGTAGAGCCTAACTGGCATACATATGCAGCGAGTGAGTTTCAAGTTTGGGGAAGATAATTTTCACCATAAAAATGCACCTTTATAATAAAAGCGTTACATGCATAATAACATTTGCGGTCACTTTTGATAATGGTCTTTTCCGCTAATGGAACATTCACACTTAAAGCCTACAACCATTTGCGCATTGCTGCGCTTATAATGTGAAGAAATAGCCTAATAGTTTTTCAACATTTTAAGCTAAAAGTTCTGATCGGTTGCGTCAGCCTCATTGTGTAAAAAAACTTTATTGATGCTAATGGTGGTATTAATGTGGGATCTATCGCATCCCACAACTGTCCCAGACTACGTTAGCATATTTATTTATCGCGCAGAATAGGTCAACTTTTGTACTATGGGGGATAGTAGATTGACATAGGCTAGTGCTTTTGCTGTTCGTTAGGCCTACTCATTATGTTGGCTGACGAAAAGTAAATGTGGACAGTTCTTCCAATATCTTCAATATGCGCCTCGGAATTGGATAAGGACGCACGCAGTTGCGTCCCGGATGTGTCTGTTTTCGCTTGTAGCCGGAGAGAAAGACCCGATCACGTGACGGAGAGCCATGTGAGTGAGAGGTGCTTCGGAGCACGCAGCCGGGGAATTATAAATATTATATTCAGCCCAAAGGCCCTCGACCGCTGCGTGGCGGTCAAGTTGCCTCTAAAGTCTACCCCCGCCGCCAACGGGCCGCCATTGCAGCGACCTGGTCCCTGTCAATCCTGGTCAGTGCTGTTGGCTCTGAGTAGCATGGAGGTTAACGCCTCTCTCCCCCGCTGCAGAGTTCTCATCCTGGCTCCGTGTCTCTGTCTGGGGCCTCAGCCCTGGGCCTCAGCCCTGGGCCTCTTCTTCACGGTGGTGAGTGACGTGGTTTCCCCCGCCTGCTACCTCACTACGCTGGCCTGTTTTCTGCTGCTGTGCTGGGACACCAGGAGTGGAGGTGGGCTCCTCTGCTCCAGGCGGACAACAGTTACCCTGGCCCGCCAGACACTGTTCTACTCCCCTCTTGGGTCCACTGTGACAGGCTGGATATAGCCACCACCTATAACCTGGGGATATCGCTGCTCCTACTGGTGTATGGTTACCAGTCCAGGGAGCTACAGAGGCTGCTACTGACAAAACCATCAACCACGTTATGGTCAGCTCCATCAGCCAATGACAGGAGAGCATTTGCCAATGACAGGAGAGCGTATGATCAGCTCCAGCCAATGACAGCAGAGCGTATGATCAGTTCCAGCCAATGACTGGGGGATATTAGATTAGGGGCGCAGCAGCCAGTGTGGGGACATAACATTGTGAACATAACATTGTGAACATTGGGGTTTGCAGTCACAGACCAATCCTAAACCCTCAACCAAGGGGAAATGGCTAATGGGCCAGAAGGAAGGGAGCTACAGGACGTCCACCTGTCCATCTTTCTCTTAACAATACAACTGTCTTGTTTGACATTGCCAACTGACAGAACTACAAATCACTTTGCTTAAAAAATAAGTACTCAATATTATTTGTAGATCAGTCAGTCAGTCACAATTTTACCCATAATGCACCCCCACCCTCAGAACAGCCTCAATTCATCAGGGCATGGCCTCTACAAGGTGACTCCAATGCTTCCCACAGTTGTGTCAAGTCGGCTGGATGTCGTTTTCGGTGGTGGACCATTCTTGATACACACTGGAAACTGTTGAGCGTGAAAAACCCAGCAGCGTTGCAGTTCTTGACACAAACCTTTGCGCCTGGTTACCTACTACCATACCCCATTCAAAAGGCACTTCCATTTTGTGCCTTGCCCATTCGCCCTCTGAATGAAGGGTACATGTACCAAAGCACACAGAATGGCTCTAATGAACAGCAATGGGATAACATTCCTCACCTTTACTGATGTTAGCCTACCACGGACTCATCAGATATGTTTATACTGTGGAGTTGACACTGACGTGTAAAACATCAAATCTTTATTGAAAAATAACGTTTTCATCAACAAAACATCAACAACAACAAATATATATTATTAAGACAAACGTTGAAAATGTAACCTAAAATTGTATGCGAAGCTGCCACATCTGCCTGTTATGAACCATATGAAATTTCATAGAACAATTTTCACCAATTAATATTTCAAGTAATTCAAAACAGTTGGTCACAAAATGATATTTGAAAGGTATGAATCCATGTCACAGGCAGGCTTGACAACAATATATGACTGATTCACGTTGCCTTTAGTCACTGTTCAGTGTGTCTCTTGGCTCATTTCACTGTAATGGTGAGACTCCAGTTAGAGACGTAAGGAATGACAACAGACTCACCATAGCTGCCTCTGAAAACCTGATACATACACAGAGCTATTTAAGACAGACATATCAACTTGAAGATCCCACTACACATTAGGATGGTTAAAAGAGAAGGATCCCACTAATCTAACACATTAGGATGGTTGAAAGAGAAGGATCCCACTAATCTAACACATTAGGATGGTTGAAAGAGAAGGATCCCACTAATCTAACACATTAGGATGGTTGAAAGAGAAGGATCCCACTAATCTAACACATTAGGATGGTTGAAAGAGAAGGATCCCACTAATCTAACACATTAGGATGGTTGAAAGAGAAGGATCCCACTAATCTAACACATTAGGATGGTTAAAATAGAAGGATCCCACTAATCTAACACATTAGGATGGTTGAAAGAGAAGGATCCCACTAATCTAACACATTATGATGGTTAAAAGAAAAGGATCCCACCATTGCTTCAAATCAGAGCAGTGGAAATCTTCAAGCCAATGATACAGTTTTTGAAATACAGGGAGAGCTGATCCCGCTCTTTCTCCCTCTCAGCTCTGGCTGAGTTTGGTCTTGGTGGCGAAGTCAACACTGAGTTTCCTCATCACGTCACCGTGGCTCTGACCCACCAGGTCCTGGCGAACGCTCCCATAGTTCTCCTTGACGAAGTTGGCGAAGGGCGTGGGCGCCCGGGGCTTGGCGGGGGTGAGCAGGACCAGCTGACCCGTACAGAGGGCACACACAAACCTCTGGGTATCCAGAGACTTAGAGTGGCGACCGAGCCTACAGAGGGGAGGAAGATGAGAACAGTTTAGCCATCAATTGGTTTTCTAGTTTAGCCATCAATAATTTTTCGAGTTTAGCCATCAATTCATGGGAATACATGCTAGATTGAGTGCTTGAACTACCTATTTTGATACTATAACTATAAGCTATGACAATACATACTGTAGGGGGAGAAAGAGAGTATACAAGTTTAGTCTCAGGCAACTGATACATCAATAATATAATGCCATTTAGCAGACACTTTTATCCCAAGTGATTAACACTACAGTGAGTATATATTGTTGATGTATGCGTCTCCTGCTGAGCCACACAGGGCAAATACTTCAATTGACGGAATGACTCAGTTTCCTAGGATTAAATAAATCCATCTTTAAATATCCCCAATCACCATTTCATTTGCAGCACTAAAACAGTATTCATCTAAGCGTAAGCCAGGGACAGACAGGAAGCTGCCAGGGACAGACAGGAAGCTGCCAGGGACAGACAGGAAGCTGGTGTTGACGTACGTGTTTTTGCAGCGGCTGCACTGGTACTGGTACTTGTAGTTAATGTCGTAGCTGTGGCAGCGGGTGACCGTGGGCAGCTCGGGGTGTGCCAGCGTAGCCTTGCGGGCGTACAGCTTCCAGAAGGGGCCGTGCCCATCCCTCACACTGTTGATCAACCAGGTGGCAGCGTGGCACATCTCATGGACCAACGTGTCACGCAGACGGTCTGGGAGGACGGGGCAGGACGGAGACGGGGCAGGACGGAGAAGTAGGATGGGAGGGAGAGAGGGAGGGAGAGAGGATGGGTGAGAATGAGGGATGATGGGAGAGAAAGAAGGAGATATTTTACACAAGTTTAAAATCATACATACACGGGCTATTCACATTCAAGTTTGACTTTAAATGACTTACACCAGAACCTAACTCCAACGTTGTAACAACATACATTTAATCTCATGTCATTAGTTCTTCAACCAGCCAAGCCTTACCTGCAGAGTCACAGACCTTCTCAGAGAGTTGGATGCGGGCGTATCGGTTCCCTCCTCCTCTCTCCTGCCCTGTGATGCAGTAGCCAGCAGTCTTCCTCATCTTCTTATTCCAGCTCACTGACATGTTACTGGGCAGCTGGGGCACAAAGAGGTTAGAAAGGTAACAAGAGGTAAAACAGCTCACTGACATGTTACTGGGCAGCTGGGGCACAAAGACGTTAGAAAGGTAACAAGAGGTAAAACAGCTCACTGACATGTTACTGGGCAGCTGGGGCACAAAGACGTTAGAAAGGTAACAAGAGGTAAAACAGCTCACTGACATGTTACTGGGCAGCTGGGGCACAAAGACGTTAGAAAGGTAACAAGAGGTAAAACAGCTCACTGACATGTTACTGGGCAGCTGGGGCACAAAGAGGTTAGAAAGGTAACAAGAGGTAAAACATGCAAGACAAGCCCAGGTCACATGATGTTATGGTGCAGGTCAACACAAAACACTGTATAAGATGGCATCTTTATCACTAAGTAATATGGCAGTATACACTACCAGTCAAAGGTTTGGACAAACCTACTCATTCAAGGGTTTTTCTTTATTTTTTTTACAATGTCTTACACTGTAGAATAATAGTGAAGACATCAAAACTATGAAATAACACATACGGAATTATGTAGTAGCCAAAAAAGTGTTAAACAAACCAGAGATTCTTCAAATAGCCACCCTTTGCCTTGATGACAGCTTTGCACACTCTTGGCATTCTCTCAACCAGCTTCATGAGGTAGTCACCTGGAATGCATTTCAATTAACAGGTGTGCCTTCTTAAAAAGTTAATTTGTGGAATTTATTTCCTTCTTAATGCGTTTGAGCCAATCAGTTGTGTTGTGACAAGGTAGTGGGGTATACAGAAGATAGCCCTATTTGGTAAAAGACCAAGTCCATATTATGGCAAGAACAGCTCAATTAAGCAAAGAGAAACGACAGTCCATCATTACTTTAAGACATGAAGGTCAGTCAATACGGAACATTTCAAGAACATTGAAAAATTCTGCAAGTGCAGTCGCAAAAACCATCAAGCGCTATGATGAAACTGGCTCTCATGAGGACCGCCACAGGAATGGAAGACCCAGAGTTACCTCTGCTGCAGAGGATAAGTTCATTAGAGTTACCAGCCTCAGAAACTGCATCCCAAATAAATGCTTCACAGAATTCAAGTAACAGACACATCTCAACATCAACTGTTCAGAGGGGACTGTGTGAATCAGGCCTTCATGGTCGAATTGCTGCAAAGAAACCACTACTAAAGGACACCAATGAGAAGAAGAGACTTGCTTGGGCCAAGAAACACGAGCAATGTACATTAGACTGGTGGAAATCTGTCCAAATGTGAGATTTTTGGTCTGGTTTGTCAAATTTGTCCTTTGGTCTGGAGTCCAAATTGGAGACTTTTGGTTCAAACCGCTGTGTCTTTGTAAGACGCGGTGTGGGTGAACGGATGATCTCCGCATGTGTAGTTCCCACCGTAAAGCATGGAGGAGGAGGTGTTATGGTGTGGGGGTGCTTTGCTGGTGACACTGTCTGTGATTTATTTAGAATTCATTTAACCAGCATGGCTACCACAGCATTCTGCAGCGACACGCCATCCCATCTGGTTTGGGCTTAGTGGGACTATAATTGGTTTTTCAACAGGACAATGACCCAACACACCTCCAGGCTGTGTAAGGGCTATTTTACCAAGAAGGAGAGTGATGGAGTGCTGCATCAGATGACCTGGCCTCCACAATCCCACGACCTCAACCCAATTGAGATGGTTTGGGATGAGTCGGACAGCAGAGTGAAAGAAAAGCAGCCAACAAGTGCTCAGCATATGTGGGAAGTCCTTCAAGACTGTTGGAAAAGCATTCCAGGTGAAGCTGGTTGAGAGAATGCCAAGAGTGTGCAAAGCTGTCATCAAGGCAAAGGGTGGCTACTTTGAAGAATCTCAAATGTAAAATATATTTTCATTTGTTTAACACTTTTTTGGTTACTACATGATTCCATATGTGTTATTTCATAGTTTTGATGTCTTCACTATTATTCTACAATGTAGAAAATAGTAAAAAAATAAAGAAAAACCCTTGAATGAGTAGGTGTTCTAAAACTTTTGTCTGGTACTGTATGTATGCTTATAACCTGTGTGTTTATCACTGTATAGCCTATGTATGCTTAAAGTGTGCGTGTACCTTGCTGTCGAACACGCTGGTGTTGTACAGGCAGTACAGTTTGCTGGTGAGCTCCTCCTTGGTCTGTTTGAAGTTGCGGCTGTAGCTGGAGCCTGGTCCAGACAGAGACTGGAGGAAACACCCCGGAGTCATACACACTGCTGACACTCTGAGGAGAGAAACACAGCCTGGAGTCTAACACACTGCTGACACTCTGAGGAGAGAAACACAGCCTGGAGTCTAACACACTGCTGCTGACACACTGAGGAGAGAAACACAGCCTGGAGTCTAACACACTGCTGACACTCTGAGGAGAGAAACACAGCCTGGAGTCTAACACACTGCTGCTGACACTCTGAGGAGAGAAACACAGCCTGGAGTCATACACACTGCTGACACTCTGAGGAGAGAAACACAGCCTGGAGTCTAACACACTGCTGACACACTGAGGAGAGAAACACAGCCTGGAGTCTAACACACTGCTGCTGACACTCTGAGGAGAGAAACACAGCCTGGAGTCTAACACACTGCTGACACTCTGAGGAGAGAAACACAGCCTGGAGTCATACACACTGCTGACACTCTGAGGAGAGAAACACAGCCTGGAGTCATACACACTGCTGACACTCTGAGGAGAGAAACACAGTCTGGAGTCTAACACACTGCTGACACACTGAGGAGAGAAACACATCCTGGAGTCTAACACACTGCTGCTGACACTCTGAGGAGAGAAACACAGCCTGGAGTCTAACACACTGCTGCTGACACTCTGAGGAGAGAAACACAGCCTGGAGTCTAACACACTGCTGCTGACACTCTGAGGAGAGAAACACAGCCTGGAGTCTAACACACTGCTGACACTCTGAGGAGAGAAACACAGCCTGGAGTCTAACACACTGCTGACACTCTGAGGAGAGAAACACAGCCTGGAGTCTAACACACTGCTGACACTCTGAGGAGAGAAACACAGCCTGGAGTCTAACACACTGCTGACACTCTGAGGAGAGAAACACAGCCTGGAGTCTAACACACTGCTGACACTCTGAGGAGAGAAACACAGCCTGGAGTCTAACACACTGCTGACACTCTGAGGAGAGAAACACAGCCTGGAGTCTAACACACTGCTGATGACACACTGAGGAGAGAAACACAGCCTGGAGTCTAACACACTGCTGCTGACACACTGAGGAGAGAAACACAGCCTGGAGTCTAACACACTGCTGCTGACACACTGAGGAGAGAAACACAGCCTGGAGTCTAACACACTGCTGACACTCTGAGGAGAGAAACACAGCCTGGAGTCTAACACACTGCTGCTGACACTCTGAGGAGAGAAACACAGCCTGGAGTCATACACACTGCTGACACTCTGAGGAGAGAAACACAGCCTGGAGTCTAACACACTGCTGACACTCTGAGGAGAGAAACACAGCCTGGAGTCTAACACACTGCTGCTGACACTCTGAGGAGAGAAACACAGCCTGGAGTCTAACACACTGCTGACACTCTGAGGAGAGAAACACAGCCTGGAGTCATACACACTGCTGACACTCTGAGGAGAGAAACACAGTCTGGAGTCTAACACACTGCTGACACACTGAGGAGAGAAACACATCCTGGAGTCTAACACACTGCTGCTGACACTCTGAGGAGAGAAACACAGCCTGGAGTCTAACACACTGCTGCTGACACTCTGAGGAGAGAAACACAGCCTGGAGTCTAACACACTGCTGCTGACACTCTGAGGAGAGAAACACAGCCTGGAGTCTAACACACTGCTGACACTCTGAGGAGAGAAACACAGCCTGGAGTCTAACACACTGCTGACACTCTGAGGAGGGAAACACAGCCTGGAGTCTAACACACTGCTGACACTCTGAGGAGAGAAACACAGCCTGGAGTCTAACACACTGCTGACACTCTGAGGAGAGAAACACAGCCTGGAGTCTAACACACTGCTGACACTCTGAGGAGAGAAACACAGCCTGGAGTCTAACACACTGCTGACACTCTGAGGAGAGAAACACAGCCTGGAGTCTAACACACTGCTGACACTCTGAGGAGAGAAACACAGCCTGGAGTCTAACACACTGCTGACACTCTGAGGAGAGAAACACAGCCTGGAGTCTAACACACTGCTGATGACACACTGAGGAGAGAAACACAGCCTGGAGTCTAACACACTGCTGCTGACACACTGAGGAGAGAAACACAGCCTGGAGTCTAACACACTGCTGACACACTGAGGAGAGAAACACAGCCTGGAGTCTAACACACTGCTGACACTCTGAGGAGAGAAACACAGCCTGGAGTCTAACACACTGCTGCTGACACTCTGAGGAGAGAAACACAGCCTGGAGTCATACACACTGCTGACACTCTGAGGAGAGAAACACAGCCTGGAGTCTAACACACTGCTGACACTCTGAGGAGAGAAACACAGCCTGGAGTCTAACACACTGCTGCTGACACTCTGAGGAGAGAAACACAGCCTGGAGTCTAACACACTGCTGACACTCTGAGGAGAGAAACACAGCCTGGAGTCTAACACACTGCTGCTGACACTCTGAGGAGAGAAACACAGCCTGGAGTCATACACACTGCTGACACTCTGAGGAGAGAAACACAGCCTGGAGTCTAACACACTGCTGACACTCTGAGGAGAGAAACACAGCCTGGAGTCATACACACTGCTGACACTCTGAGGAGAGAAACACAGTCTGGAGTCTAACACACTGCTGACACACTGAGGAGAGAAACACAGCCTGGAGTCATACACACTGCTGACACTCTGAGGAGAGAAACACAGCCTGGAGTCTAACACACTGCTGACACACTGAGGAGAGAAACACATCCTGGAGTCTAACACACTGCTGCTGACACTCTGAGGAGAGAAACACATCCTGGAGTCTAACACACTGCTGACACTCTGAGGAGAGAAACACAGCCTGGAGTCATACACACTGCTGACACTCTGAGGAGAGAAACACAGCCTGGAGTCTAACACACTGCTGACACTCTGAGGAGAGAAACACAGCCTGGAGTCTAACACACTGCTGCTGACACTCTGAGGAGAGAAACACAGCCTGGAGTCTAACACACTGCTGACACTCTGAGGAGAGAAACACAGCCTGGAGTCTAACACACTGCTGACACACTGAGGAGAGAAACACATCCTGGAGTCTAACACACTGCTGCTGACACTCTGAGGAGAGAAACACATCCTGGAGTCTAACACACTGCTGACACTCTGAGGAGAGAAACACAGCCTGGAGTCATACACACTGCTGACACTCTGAGGAGAGAAACACAGCCTGGAGTCTAACACACTGCTGCTGACACTCTGAGGAGAGAAACACAGCCTGGAGTCTAACACACTGCTGACACTCTGAGGAGACAAACACAGCCTGGAGTCATACACACTGCTGACACTGAGGAGAGAAACACAGTCTGGAGTCTAACACACTGCTGACACACTGAGGAGAGAAACACAGCCTGGAGTCATACACACTGCTGACACACTGAGGAGAGAAACACAGCCTGGAGTCTAACACACTGCTGCTGACACACTGAGGAGAGAAACACAGCCTGGAGTCTAACACACTGCTGCTGACACTCTGAGGAGAGAAACACAGCCTGGAGTCTAACACACTGCTGACACTCTGAGGAGAGAAACACAGCCTGGAGTCTAACACACTGCTGACACTCTGAGGAGAGAAACACAGCCTGGAGTCATACACACTGCTGCTGACACTCTGAGGAGAGAAACACAGCCTGGAGTCTAACACACTGCTGACACTGAGGAGAGAAACACAGCCTGGAGTCTAACACACTGCTGCTGACACTCTGAGGAGAGAAACACAGCCTGGAGTCTAACACACTGCTGACACTGAGGAGAGAAACACAGCCTGGAGTCTAACACACTGCTGCTGACACTCTGAGGAGAGAAACACAGCCTGGAGTCATACACACTGCTGACACTCTGAGGAGAGAAACACAGCCTGGAGTCTAACACACTGCTGACACACTGATGAGAGAAACACAGACAGATACAGACAGACTGACACACACACTTCACTGAACCTATGTATTTAGATCAGTGTAGAATAGATGGAGAGGAGACAGTATTGATCTCCACCCTGCCCTAGGCCCTGTTCAATATTACCTGGAGGAGGAAAGGCTACTGGTCTGGAGTCTGGTTTCCGTCTGGGACACTGTGGGTTTAGTGACGAGCGGCCGCACCGGGGTCTTCAGATCCAATGGTGTTCTCCCTACCGGCCGAGGGCCCGCCTCTTTCGAGGCTTTGGGCCGTGGAGCTGACAGGGGGGGCTTCTGATTGGGCACTGGATTCACACACATCAGGAAGCAGCCAATGAGATTACATGATATAGAAACAAAAAAGAAATGTGCCACCCCACTTTACAAAAAGATCCCTGTGTATTACTGTTACCTGTTTTGTGTTTAGGTGTTGGGGTGTTACCTGTGTTATGTTTAGGTGTTACCTGTGTTATGTTTAGGTGTTACCTGTGTTATGTTTAGGTGTTACCTGTGTTACGTTTAGGTGTTACCTGTGTTACGTTTAGGTGTTGGGGTGTTACCTGTTTTGTGTTTAGGTGTTGGGGTGTTACCTGTGTTATGTTTAGGTGTTGGGGTGTTACCTGTGTTACGTTTAGGTGTTGGGGTGTTACCTGTTTTGTGTTTAGGTGTTGGGGTGTTACCTGTGTTACGTTTAGGTGTTGGGGTGTTACCTGTGTTACGTTTAGGTGTTGGGGTGTTACCTGTGTTATGTTTAGGTGTTGGGGTGTTACCTGTGTTACGTTTAGGTGTTGGGGTGTTACCTGTGTTACGTTTAGGTGTTACCTGTGTTACGTTTAGGTGTTGGGGTGTTACCTGTGTTACGTTTAGGTGTTGGGGTGTTACCTGTGTTACGTTTAGGTGTTGGGGTGTTACCTGTGTTACGTTTAGGTGTTGGGGTGTTACCTGTGTTACGTTTAGGTGTTGGGGTGTTACTTGTGTTATGTTTAGGTGTTGGGGTGTTACCTGTGTTACGTTTAGGTGTTGGGGTGTTACCTGTGTTACGTTTAGGTGTTGGGGTGTTACCTGTGTTACGTTTAGGTGTTGGGGTGTTACGTTTAGGTGTTGGGGTGTTACCTGTGTTACGTTTAGGTGTTGGGGTGTTACCTGTGTTATGTTTAGGTGTTGGGGTGTTACCTGTGTTATGTTTAGGTGTTGGGGTGTTACGTTTAGGTGTTGGGGTGTTACCTGTGTTATGTTTAGGTGTTGGGGTGTTACCTGTGTTACGTTTAGGTGTTGGGGTGTTGGGGTGTTACCTGTGTTGTGTTTAGGTGTTGGGGTGTTACCTGTGTTATGTTTAGGTGTTACCTGTGTTATGTTTAGGTGTTGGGGTGTTACCTGTGTTATGTTTAGGTGTTACCTGTGTTATGTTTAGGTGTTGGGGTGTTACCTGTGTTATGTTTAGGTGTTACCTGTGTTACGTTTAGGTGTTGGGGTGTTGCCGGTCTTGTGGTTCTTCTTAATTCTGTCCAGTAAGCTGAGGAACTCTTCCTCTGAGCTGGCTGAGTCCTCCAGCTTCGACGGGGCTGAGTGGGTCCGCTGTGGAACGGATGCCGGGGAGGGGGTGAAGGAGGAGAGGGGGGGAGGAGGAGAGCTGGGAGAGGGGGAGGGCAGAGGAGGAGGGGCGGGAGAGGGGGAGGGCAGAGGAGGAGGGGCGGGAGAGGGAAAGAAGATGTTGGCTACTTTGCAGGACTTCTGGTTACTTTGCAGGACTTTGAGCTTCTGTGACGGCGGCGGCTGGTGCACAGGGTTGCGCGTCCTCCATGTGCTCTTCATCACGATACCATCTTCTTCTTCACTGTCACTGAGGAAAACTGGGGAGTCACACTGGGACAGGGGTCTTCTGACTGGGGGCTGGGAGGATGACAGCTTAGGGGTGTTAAACGCACCTGTAGAAGACAGACACACAGTGTCTTTTCATTGATGAGTCTCCATGAGTTAAACAAAACAGACAGTGACTGTTGAGTAGGTAATGCTTTTGGCCTAACAACTGCCCCTAGCCGTGACAATATATCATATTAACCAAGGCTTCCTGGGTATTACTTCAATACTAGCTATGCAAAGAAAAGTCATCACAGTGCTGAACTGAAATCGAGCAGAAAGAACTTCTTAGAAACAGATTTCAGTTTATTACAAGTATGTATGAGGACAGTCAATGTCTGCGTATCAAATGGCACCCTATCCCCTATATAGTCCACTATTTTTTTTAAAGAGCCCTATGCTCCCTGGTCAAAAGTAGTGCACTACATAGGGAATAGGTTGCCATTAGGGAAGCAGTCAATGTTACCTTTGGAGGTAGATGGTTTTTTCTTCTCGACGACAAAGTCATCATCGGAGGAAAAGCTGTCGACAATGAAGTTTCTGAGGCTGAGGACAAAACAGGAGACAAACCTGAGTATTTAACACACGATAGGGACCATAGTCAAGGTAAGAGAGGTTGGAACCACTGTACCTGTCTTCACTGCCACGCTCTGCTTCCTTGGGCTTAGGCTTGGGAGTTTTCACACGGCTCAGGACTTCAGGGGCACCAGAGGAGAGACAACAAGGGAACAGTAAACATGTCATCCCCCACGAATGATGCAGCGGCAGTTATACCTCCCGCTTTGCCTTTTCATCTCTGGTGTGACTCACAAATTCCCGTTAATTACTAAAGCTCCCGCCTTGGGCCAATCAGTGTAGTTTTGTAAATGCCGGATCTCTATGGCAAGACGCATCATTCACCAGAGTTGAGTCAAAATCGGGCCAGTGTTGTCAGATATCGTGTGTGACTAACGCACGAACGGACGGAGACCGATCCACAGTTCCCTCCCCGATTTCATAGTGGGGGACAATGACATGAATAAGGAGACATCGAAGGGACCTGGGCCCGGTTTCCCGGTAGCGATGGAACCTAGGCTTACGAGTGTTTTAAGGATGCATCTTTCCTACAACGGCCGAAGACGTAACATGCGTTTCCCAAAACACCGCGCAGAGAGAACGTTCACAAGTTGGTTGTTGAGGCAAGTGTCAATACTGATAGGATGGAAAGGAAGGAAGCGCTGCTCTCAGATCAGCTTTCTCCATTCAGATCTTACCTTAACATTATAATTATTTCACAATACTGACCAAGGATCAGCTCCTAAAGAGATTATCACCTATGGCTGCAGATATTGAGGTGGCTTATTCTAATGCTTACCCTATAAAATGCACTAAACCAAGATTGGGCACGTTAGGCTACACATTATGAAATATATTGAGGCAAACATTATAGACAGTAGCCAAATAAAACTCAATTTGATGAACATGAAATTGATTGAATCATTGAAATATATATTAATATATAGGCCTATAGTCTATACTGTAGGTAGGCTATTTACAGTGGGGGAAAAAAGTATTTAGTCAGCCACCAATTGTGCAAGTTCTCCCACTTAAAAAGATGAGAGAGGCCTGTAATTTTCATCATAGGTACACGTCAACTATGACAGACAAATTGAGAATATTTTTTCCAGAAAATCACATTGTAGGATTTTTAATGAATTTATTTGCAAATTATGGTGGAAAATAAGTATTTGGTCACCTACAAACAAGCAAGATTTCTGGCTCTCACAGACCTGTAACTTCTTCTTTAAGAGGCTCCTCTGTCCTCCACTCGTTACCTGTATTAATGGCACCTGTTTGAACTTGTTATCAGTATAAAAGACACCTGTCCACAAGCTCAAACAGTCACACTCCAAACTCCACTATGGCCAAGACCAAAGAGCTGTCAAAGGACACCAGAAACAAAATTGTAGACCTGCACCAGGCTGGGAAGACTGAATCTGCAATAGGTAAGCAGCTTGGTTTGAAGAAATCAACTGTGGGAGCAATGATTAGGATATGGAAGACATACAAGACCACTGATAATCTCCCTCGATCTGGGGCTCCACGCAAGATCTCACCCTGTGGGGTCAAAATGATCACAAGAACGGTGAGCAAAAATCCCAGAACCACACGGGGGGACCTAGTGAATGACCTGCAGAGAGCTGGGACCAAAGTAACAAAGCCTACCATCAGTAACACACTACGCCGCCAGGGACTCAAATCCTGCAGTGCCAGACGTGTCCCCCTGCTTAAGCCAGTACATGTCCAGGCCCGTCTGAAGTTTGCTAGAGTGCATTTGGATGATCCAGAAGAGGATTGGGAGAATGTCGTATGGTCAGATGAAACCAAAATAGAACTTTTTGGTAAAAACTCAACTCGTCGTGTTTGGAGGACAAAGAATGATGAGTTGCATCCAAAGAACACCATACCTACTGTGAAGCATGGGGGTGGAAACATCATGCTTTGGGGCTGTTTTTCTGCAAAGGGACCAGGACGACTGATCCGTGTAAAGGAAAGAATGAATGGGGCCATGTATCGTGAGATTTTGAGTGAAAACCTCCTTCCATCAGCAAGGGCATTGAAGATTAAACGTGGCTGGGTCTTTCAGCATGACAATGATCCCAAACACACCGCCCGGGCAACGAAGGAGTGGCTTCGTAAGAAGCATTTCAAGGTCCTGGAGTGGCCTAGCCAGTCTCCTGATCTCAACCCCATAGAAAATCTTTGGAGGGAGTTGAAAGTCCGTGTTGCCCAGCGACAGCCCCAAAACATCACTGCTCTAGTGGAGATCTGCATGGAGGAATGGGCCAAAATACCAGCAACAGTGTGTGAAAACCTTGTGAAGACTTACAGAAAATGTTTGACCTGTGTCATTGCCAACAAAGGGTATATAACAAAGTATTGAGAAACTTTTGTTATTGACCAAATACTTATTTTCCACCATAATTTGCAAATAAATTCATTAAAAATCCTACAATGTGATTTTCTGGAGAGAAAAAATCTCATTTTGTCTGTCATAGTTGACGTGTACCTATGATGAAAATTACAGGCCTATCTCATATTTTTAAGTGGGAGAACTTGCACAATTGGTGGCTGACTAAATACTTTTTTCCCCCACTGTATAATACACTGCTCAAAAAAATTAAGGGAACACTAAAATAACACATCCTAGATCTGAATGAATGAAATAATCTTATTAAATACTTTTTTCTTTACATAGTTGAATGTGCTGACAACAAAATCACACAAAAATTATCAATGGAAATCAAATTTATCAACCCATGGAGGTCTGGATTTGGAGTCACCCTCAAAATTAAAGTGGAAAACCACACTACAGGCTGATCCAACTTTGATGTAATGTCCTTAAAACAAGTCAAAATGAGGCTCAGTAGTGTGTGTGGCCTCCACGTGCCTGTATGACCTCCCTACAACGCCTGGGCATGCTCCTGATGAGGTGGCGGATGGTCTCCTGAGGGATCTCCTCCCAGACCTGGACTAAAGCATCCGCCAACTCCTGGACAGTCTGTGGTGCAACGTGGCGTTGGTGGATGGAGCGAGACATGATGTCCCAGATGTGCTCAATTGGATTCAGGTCTGGGGAACGGGCGGGCCAGTCCATAGCATCAATGCCTTCCTCTTGCAGGAACTGCTGACACACTCCAGCCACATGAGGTCTAGCATTGTCTTGCATTAGCAACCGCACCAGCATATGGTCTCACAAGGGGTCTGAGGATCTCATCTCGGTACCTAATGGCAGTCAGGCTACCTCTGGCGAGCACATGGAGGGCTGTGCAGCCACCCAAAGAAATGCCACCCCACACCATGACTGACCCACCGCCAAACCGGTCATGCTGGAGGATGTTGCAGGCAGCAGAACGTTCTCCACGGCGTCTCCAGACTCTGTCACATGTGCTCAGTGTGAACCTGCTTTCATCTGTGAAGAGCACAGGGCGCCAGTGGCAAATTTGGCAATCTTGGTGTTCTCTGGCAAATGCCAAACGTCCTGCATGGTGTTGGGCTGTAAGCACAACCCCCACCTGTGGACGTTCGGGCCCTCATTACCACCCTCATGGAGTCTGTTTCTGACCGTTTGAGCAGGCACATTTGTGGCCTGCTGGAGGTCATTTTGCAGGGCTCTGGCAGTGCTCTTCCTGCTCCTCCTAGCACAAAGGCGGAGATAGCAGTCCTGCTGCTGGGTTGTTGCCCTCCTACGGCCTCCTCCACGTCTCCTGATGTACTGGCCTGTCTCCTTGTAGCGCCTCCATGCTCTGGACACTACGCTGACAGACACAGCAAACCTTCTTGCCACAGCTCGCATTGATGTGCCATCCTGGATGAGCTGCACTACCTGAGGCACTTGTGTGGGTTGTAGACTCCGTCTCATGCTACCACTAGAGTGAAAGCACTGCCAGCATTCAAAAGTGACCAAAACATCAGCCAGGAAGCATAGGAACTGAGAAGTGGTCTGTGGTCACCACCTGCAAAACCAGTCCTTTATTGGGGGTGTCTTGCTAATTGCCTATAATTTCCACCTGTTGTCTATTCCATTTGCACAACAGCATGTGAAATGTATTGTCAATCAGTGTTGCTTCCTAAGTGGACAGTTTGATTTCACAGAAGTGTGATTGACTTGGAGTTACATTGTGTTGTTTAAGTGTTCCCTTTATTTTTTTGAGCAGTGTATATAGGCCTATAGTCTATACTGTAGGTAGGCTATTTATAATATATAGGCCTATAGTCTATACTGTAGGTAGGCTATTTGTCTTTTAATGCAGTCATCTCGGTTTTCATTTACATTTTAGTCATTTAGCAGACGCTCTTATCCAGAGAGACTTACAGTTAGTGAGTGCATACATTTTCATACTGGCCCCCCGTAGGAAACGAACCCACAACCCTGGCGCTGCAAGCGCCATGCTCTACCAGCTGATCTACACAGGGCCACTAGTGGTTTGAAGCTTTGTTTTCAAATATTTGTATCCTTTGCTTGTTTGTAACAATTGCAATGACATTGGCAACTTTGTATTTGTATTCAAATTCGTTGTGAAGTTATTGGCAGTCACAGAGAGACTGATACACATCTTGATTCTATGTTTAACGGCGATCTTCTGTGTGTAAAGTGACGCAGCAGGTAAAAAAAAAAAACGAATCTAACGACGCACTTCGCTGTTCTACTAGAGGTTTGAGGCTGTCGGTAAATAACGTTTTCAAGTACAACTTTGGTAACGATTGTTTTGGGAAACAGCTCTGAGATTTAACAATGCTCCTACCAAGTTTCTAACAATTAACTTAGCCTTAAGATGCTTTTAGGAAACCGGGCCCTGGACAGTCAGAAACAATTGTTCTTTGACTTAGAAATGACATACACCAAACAAGACATGACAAACACCCATTCAGAAATGACATACATTGTTTCAATAAAGAATTTCAGAATATGATCAAAACATGACTTCCCCAATGCAGATGTCAAGGCACCAGTATGATACTTACAGTTTTCAAAGCTGTCGTCACTTTCTGAGCTTAATACAAGGACTGGTTCACTACAGGGGAGAGAATCAGAGAATAAACAACATCACATTTTGTCCAATTGAATGACTAGATAGAGAAAATGGGATTAAGGGCACTATTCAATCAGTATCGTGGAAGTTCAGCATTACAGCGTGATTGAAATTTAAAGGCAATGTTCCCAGGTTAGCGGAGATGGCATTCACGGTAAACGCTGCATTTGTCAGCGCAATTGGACATTACCTTTATATTTCTATCCCGCAATCTGTAACGCTTCAGCGATACAGATTGAATAGAGTCTTAAGACTACAAGGCTATGTAGGCTGGAAGTAGGGCTGTGACGGTCATTGAATTTTGGACGGCGGTAATTGGCCAGCTTGTTTCAGCAAGGAGCAACAAAGTTTCAACGCGATGTAGGCAGAAACGGAAGCAAGACACCCCACTCCCTCATTTTTTCAGGTTACATTACAGTCAATGAACTAAGCAGACCAGACCCAGCTACTATTGCATTGGTGTCTATGGGAGAACCACTCCGTTAAGCAGACCGGAACAGACCACTCTTTTTTTTAATGGTAAATGGCCTGAGAGAACTATCTTAATTTATCCACCATCTTTTAAACGGACTCAACAGCACGAATGCTGTCCCATCTTTTTTTTTTACGGTTATTTTATTTTCATGACGGTCTTCATCCAGCCCTAGCAGGACGAATCACTACTTTACCTGACTTTCTTAGCAGCAGTGCAATGTTTCCGAGAAGCAGCTTTGGGTGTCGCCTGCTCCACAAGAACTACAGACAAGAAGAACATGGAGATTAAATCATTCAACTACAGTATTTCAATGCATAGCTATCATGTCATAGGCATACATGTTTGGCACCATGACAACCATAATCAGAGGAGTTGGCCAATGCTCATACAGCTCTGGACCAGGTGTAAAATAATCTTCCAGGTGAACAAAAAGAGAGCAGTCGTAGGTAAAGTCAATCAAAAATCAATCTAGGTTTAATATAAATTGCAACAAGGAGACACCCTTCACCACAGAAGCAGAGAACATGTCTAACAGGCCTCTTGGAGACAGGCCCTTTTACATCCTAATAGACTTGCAACCCAACCCACTGACTCTCACTTACACTGGTCGAAATCATCGTCACTGGACTCCATGAACACCTTGGTCCTGTAACTGTTGCCCTTTGAGACCTGGTTCTCTTTCCCTGAGCCTCCGTCATCCTCTTCCTCACTGTCTGGCAGAAGTAGCCGGACTGGGGGAGGAAGGTCTTGAGCACCCCTGGAGCCATGACCGCCTATGGCCGGACGCCGAGTCTTACTGATGCTCTTAATCAGCTGCAAAGATGACACAGGATGTGTTTGAAATGGCACCCTATTCCCTATATAGTGCACTACTTTTGACCAGGTCAAATGTAGTACCCTACATAGGGAATAGTGTGCAATTGATTAAGATAATCACTGGTGGTTGTAATTAATGTGACCTAGTAATTTCAACATACCTGTTGTTCTACTGTTTCCAACCCTCCCTTCTCTGACCAGCCAAGTTTCTCTGCAACTCTTTGAAATAATCTGTGATTGTCGTCATCCATGGTCCCTTTCTCTGTCTCTGTAAGGGGGACAATATGACTATTATCTGGAAACAACACGGTAACAACATGCCCGGGCAGCGTACCCACCACTGATAGCTAGCAATGCCACTGGCCAGCCCTCTTCGGGCAATGTAAACAAACAAGACACATTAATAAAGCAGCATCTTGATTAGCTAACAATAGCTAGTAGCAAGACACCTTATTCTCGTAGCAAGCAAATGTATTTTAGCTAGGTATTGTTTATCCACGGGGTGTAAGTAGTAGCCTAGCTAGCTAATGGTCTGTTCTATCCTATATCCTTGGGACGTCCCTAACCTAAACCCTAACTAACCTTAACCCCTACCATAACTCTTACCTAGCCTCGTCGGGAACCAGGCTTCCAACTACGTGATTTTGGTGGTATGGCAACGCGAGACTAACTCTTACCTAACCATTTAAAATTTCAACATCAATGGGGGTTATGGAAGTCCCAAGGATACCAGATTGCACGCTAGCAAAGACCCGCTAACCACGACTGTAAATAAAGGCTAAACGTTACAGTTTCTCAAGTTTACCTCACAATGCATTAATATTTGTTGATTCAATATTTGATGTTCGCGAATCGAGACATAACGTTACCTTTGAAGATGATGTACTTTTGCTTTGGGTCCACGTCTCGTATAGCGACCAACGAAGATTCAAAACTGTGCACCGGAAGTTGTCAAAGGCAGAACGGAAACTAGTAGTAATGACGTAGATAGATGCGGGACTAGGCCGACGTCAAACAAATTATTGCTTTGTTCACAATAATAATATTGTAGACTTTCATTCAACTCAAAATGTCCAAACTACAGTTGCTGAACGGCGGCTGCTACAGAGATCTCCGTAGCCATAGAGACAACAGTAGTAGAGTTGCATGAAGAAATCTCCCCTTCGACAGAGGAGAATCACCGTCTACGAAGACGGTTGGATTTTTGGTTTTCAACCCACAGATAAAGTTACACAGAGCAGATTTGTAACTTTATTAACATACATCATTCATATGGCAAGATATAAGCTTAAGGTACACAATTGTACATATACAAGTACAAAGGCAACGCTTATGGAATGCCATTTATGGAACGCCGTTTGGGTCTTTGCGTGTCAAAAAAGACACACGTCAAATAACACTATTTGAAGCGTTAAATAAGCTTTTAATTTGACAAGTCAAATAATAAAATTATATTATAGAATGTTGTGTGTGCTGAATTTGCATGTGCAAGCCAAGCGCCACCACTACCATCAGTAGCACTGTCAAAGCTGTACAAAAAAAAAGTATGCAAACAAGAACACACCGGCCACCAACGATGTGTTTACAATACCGCGTTAGTAATAAGACATTCTTTGTTCGACAGCAACTTCGGGGGTAGCTAGCTAGCTTTAGCTTGGTACCTAGCTAGCACCAATACAACCATCCTGAAAACAATGACTAGCAGAAACTGCAGTCATTTTCATTATTCTTAGCAATGATTTAGGAATCCTTGTGAGTAAGTATTAGCTAGGTAGCCACTTGTTGTTCGCCTATTGAATTTGAACTTCAGTTCATGAAACTAACTAGCTAGCCAGCTACTTAACCCTTTTGCCCAAAGCTAACGTTATAAGCAGCCAGCTTAATCTGGCTAGTGAGGCTCGACCGGACCGGGTTATGTTGTGTGAAAATAGCCACAATAAGGATTAGGCACAAAAGTGGAATTTGTGATTTGCCTTCAAAATAAAAGGACCTCTTTGAAAGTTATGCATTAGGTTACAATTGGTGGAATCATGCCATATTTAGACTAAATAATGTTAAACAAGGTTGGAATGTGGAGCAATGAAATTGGGTATCAGTTTACTCGGTGACACCCTCAGAACACAACTGTGAAGAGTTTATGCAAATATTAGTGTTGTAGCTCCTGTGACGTGTGAAATCACCTCTCCAGTCAGCCTATTGTGTGTATTGACATTCATGTTGTACTGTACAGCCTTACCTAAGGATTGGGGATCAATGAAATGGGGTTTCAGTCTACTCAGTACCAAGAGCTTTTTTCCCAATGTCCTCCTCAGAGTTATCAGACTCCAAAACATCCACGTTGTATTGTTTTTCCTCTGGAATAGTGTTCAATACACACAGTAGGGTGACTGGTACAATAAATGTGGCTCAATTCACAGGGGTTTCAGTGTCCCGCAATAAGAGCTACGACACTAATGTTCTCTGGGTGTCACTGAGTAGATTTAACCCATGTCATTGATCAATTATCCATAGGTAAGGCTGTACAGTGAAATAAGTATGCCCCCAATGCAATTCTAAAGTATAATACATCCAGTGTGATTTCAACAGATTTTTGTCAAATTAACAAATTGTCTCTTGTTGATTTTATATAACAACATTCCAACCTCGTTTAGCATGATCTATTCAATTATGGCATAATTCTACTATTTGTTTTCATTTGCATACTTTTATTTTGAAGGCTAACCGCGAAGTCCACTGTTGTGGCTAATCCTTATTGTGGCTAGCTTCACATACACTGTTCAAAAAAATTAAGGGAACACTAAAATAACACATCCTAGATCTGAATGAATTTTTTTCCTCATTTTGTCTGTCATAGTTGACGTGTACCTATGAAGAAAATTACATGCCTCTCATCTTTTTAAGTGGGAGAACTTGCACAATTGGTGGCTGACTAAATACTTTTTTCCCCACTGTATAACAAAGTATTGAGAAACTTTTGTTATTGACCAAATACTTATTTTCCACCATAATTTGCAAATAAATTCATTAAAAATCCTACAATGTGATTTTCTGGAGAAAAAAAATCTCATTTTGTCTGTCATAGTTGACGTGTACCTATGATGAAAATTACAGGCCTATCTCATATTTTTAAGTGGGAGAACTTGCACAATTGGTGGCTGACTAAATACTTTTTTCCCCCACTGTATAATACACTGCTCAAAAAAATTAAGGGAACACTAAAATAACACATCCTAGATCTGAATGAATGAAATAATCTTATTAAATACTTTTTTCTTTACATAGTTGAATGTGCTGACAACAAAATCACACAAAAATTATCAATGGAAATCAAATTTATCAACCCATGGAGGTCTGGATTTGGAGTCACCCTCAAAATTAAAGTAGAAAACCACACTACAGGCTGATCCAACTTTGATGTAATGTTCTTAAAACAAGTCAAAATGAGGCTCAGTAGTGTGTGTGGCCTCCACGTGCCTGTATGACCTCCCTACAACGCCTGGGCATGCTCCTGATGAGGTGGCGGATGGTCTCCTGAGGGATCTCCTCCCAGACCTGGACTAAAGCATCCGCCAACTCCTGGACAGTCTGTGGTGGATGGAGCGAGACATGATGTCCCAGATGTGCTCAATTGGATTCAGGTCTGGGGAACGGGCGGGCCAGTCCATAGCATCAATGCCTTCCTCTTGCAGGAACTGCTGACACACTCCAGCTACATGAGGTCTAGCATTGTCTTGCATTAGGAGGAACCCAGGGCCAACCGCACCAGCATATGGTCTCACAAGGGGTCTGAGGATCTCATCTCGGTACCTAATGGCAGTCAGGCTACCTCTGGCGAGCACATTGAGGGCTGTGCGGCCCCCCAAAGAAATGCCACCCCACACCATGACTGACCCACCGTCAAACCGGTCATGCTGGAGGATGTTGCAGGCAGCAGAACGTTCTCCACGGCGTCTCCAGACTCTGTCACGTCTGTCACATGTGCTCAGTGTGAACCTGCTTTCATCTGTGAAGAGCACAGGGCGCCAGTGGCGAATTTGCCAATCTTGGTGTTCTCTGGCAAATGCCAAACGTCCTGCACGGTGTTGGGCTGTAAGCACAACCCCCACCTGTGGACGTCGGGCCCTCATACCACCCTCATGGAGTCTGTTTCTGACCGTTTGAGCAGACACATGCACATTTGTGGCCTGCTGGAGGTCATTTTGCAGGGCTCTGGCAGTGCTCCTCCTGCTCCTCCTTGCACAAAGGCGCAGGTAGAGGTCCTGCTGCTGGGTTGTTGCCCTCCTACGGCCTCCTCCACGTCTCATGATGTACTGGCCTGTCTCCTGGTAGCGCCTCCATGCTCTGGACACTACGCTGACAGACACAGCAAACCTTCTTGTCACAGCTCGCATTGATGTGCCATCCTGGATGAGCTGCACTACCTGAGCCACTTGTGTGGGTTGTAGACTCCGTCTCATGCTACCACTAGAGTGAAAGCACCGCCAGCATTCAAAAGTGACCAAAACATCAGCCAGGAAGCATAGGAACTGAGAAGTGGTCTGTGGTCACCACCTGCAGAACCATTCCTTTATTTGGGGTGTCTTGCTAATTGCCTATAATTTCCACCTGTTGTCTATTCCATTTGCACAACAGCATGTGAAATGTATTGTCAATCAGTGTTGCTTCCTAAGTGGACAGTTTGATTTCACAGAAGTGTGATTGACTTGGAGTTACATTGTGTTGTTTAAGTGTTCCCTTTATTTTTTTGAGCAGTGTAGATGGGTCCGACCACCATTAATCAAATAAGAACTGTCTTATAAATTAGGGTTATTTTAGATGATGACACCTAGCTAGATAGTTAGTTAGCTAGCTAACTATAGCTACTGAAACAGATTGTCGTTTTACTTTTGGGGAAGAACATTGTTTGCATCCATCAGCTAGCTAGCTTTTTTAATGACCAGCACTGTAGGTGCAAGCGCCAAGACCCAAACGGCGTTCCATAAACGCTGCAATTGTAATGTTGAATCCCATAGCAGTATTCTCCGTGTACAAAAAAACTAGTTAGCTAGCTTTTTCAAATTTTGTAATTGCATGTTTTAGACAGGACCTAGAGAAGAAAACTTTGGATTTAGTTTTTGACCAAATATTTATTGAATTATCAGCAACTTTATATTTCCTATTTTTCCTTTATCAGATCCCCAGCAGCTCACTCTCCCCATATCTGAAGAGGATGTTCCCCCTGAGCAGCAGCACTGTGAGCAGGAGTGGAGCCCCAGTCTGAGGCAGGAGGACCCAGAGCCCACACAGATTAAAGAGGAACAGGAGGAACTCAGGACCAGTCAGGAGGAAGAGCAGCTTCAAGGACTGGGGGAGGCTGATATCATAGAGTTCATATTTCCTCCTGCCTGTGTGGAAAATGACTCATCAGGAGGACCCATCCCAGGCCTCACATCTTCACCAAACCCAAACTGTGGAGGACAGAGAGAGGGACTCTCTACCCACCAACACAACTGAAGAGATTAAAACAGTATCATAATCAACCAGTGACTCTCAGCCCCCCTCTGCAGTAAATCCAGACTGTTCTGCAGCTCAGAGGGAAAACAGGGAAAGTAATGAGGTAAAGAGTGGAGGACTACTGCCAGGGTCTAAGACACTCAAATCAAAGAGAAAACAGACAAAGAAAGGAGAAAGCTCTCATACCAGTGCTGGAGGCAGGACGGACACAATGTTGCCCTGTTTGACATCATCTAGTCAAACGTATGCTTCTCCTTATTGTTGCAATGTGTGTAGGAAGACTTTTGTGTCAAACCTTTTTTATTTATTTATCATGTGCGAAAAACACACAAAGCTTACCAGTGTGGTGTGTGTGGAAAATAGTTAAATTCCACAAAGTATGATAGATCACCTACAAACTCACACTGAAGAAAACATTTCTTGTCATGTTTGTGGCAAATGTTTCTCTAAAAATGGTGATCTCAAAACACATACTATGAGTCACACAGGAGAGAAACCATGTCAGTACAGAGAAACCATGTCAGTACAGAGAAACCATGTCAGTACAGAGAAACCATGTCAGTACAGAGAAACCATGTCAGTACAGAGAAACCATGTCAGTACAGAGAAACCATGTCAGTACAGAGAAACCATGCCGGTTCAGAGAAAACATGTCAATGCACTCAACGGACAAAGAAAGGAGAAAGCTCTCATACCAGTGCTGGAGGCAGGACGGACAAAATGTTGCCTTGTTTGACATCATCTAGTCAAACGTATGCTGCTCCTTTATTGTTGCAAGGTGGGTAGGAAGACTTTTATGTCAAACATAGTTTTTATTTATCATGTGTGAAAAACACACACAGAGCATAAAGGATGCCAGTGTGGTGTGTCTTACTATCTTTTAATAAATACTAATTATTTGGTTATTCAGAGTTTGTGACTATTTACCCATGCAACAGAACAATGCAGTTCCCTGTATATGGAATACATACGCATGACTGTAAGTCGCTTTGGATAAAAGCGTCTGCTAAATGGCATATTATATTATTATTATTATTATATACTGGACTGTAGAGTAAAAAGTTGACTACCTGTCTGAGCTAAAGTTAGGTGGAAAAGACTCCGTAGGGGACTGTGTCTACAGACTGTTGCTGGCTTTTTACTCCGCCCCCTCCATAGCACCCAATGCAATACACTGTATTGGACTGTCTACTACCTGTCTCAGCTAAATTGGGATGGAAAAGACTCTGTATGGTGAGTTTTGAACCGAAAGCTAAGTCATAGGAAGTTGGATGGTTCAAATATAGCACTGTGTCATCGGACGCATATATTTCCTTTCCAAAATACCTTATAATGTAGAAGACAAATACGCTGACCAAAAATATTGTGGACACCTGCTCGTCGAACATCTAATTCCAAAATCATGGGCATTAATATGGAGTTGGTCCCCCCTTTGCTGCTATAACAGCCTCCACTCTTCTGGGAAGGCTTTCCACTAGATGTTGAAACATTGCTGCGGGGACTTGCTTCCATTCAGTCACAAGAGCATTAGTGAGGTTGGGCGCTGATGTTGGGCAATTAGGCCTGGCTCGCAGTCGGCATTCCAATTCTTCTCAAAGGTGTTTGATGGGGTTGAGGTCAGGGCTCAGTGCAGGCCAGTCAAGTTCTTCCACACCGATCTCGACAAACCATTTCTGTATGAACCTCGCTTTGTGCACGGGGCCATTGTCATGCTGAAACAGGAAAGGGCCTTCCCCAAACTGTTGCCACAAAGTTGGAAGCACAGAATCGTCTTGAATGTCATTGTATGCTGTAGCGTTAAGATTTCCCTTTGCTTAGCCCGAACCATGAAAAACAGCCCGGACCATTATTCCTCCTCCACCAAACTTTACAGTTGGCACTATGCATTGGGGCAGGTAGCGTTCTCATGGCATCCGCCGAACCCAGATTCATCCGTCGGACTGCCAGATGGTGAAGCATGATTCATCACTCCAGAGAACGTGTTTCCACTGCTCCAGAGTCCAATGGCAGCGAGCTTTACACCACTCCAGTCGACGCTTGGCATTGCGCATGGTGATCTTAGGCCTGACGAACAGTTATTGTGCTGACGTTGCAGTGGCAGTTTGGAACTCGGTAGTGAGTGTTGCAACCGAGGACAGATGATTTTTACGTGCTACGCGCTTCAGCACTCGGCGATCCCGTTCTGTGAGCTTGTGTGTCCTACCACTTCGCGGCTGAGCCGTTGTTGCTCCTAGACGTTTCCACTGTTGGAAAGGTGGCATCCTATGACGGTGCCACGTTGAAAGTCATTGAGCTCTTCAGTAAGGCCATTCTACTGCCAATGTTTGTCTATGGAGATTGCATGGCTGTGTGCTCAATTTTATACACCTGTCCGCAACAGGTGTGGCTGAAATAGCCGAATCCACTAATTTGAAGGGGTGTCCACATACTTTTGTAGATATAGTGTATCTTACAATCTTCCTTTTGGTGGACACTTTGGAAAAAATACAACACATACAATATGTTTATTCAAAAAGTCAAGAGAGATGCAAGTAAATTTGGTCCAAAAAGTATACTTTATTCATAACAAATATCACAACGAAGTAAATTAATCAAATTGACCATCAACAGTTACACAGAAGTTTGAAATTAGTTTATTTTTGTCACATGCACAAGTAAAGTGAAATGCTTACTTGCTAGCTCTTTCCCAACATTGCAGTATTCAATATCAAATAGTATAAAGTCGTTTTTTTTTTAAACCTGAGAAATAAGAAATATGAAAAACATAAGAAATGAAGCTATATACAGGGTCCGTGCCAGGACCAAATGTACAATGTGCAGGGATACTGGAGTGGTTAAGGTAGATAGGCAGGGGGTAAGGAGACAGTGAATGGTAGCAGGATCCATCATAATAATAATAATGGTGTGTGTGTGTGTGTCAGTGTAGGCTTGTGTGCGTGTGTCGGTAGAGACCCGTGAGTGGCATATAGTCAGTACCGATACAGTGCATTCGGAAAGTATTCAGACCCCTTGACTTTTTCCACATTTTATTACGTTACAGCCTTATTCTAAAATGGATTAAATAATTATTTTCCTCATCAATCTACACACAATACCCCATAATGACAAAGCAAAAACAGGTTTTTAGAAGTGTTTGCAAATTAATAAAAAATAATAAATGGGGGGAAAAAAGGGCAGCATCTATTGTCAGGTTTTCAAGAGACTGACCCAGAAAGACAGCTGTAATTGCTGCCAAAGGTGATTCTAACATATATTGACTCAGGGGTGTGAATACTTATGTAAATGTTTATTTATGTATTTCATTTTCAATAAATGTGAAAACATTTCTAAAAACATGTTATCGTTTTGTCATTATGGGGTATTGAGTGTAGATGGGTGAGAAAAAATATACATTTGATCAATTTTGAATTCAGGCTATAAAACAACAAAATGTGGAAAAAGTCAAGGTGTGAATACTTTCTGAAGCCATAATCTATTTGCTACATCAGGATGAAAATCAGAAGCAGGTTCGTTATCCTCAAAAGTGTATACAATTTGCATATTAATTTGGCAGTCTGAGGGTCTTTCTTCTCTGTGAAGTTGACATATACAGTGATTTGCATTGGGGGCATTTATTTAACCTTGGAACATGTTTTAAAACCCAAATGTAATGCATATGTCACTTAAATATGAACAGATATGAATCAATGTTTAGACAATATTTCAGATATCATGAATAAATACTAGTTATTGACACTGTTCTACTATTAAGTCGGGGACTTTTATTTAGAACATTTTCGAAATTCCGTGACCCGGAAGTACTTTTGTAGTGTTGCTGACGAAATGTGACGTTACAGGCTGAGTAGAATAATAAATGTCGACTTTCTTTCTTCTCAAAATGTCTCAACTACAGTTTCTGAACGTGTATGTTACTGAAAGACTAACGGCGGCTGCTGCAGAGATATCAGAAGCCATAGAGAGAGCAGTAGCGGAGTTGCATGAAGAAATCTCCGGTTCTAAGGAGGAGAATATTCGTCTACGAAGACTGTTGGATTTGGTTTTCAACCCAGAGATAAAGTTGCACAGAGCAGGTTTGTATTGACTAGCTACTTTATTAGCTAAACTTACATAAATCAAACTGATAGCAAGTAAATGTAGGTAAATATACAATTACAGAGCTGCAATTGTAATATTGGGTGCGTTCGTAAATTACCTCCAGTGTGTCAGTGCGCTCTGGGTCGTTCGTAAATTCAGAACGTTATCAGATTTTTTTAAATTCGGAGCTTTCAGAGCGCACACTTACCTCACACCGGCAGTCAATCGCCTAAGCTAACTGGCTAAAGTTGGCTAGCTTGCTAGCCACTTCCAGACGCAAATGAGAGAACACCTCACTCTGACAATTTTACTCGCCCTAGCAGAGTTGGTTAGGCTGTTTTCATGTTATGTAACGTTAGAGCGTTAGTGACTAGCGGTTAAAGAATGAGAACAGTTTGCGGCTGTGCAACCATGTACTCGCTCCGGGGTACCAATAATTTTGTCCATGTCTTTAATTTTTTTATTAAAATTGTAAACTAAGGTTTACAAAATAGAAATAGGTTCTGCAATGTTTTAAATCCAATAACAAGGTGTGGTGACCAAAAGTTATTTTTATTAGTTAAAAGTTATAATTATTTGTGCAAGGGTGCCAATATAGTTGGCCGCAACTGTAGACCATGGAATGACTCAAAGTAATGGAATCGAGTTCTAGTAATGACAAGGGCAACTATAGCAGTAGCTATTCTAATCAATAAAATGGAAATGACCGCTAGCTAGCTTTAACGTTTCATATCTCTATGGTTTAGGGCCCAGTGAAGATAACTTTGTAATCAGTTTTAGATTGGAAAGTTACCAATTATTTATACTATCTATTTTTCCTTTATCAGATCCCCAGCAGCTCACTCTCCCCATATCTGAAGAGGATGTTCCCCCTGAGCAGCAGCACTGTGAGCAGGAGTGGAGCCCCAGTCTGAGGCAGGAGGACCCAGAGCCCACACAGATTAAAGAGGAACAGGAGGAACTCAGGACCAGTCAGGAGGAAGAGCAGCTTCAAGGACTGGGGGAGGCTGATATCATAGAGTTCATATTTCCTCCTGCCTGTGTGAAAAATGATTGTGATCAGGAGGACCCATCCCAGCCCTCACATCTTCACCAAACCCAAACTGTGGAGGACAGAGAGAGGGGCTCTCTACCCACCAACACAACTGAAGAGATTAAAACAGAACCTGATGGAGAGGACAGCCGAGTACCAGAATCAACCGTTGAATCTCAGCCCCCCTCTGCAGTAAATCCAGACTGTTCTGCAGCTCAGAGTGAAAACAGGGAAAGTGATGAGGTAAAGAGTGGAGGACTACTGCCAGGGTCTAAGACACTCAAATCAAAGAGAAAACAGACAAAGAAAGGAGAAAGCCCTCATACCAGTGCTGGAGGCAGGACGGACACAGACAAAATGATAGATCACCTGCAAACTCACACTGAAGAAAAACATTATTGTCATGTTTGTAGCAAATGTTTCTCTAAGAGTGGTGTTCTCAAAAGACATATGATGAGTCACACAGGAGAGAAATCATACGGGTGCAAAGAATGTAGGAAATGCTTCACAAAGAAAGTAAATCTTACATATCATATGAGAATTCATACAGGAGAGAAACCATATCGGTGTCAAGAATGTGGGAAGTGCTTCAGCCGTAGTAAAACCCTGTCCAATCATATGATGGTCCACAGAGGGGTAAAACCATATCAGTGTAAAGAATGTGGAAAATGCTTTACTGAAAGTGTAGCCTTAAGCAGGCATATGAGAGTTCACACAGGGGAGAAACCATATTGGTGCAAAGAATGTGGAAAATGCTTCACTCTGAGTGGGACCTTGAGCAGGCATATGAAGATTCACAGAGGGGAGAAACCCCATTGTTGCATCTATTGTGGCAGATGTTTCAATGATCATGGAAATTGTCAAAGACACATAAGGACTGTTCACAAGAGTGAGAACGCATGACAATGGCCTTTACCCTGCAGATAGAAATACAGGGCCTATTGCAACCATCGATGGCCACTGTATTATCGGCAGATTATCTCTTGCCCTACATCTATACGTGCTAAAAATCACCCGAACTGCAAATCTCAGATACAACCGTTATTGTTTACCGTATTACCGCTCCCTAAAGCTGATGTCGCTGTTAACTTTTAGTCATGCTTTCTCCCAAAATGTTTACAAAAAAAAAACATGTAACTATTTAACAATCATTCCGTAGAGCTGAAATCAAGTATTTCCTCGTTTACAAATCTACTGTGGAAATCTACCCTACATATTTTATGAATGGAAAATGTATGTTGATGTACCACTGTTTCATTTTTAATTTATGTAATCCATTAACACAATATGGTCATATCTTATCAAGGGGGGAATGAAAATATCTGAGCTTTCCACATCTAAAATGTGTAACTAAATCAAGTTAATTGTGATTGAGTTCATGTTTTAATTAAATTGTAGTCTCAAGTTATTTAAAATGACACATTATATTCTTATTATGGTGACATTTAAGGTTAAATGTTTTAGGAAATATAATCCCATATTCTTACAATAAGTATTTTAGATTAATTACCAGCCTTGCAATTTTCAATGTTTCTGATAGGTCGATATTTCATTGGGGGCGGGAGTAGAGAACCTAGACGCTGCTGTCCAGGCTGTGTTCAGTACAAAAAAAAACATAGTGGAATGTTCAATTAAACGGAAACGGTGCTGAACGACCAGTTGAAAAACAGGGAGGTGATGGGTTGTGTGTTCAAAATGCACCACTGCCCTTTAATGCTGTGTTCATAACCAAGTGGGAAGGTGGTATTTACCACATACGACTGGGAAAATTTCAGTTGAACGGCCCTCCAATTGGTAATTACTAGTGGGAAACTCGTCTATCATCCCGTGCTCCGAGTTTCCCACTTGCACCTCTGACAAAAAATACAGCAAGCATGGTGGCATCTTCAGCAGTCGTTTATGGTAAGAACACAATACAAATTGTTGATCCAAAATGGATTCTGTTCATCTTCCTTTTGATTTAGAAAGCAGCTCTGGATGAACTTTGTAAAACAATCACCTTCTAATGACCTCCATGTATTTCCCAGTTCAAAACGTGAAAGCACCACCCAACTCGTATTTACGACTACACAACTGGTAATTACCACCTTCCCACTTGGTTGTGAACGCAGCATTAATACGTCACTCATTGCTTCAAGCCACACTTACCAAACATACCTCAAAGTCTGTTCAAGAATGTACAAGAACGTTTTGGGAAAACGTGTCGTTCAGCACAAACCGTTCCGCAACGTAGCAATTGTTAAATCGAACTGAACGCACCCTTGGTATCCAACTCGTTTGACACAGTAACAACGGGAGATCAACTGATCTGCTGGTTAATTCTCTGGTTTTTGGTTGCAAGTTTGTACTAACTCGCAGGTGCAGGTAATCTCCCGTTAGTAGCGTTTTAAGAAATCCAGAGCTAATGCTCATCTGCCCGTTGGTTGCAATTGGTCAATAATGTTTAGCGCTGACATGATCCTTTGCTCTAGTCTATGGTTGAGGTCCTGCCCTACTAGATGTATGCCATGCCATGGACTGTGCAGCCGGGTATCAGATTGCTATTTCATATGATGTGGTTAGAACAGGAGGTTCCTGAGGGGAGAACAGCTCATAATAATGTCTGGAACGGAGCAAATGGAATGGCTTCAAACACCTGGGAACCATGTGTTTGATGTATTTGATACCATTCCATTTATTCCACTCCAGTCATTACCATGAGCCCGTCCTCCCCAATTAAAGTGCAACCAACCTCCTGTGGTGGTTAGCTGATATGTTCAATTACTCTCCATGCGTTGTAAGATCTGGCTTCTGCAACGTAGTTGGGCAGGAACTCCACCTACATGTAACATGACAGATAAACATGTCTTTTCTATACAATACATTTCTTCTTTACGAGCACAGCATGTGGGACTTTTCTACAGTTGACCTGTGGTCACATATTTTCATCACATCTTCTACAACCCTACTCTGGATATGCGAGTGCATTTCTGTTTAGGATTACATGTTCTGTTTCTTTTCTTGCTAAATAGAGAGTTTTATCTCAGTGAGAATAACCTGTATAAATAAAGGTTGAATGAAAAAAAGCAACCAGAGTTGTTGCTGAAATGTCCTTTGTGTCAATCAGCCAGTCAAGTCTCTCAACCAAGTTCTTTCTGCTTCCACTTGTTTCATCTTGGGAATATGTTGGTTATTCTGCATTGCTGCTTACCTCTTTTTTTCTACAAAATGTAGAAATGCTCTGTTTTCACATATGTAGACACTGTTATTGTGCTGGAGATAATGAGTATGAGGTTGAAAAGTGGTGGAGTTGCCCTTTAAGATCTAAATGGATGTTTTATTTGTTCTTTATGATTTTGGCTGTTTCACATGAGCGTTTCTACCTGATTATTCATCACCATGTGTTTAAATATTTGGTGTTCTAGAGGTTGGACACAAGGTATAGTATTAGAAAGAAGCATATCAATGTGAGAATCTCAATTGCGTTTCCTTGACTCCTCGTGTCCTATTTCCTCGCCTCCTTCTCAAAACCCATTGGATGAGAAAGTCAGAGGTCCCTTCCCTCTTACCTTCTCCTCCAATAGGTTTTGAGAAGGAGGCAAGGAGTCAAGGAAACGCAATTGAGATTCTTCCTTTTGAGTTTCGACTTGCTACAATGATGCTGGTTTGGCACATAATTCCCAGCTGTTACTGTTTCACAAAAGTTGATTAATATTTACATACTGTTTTACTCACTTCATATGTATATACTGTATTCTAGTCAAGGCTCATCCTATATAACTACTGCTGTACACACCTTCTCTATTCATATACTGTAGCCTGGAATGTGTGCTGCTCTCAATGAGCGAAGATGCTCTGGCATCATGTATGGACAGTATATGACCCGTGTTCAATGACTATGTACATAGGGCAGCAGTCTGCCATGTATGATGCCATGTATGGACAGTATATGAATAGAGAAGGTGTGTACAGCAGTAGTTATATAGGATGAGCCTTGACTAGAATACAGTATATACATATGAAGTGAGTAAAACAGTATGTAAATATTAAAGTGACCCGTGTTCAATGACTATGTACATAGGGCAGCAGTCTCTAAGGGGCAGGGTACTGAGCGGAGGCCGGCAAGTGGTGACTATTTAACAGTCTGATGGCCTGGAGATAGAAGCTGTTTTTCAGTCTCTAGGTCCCAGCTTTGACATACCGTCGCCGGCTTCTACACTGAACAAAAATATAAACGCAACGTGTAAAGTGCTGGTCCCATGTTTCATGAGTAACTTTCTATTAAGGTATCCATACTTTTACTCAAGTATGACAATTGGGTACTTTTTCCACCACTGCTGATTAAACAGCATGATCATTACACAGGTGCACCTTGTGCTGGTGTAACAGTGTTGCTTCCGTCCCTCTCCTCGCCCCTACCTGGGCTTGAACCAGGGACCCTCAGCACACATCGACAACAGTCACCCTCGAAGCACCGTTACCCGTCGCTCCACAAAAGCCGCAGCCCTTGCAGAGCAAGGGAAACAACTGCTTCAAGGTCTCAGAGTGAGTGACGTCACCGATTGAAATGCTACTAGCGCGCACCGCTAACTAGCTAGCCATTTCACACCGGTTACACTAGGGACAATAGAAGGCCATTCTAAAATGTACAGTTTTGTCACAACACAATGACACAGATGTCTCAAGTTTAGAGGGAGCGTACAATTGGCATGCTGACTGCAGGAATGTCCACCAGAGAAGTTGCCTGAGAATTGAATGTTCAACATTGTTTTAGAGAATTTGGCAGTATGTCCAGCCGGCCTCCCAACTGCAGACCACGTGTAACTACGCCAGCCCAGGACCTCCACATCTGGCTTCTTCACCTGCTGGATTTTCTGAGACCAGCCTCCCGGACAGCTGATGAAACTGAGGAGTAGCTCCGGAGCTCTGCGCCTATTGGTTTACTCCGCTGCCTAGGCAGCGAACAGCCTGAGATAAAATTATGCACACACCTGCAGCCAATAGGAGTACAGGTGTCCCTATAAGAGGGGACGCTTCCCCTCAATCAGCCTCACATTATCTTCAGCGACTGGATTGGACTGAAGAAGCCGATAGAAGACAAGACTCAGGACAAAGAAAACGTAGTCGATTTTCCAGGTCATCGACGTCGTCCGAGGAGATTTTTCACCCCCAAAAGCTATTTTCAGAGCTCAATGTCGCTGTTCCTCTATGGCGGCTGTCGACTCCCACGACTTATGTTTAGTGTGTTTCATGGATCCCCCACTATGTGCCAGCTGCGCCCTCCCTTCTTTGAAGGAGAGGAAGCAGCGTTGGGCATTTTTTTTCTCTCGCTCAGAGCAGATCTGAACTATTGGAGAGATCCGCGCGTTCTCACGCACGGTGTCCGGATAGGCAGTGTCCTCCTACATTCCAGTTTTACAGATGCCTCTCTGACTGGATGGGGAGGGACATGTCAGACCCAAGCGATAGGAGGTGTGTGGCCTCTCTCGAGTCGTCACATCAACCTATTGGAGTTGTAAACGGTTCTACTGGTTCTGACCCACTTCGCGTCTACCCTTCGGGGTCGCGATGTGCTGGTCTGGTCAGACGACCGAAGCACAGTAGCCTACATCAATCGCCAGGGAGGAGTCAGGTCTCCTGCACTCCACCAGTTGGCGGAGGAATTGTGGCTGTGGGCTCACGTGCATCTTCGCTCATTGAGAGCAGCACACATTCCAGGCTACGTGAACATAGGGGCAGACCTCATGTCTCAAGGGGGTTGTTCTCCACATTTCCAAATTTGGGTTCGGGAGAGCCGAGGTGGATCTGTTTGCGTCACGCGTGAACACACATTGCACTCTCTGGTTCTCTCTACGAGATCAGGACGAACCGCAACTGGCGAGGGACGCATTTGCGCACCGACCGTGGCCAAAAGTTATCCTGTACACAGTTCCACCGCTGTCCTGCATTCTCCCACTGTTAGCCAGGGTGAGATCAGGCGGCCTGTCAATCATATTGGTGGCTCCCGATCGCCTAGGGCCTCCATGGTTCGCGGAGATGATTCAGATGTTGATTGCGCCACCTTGGCCAATTCCACATCAACAGGAAGCGCTGTCTCAGGCGCGATAGGGGCAGTTGCCCATAATCGGCCAACCACTGATGGTTTGGCTACTGAGAGGGACAGGCTACAGCGCCGTGGGTTATCTGATTCAGTAATCAGAACCATACAGGGTTCACGTGCCGGTTCCACTTCCATGGTTTATGCCAGTAAATGGAACGTGTTTTCACAGTGGTGTGTCACAGAGAATGTGGACCCCATGTGCTGTCGGGTTGAGAGTGTACTCTCGTTCCTACAGTTTTTATTTAATAAGCAGCGATCGCCCGCCACCATTAAGGTGTTTGCAGCGGCGATTTCAGCTTGTCATGAGGGGTTTGGCAGGGTCACTATCTTCAGCCACCCTCTAGTGAAACGTTTCCTATTAGGAACGCGGCGGCTTAGGTCTTTTGAAGACGGCACTGTTGCTCGCTTTGACCACTGCTAAGCGTGTCAGTGATTTGTGCGCTCTGTCGACGAGACCCGACTGCCTCGCCATTAATGGCGATCTGAGCAGAGCGGTGTTGCGTCCTAACCCGGCTTTTATGCCTACGGTTATTAAGAGCTCATACAGATCACAGATTGTAGAGCTGTGGTCCTTTTATCCCTCTCCTCATGGAGAGGAGAGGCTCCATCGCCTGTGCCCAGTGCGTGCCTTTAGCGTGTTACGTGGAACACACGGCGGCGATTAGGTCATCGCCTCAGCTGTTTGTGTGTCAAGGTGCGGCTGCACTAGGTAGACCACTTTCTAAACAGCGTCTGTCTCATTGGCTTTGTGAAGGCATTGAGACGGCGTATGAGGCAGCGGGGCGACCATTGCCTCATTGTGTAAGAACCCACTCCACTCGTGAAGTAGCGGCTTCTACTGCCCTTTTCAGAATAACTGGGGTAGAGGATATTTGTGCAGCAGCGTCGTGGTCGTCACCGTCACCTTTTATCAGTTTCTATCTCTTAGATATGTCTTCTAACTCTTTGGCTCAGTCTGTACTCAGCGTGGCTGAGGGGAGGACTTGAGCTAGGAGAGAGGAATGCAGGACTGAGGAGACAGGTCTCTTTCAGGTCCGCTCCTTATAGAAGAGACATAGGGGCCAGTGATCAGGATTCAAGCCCAGGCGCTTCTGCTGCTCTGGAGGGGCTGGAGTTGGACAGGGTCATGTGTTGAGGTTAGAGGGCAGGTTGAGGCGGCGTGCATCAAGCCAAGGAACATCTGATGAACGTTTTCAGAGAAATATGCATCCAGGTAGAGTAATTGCCCGTTTGGACCTTTTGACAGTTGGATTTTCTTCATCATGATACAAGTTACTGCACATCAAATCTATGACGGAATGTTTTAAAAAAGACAAAGCACATTTTTGTTAGCTTGTTCCAAGGGATATTTATATATAGTTTTTTTCATTTTGCAGTTTGTTCCTTTGATTGAATTTTGTTTTGTAATTATTACAAAACTACTACAGGCTATTACATTTAGAAAATCTATTTACCGCCACAGTTCCGTGTGTTGTGTACACCGTTTTGAAAATCTACATTGTAAAAAAATAAATAAACGCTTATACCAAATTGAGAAAAACGAACAGATCTGTAAGGTGGAAGCAATATTGGGGGAACGTGCTCCAACACTACCCTGATTAAATCAGCAAAATGATCAACACATTCCAAGAGGTTTGCCATATTTGTCTTTATTTCAAAAGAAATTGAGTCAGAGCCTTGCAGCATACCAGACAGAGCATAAATAAAACAGTTCACAGAAAGACAAGAGTACAAAACAAAAACTTGCTTACAAAATACTTACCTAGGCCATTCCTGGTTTGAGTGATAATCAATCATTACGTGGGGAGAGGGCATAACTAAGGGTGACAGAAATACAGGGCCTTTCCAATGGGTAGTACTAACAAGAAACTCCTGTCTGTCCAATTTATCCATAGGGTTTGGTCTTAACAAGCATACTGCGTGATATCGAACAACAGGACAAAGCCATTGAGAGTGTTTTAGTTTTCTTACATTGACACAAAATCCTTAAAAGTTGGCATTTGGTGGTGGTGGTGGGGAGGGAGGGAGGTAGTTCTGATCTTTCTCTCTGAAATCTGATATGAATCATATGCATCTATCTACTCTTATCCTGGCAGTTACCAATAGCATAAGATGAGAAAAACCAAAAGACAATGTTTTAACACGATTAAGCTGATTCAACGTTTTTTAGTTCAAGACAAGAGTTACTAGATGTTCAGACTGCAACACAGTCCCTTCATATACTCTTATTACATCAACCTCTTATTCCAGATTCAATTATTACATGGAGATCGAAAAACATTGAGGCAGGCTTGGGACATTGATGCAGGCTTGGGACATTGATGCAGGCTTGTGTAAAGAGTCCCATATACACACACACAGAGAGAGAAGAGAAAAAGCCACGGGGAGTCTCTTCCAGGCGCTGGATGGAGGGAAGGATGGGGGGGGGTTGTTCCTTCTCCTCTCCTACCCTGTGTGGATGCTGTGGTTTGGGGGAAGAGTCTCAGGTGAAGAGCTGAGTGGTTCTGGCTCAGTCTGGCTCAGGGAAACAGGTAAGATGGGATATGATGACTAGGAGTGAAGGAGGGAGGGGGGGGGTGAAGACACACCTGCAGGCTCTACAACAGACAAGAGTCCAAGTCACAGGGGAGGGAAGCGGGAAGCAGGGTTGAAGAGGAGCAGATAGGTGCTAGGCTTTGGGCAGGAGGGGCAGAGTGGTGGGTTAAGGGCGAGTGGGGGTCAGAGTTCAAGTCCAGGTGCTTCTACTGCTCTGGAGGGGCTGGAGTTGGACAGGGGTGAGGTTAGAGGTCAGGGTTGGGTGCATCGATCGATGGGACGTCTGGTCGGGGGCTGCGTCTCATATAGCACCCTATTCCTTTTTGTAGTGCATTACTTTTGTCCACACTCTCTTTAGGCCCTGGTCATAAGCAGTGTACTGAATAGGGTGCCATTTGGGACGTACTCTGGGTCTTCAGGCGCTCTCGCTGCTCTCGATGGGCTGCAGTTTGACCAGGTGGTCTGGCTTGCCTCCGCTGGCGTGGCGCTCCCACATCTGCAGGTAGAGCTTCTCCAGATCCATAGTGTACTGCTTGGTGTTGAACAGAGGGCTGCAGATACGCTGCTTCCACACACGGGACCGGATCATCTTCAGACTGGGGGAGGAGAGGGGGTCAGTTACAGCAATGGTGAGAAGAGACCAGCCTCCCGGACAGCTGATGAAACTGAGGAGTAGCTCCGAGCTCTGCGCCTATTGGTTTACTCCGCTGCCTAGGCAGCGAACAGCCTGAGATAAAATTATGCACACACCTGCAGCCAATAGGAGTACAGGTGTCCCTATAAGAGGGGACGCTTCCCCTCAATCAGCCTCACATTATCTTCAGCGACTGGATTGGACTGAAGAAGCCGATAGAAGACAAGACTCAGGACAAAGAAAACGTAGTCGATTTTCCAGGTCATCGACGTCGTCCGAGAATGAGCACACCAGGAGATTTTTCACCCCCAAAAGCTATTTTCAGTATGGCGGCTGTCGACTCCCACGACTTATGTTTAGTGTGTTTCATGGACCCCCACTATGTGCCAGCTGCGCCCTCCCTTCTTTGAAGGAGAGGAAGCAGCGTTGGGCATTTTTTTTTCTCGCTCAGAGCAGATCTGAACTATTGGAGAGATCCGCGCGTTCTCACGCACGGTGTCCGGATAGGCAGTGTCCTCCTACATTCCAGTTTTACAGATGCCTCTCTGACTGGATGGGGAGGGACATGTCAGACCCAAGCGATAGGAGGTGTGTGGCCTCTCTCGAGTCGTCACATCAACCTATTGGAGTTGTAAACGGTTCTACTGGTTCTGACCCACTTCGCGTCTACCCTTCGGGGTCGCGATGTGCTGGTCTGGTCAGACGACCGAAGCACAGTAGCCTACATCAATCGCCAGGGAGGAGTCAGGTCTCCTGCACTCCACCAGTTGGCGGAGGAATTGTGGCTGTGGGCTCACGTGCATCTTCGCTCATTGAGAGCAGCACACATTCCAGGCTACGTGAACATAGGGGCAGACCTCATGTCTCAAGGGGGTTGTTCTCCACATTTCCAAATTTGGGTTCGGGAGAGCCGAGGTGGATCTGTTTGCGTCACGCGTGAACACACATTGCACTCTCTGGTTCTCTCTACGAGATCAGGACGAACCGCAACTGGAGAGGGACGCATTTGCGCACCGACCGTGGCCAAAAGTTCTCCTGTACACAGTTCCACCGCTGTCCTGCATTCTCCCACTGTTAGCCAGGTTGAGATCAGGCGGGCTGTCAATCATATTGGTGGCTCCCGATCGCCCAGGGGCTCCATGGTTCGCGGAGATGAGTCAGATGTTGATTGCGCCACCTTGGCCAATTCCACATCAACAGGAAGCGCTGTCTCAGGCGCGATAGGGGCAGTTGCCCGTAATCGGCCAACCACTGATGGTTTGGCTCCTGAGAGGGACAGGCTACAGCGCCGTGGGTTATCTGATTCAGTAATCAGAACCATACAGGGTTCACGTGCCGGTTCCACTTCCAGGGTTTATGCCAGTAAATGGAACGTGTTTTCACAGTGGTGTGTCACAGAGAATGTGGACCCCATGTGCTGTCGGGTTGAGAGTGTACTCTCGTTCCTACAGTTTTTATTTGATAAGCAGCGATCGCCCGCCACCATTAAGGTGTTTGCAGCGGCGATTTCAGCTTGTCATGAGGGGTTTGGCAGGGACACTATCTTCAGCCACCCTCTAGTGAAACGTTTCCTATTAGGAACGCGACGGCACTGTTGCTCGCTTTGACCACTGCTAAGCGTGTCAGTGATTTGTGCGCTCTGTCGACGAGACCCGACTGCCTCGCCATTAATGGCGATCTGAGCAGAGCGGTGTTGCGTCCTAACCCGGCTTTTATGCCTACGGTTATTAAGAGCTCATACATATCACAGATTGTAGAGCTGTGGTCCTTTTATCCCTCTCCTCATGGAGAGGAGAGGCTCCATCGCCTGTGCCCAGTGCTTGCCTTTAGCGTGTTACGTGGAACACACGGCGGCGATTAGGTCATCGCCTCAGCTGTTTGTGTGTCAAGGTGCGGCTGCACTAGGTAGACCACTTTCTAAACAGCGTCTGTCTCATTGGCTTTGTGAAGGCATTGAGACGGCGTATGAGGCAGCGGGGCGACCATTGCCTCATTGTGTAAGAACCCACTCCACTCGTGGAGTAGCGGCTTCTACTGCCCTTTTCAGAATAACTGGGGTAGAGGATATTTGTGCAGCAGCGTCGTGGTCGTCACCGTCTCCTTTTATCAGTTTCTATCTCTTAGATATGTCTTCTAACTCTTTGGCCTTTTGACAGTTGGATCTATTTTGTTCATCATGATACAAGTTACTGCACATCAAATCTATGACGGAATGTTTTAAAAGACAAAGCACATTTTTGTTAGCTTGTTCCAAGGGATATTTATATATAGTTTTTTTCATTTTGCAGTTTGTTCCTTTGATTGTATTTTGTTTTGTCATTATTACAAAACTACTACAGGCTATTACATTTAGAAAATCTATTTACCGACACAGTTCCGTGTGTTGTGTACACCGTTTTGAAAATCTACATTGTAAAAAAATAAATAAACGCTTATACCAAATTGAGAAAAACGAACAGATCTGTAAGGTGGAAGCAATATTGGGGGAACGTGCTCTAACACTACCCTGATTAAATCAGCGAAATGATCAACACATTCCAAGAGGTTTGCCATATTTGTCTTTATTTCAACAGAAATTGAGTCAGAGCCTTGCAGCATACCAGACAGAGCATAAATAAAACAGTTCACAGAAAGACAAGAGTACAAAACAAAAACTGCTTACAAAATACTTACCTAGGCCATTCCTGGTTTGAGTGATAATCAATCATTACGTGGGGAGAGGGCATAACTAAGGGTGACAGAAATACAGGGCCTTTCCAATGGGTAGTACTACCAAGAAACTCCTGTCTGTCCAATTTATCCATAGGGTTTGGTCTTAACAAGCATACTGCGTGATATCGAACAACAGGACAAAGCCATTGAGAGTTTTTTAGTTTTCTTACATTGACACAAAATCCTTAAAAGTTGGCATTTGGTGGTGGTGGTGGTGGTGGGGAGGGAGTTCTGATCTTTCTCTCTGAAATCTGATATTAATCATATGCATCTATCTACTCTTATCCTGGCAGTTACCAATAGCATAAGATGAGAAAAACCAAAAGACAATGTTTTAACATGATTAAGCTGATTCAACGTTTTTTAGTTCAATACAAGAGTTACTAGATGTTCAGACTGCAACACAGTCCCTTCATATACTCTTATTACATCAACCTCTTATTCCAGATTCAATTATTACATGGAGATCGAAAAACATTGAGGCAGGCTTGGGACATTGATGCAGGCTTGGGACATTGATGCAGGCTTGTGTAAAGAGTCCCATATACACACACACAGAGAGAAGAGAAAAAGCCACAGGGAGTCTCTTCCAGGCGCTGGATGGAGGGAAGGATGGGGGGTTGTTCCTTCTCCTCTCCTACCCTGTGTGGATGCTGTGGTTTGGGGGAAGAGTCTCAGGTGAAGAGCTGAGTGGTTCTGGCTCAGTCTGGCTCAGGGAAACAGGTAAGATGGGATATGATGACTAGGAGTGAAGGAGGGAGGGGGGGGGATGAAGACACACCTGCAGGCTCTACAACAGACAAGAGTCCAAGTCACAGGGGAGGGAAGAGGGAAGCAGGGTTGAAGAGGAGCAGATAGGTGCTAGGCTTTGGGCAGGAGGGGCAGAGTGGTGGGTTAAGGGCGAGTGGGGGTCAGAGTTCAAGTCCAGGTGCTTCTACTGCTCTGGAGGGGCTGGAGTTGGACAGGGGTGAGGTTAGAGGTCAGGGTGGGGTGCATCGATCGATGGGACGTCTGGTCGGGGGCTGCGTCTCATATAGCACCCTATTCCTTTTTGTAGTGCATTACTTTTGTCCACACTCTCTTTAGGCCCTGGTCATAAGCAGTGTACTGAATAGGGTGCCATTTGGGACGCACTCTGGTTCTTCAGGCGCTCTCGCTGCTCTCGATGGGCTGCAGTTTGACCAGGTGGTCTGGCTTGCCTCCGCTGGCGTGGCGCTCCCACATCTGCAGGTAGAGCTTCTCCAGATCCGTAGTGTACTGCTTGGTGTTGAACAGAGGGCTGCAGATACGCTGCTTCCACACACGGGACCGGATCATCTTCAGACTGGGGGAGGAGAGGGGGTCAATTACAGCAATGGTGAGAAGAGGATGAGTGTAAGAAAAGACAGGAGAGAGAGAGAGAGAGAGAGAGAGAGAGAGAGAGAGAGAGAGAGAGAGAGAGAGAGAGCGAGAGCGCTAGCTGGAGTGTGTGTTACTCAGAGGATCTTACTATTCCATGTCAGAGCCCAGTTTGACGGCCACGTCCTCATACTCCTGTCTGGTGTGGGCGATGAGCTCTGGACAGCCCAGACACTGCAGCTGAGAGGCTGCCACGCGTGACGCCAGGGTCTCACCTGTACGGGCACACGTGACATTTAAAAGACCGACCTGTTGTTCACCCACACCACCGTTACTACAGCACCCACCCACACCACCGTTACTACACCACCGTTACTACACCACCCACCCACACCACCATTACTACACCACCCACCCACACCACCGTTACTACACCACCCACAGAGTGCAACCCAATTATCTCCGTACTGTGCATTTGTTCCCTTCCCTTCATGGATTAGAAAGGAAACGACTGAGATATAGAAACTCCTCCTAGCCCATTCCAACACCAATCCAACGCATTCTAATTTGTGGAGAGTAGTGAACAAGTGCACACTTCAGAAGGAAACGTCTCTGTCCTACGATCATACACCGTCTCACCTGGCATGGTAACCATGGGTGTCCCGGCCCAGAGGACATCCATGCCGGTGGTGTGTCCGTTACAGAGTGGCGTGTCCAGACACACGTCGGCCAGCTGGCCCCGTCTCACGTGCTCCTCCTTGGGCGCCACCGGAGAGAAGATGATGCGGGAGGCGGGCAGGCCGAAGTTCTGGGCGTACTGCTGGATGTTGGGCTCGCCCACTGCAGGGAAACGCAGCAACCACAGGACACTGTTGGGAACACGCTTCAGGATCTACAGGAGAGGAGAGACGGGAGAGGAGAGGAGAGACGGGAGAGGAGAGACGGGAGAGGAGAGGAGAGGAGAGACGGGAGAGGAGAGACAGGAGAGACGGGAGAGGACAGACGGGAGAGGTGAGACAGGAGAGGTGATCAGTAAGAGGTGCTGTGTGTCTGAAATGGCACTACTGTTGACCAAGGCCCATATTCCCTATATAGTGCACTACTTTTGACCAGAGCATAGGGCCTGGTCAAAGCTAGTGCACTATCACAGAGACTAGGGTGCCATTTCACCCTGAGAGTCAGGGAAACGGAGGAATACCTGAAGAAACATGACAATCTAAGACAACAGGATCATGGAGCATTGAGAAAGTGTTTTCTAGCTTGAGGCTTACATTGGCCCACATCTGCAGGGTGGGGGGGTCGATCTTGTAGAGCTGGTTGAAGTTGCAGTAGACGATGGAGTCTTCAGGCAGGCCGTACTGGGAGCGGGTTGTCACGACGATGGTACGAGGAACCTCCTCTCCTGTAGCCGCCTTGTTGTTGATCTGAGATGGAGGACAAGGTGGTGGTTATGATGGAGAAATGTATTCTGAGCAGAGAGGGAGAGGAAGGAAGGAGAGCAAGGAGAGAGAGAGATTGGGGCGGCAGGTAGCTTAGTGGTTAAGAGCGTTGTGCCAGTAACCGAAAGGTCGCTGGTTCTAATCCCTGAGCCAACTAGGTGAAAGATCTGTCGATGTGCCCTTGAGCAAGGCACTTAACCCTAATTGCTCCTGTAAGTCGCTCTGGATAAGAGCGTCTGCTAAATGACAAAAAAAAAAAAAAAAAAAGAAGAAGAAGAAATCTAGGGGGCAGAGGAGAGGAGAGGCCAGTGCATAGTGACACATGACAGTGTTTCCCATACATCCCTGTTCACTACAGTACTGGAACCATATTCCTAGGTGTCAAATCTCAAAAGTAGACGTGCAAGTGACCCAATGTCTTTCTCCAGTACTAGCCAGTCTGTGTGCCCCATACCTGGAGGGCTACAACCTCCTCCACTGGAAGTATCTGAAAACACAGTAAACATGGAGATGGAACACTACAGACTGTAGTCATGTCACATGGCTGGGATCAAAGGTCAACCATACAGGTTCCTCTCTGCTTCATTCAACCAGCAAAATAACAACCTGGTATTCATTCTTATCCATTTCCTCTGTGTGTCCCCCTCCAGTACCTGTGTGGTGGCCAGTCCATTGCTGACGGTGAATCCGTTGATGGTGACCTGAATCTGTCCCTGGTTGATCATGTTGATGATGGCCTCAGCTGCTGTGTTCATGGGGATGACAGGCATGGACAGAGCCCCGTTGGTTTCTGCTGCTCCACTGTCCCCACTGGCACACTTCATCTGGACAGGAAGGAAGGAAGGGGTCAGTGATTTACAAATCATTTGCATCTTATTTTTCAGGAGGATAAGGGTGGGTCTTCACCGTTCAAATTGAAGAAAACAAAAGGAACAGACAATGGGGGTACCTTTCCAATAGTTGATGGTCCTAGTCCAATGGAAATATGGTCACAGAACATTCCCCATGTCACTGTCTCACCTTGATGTCAGGCAGGCTGTCCAGGAAGGGTTAGGGCTATTCACCATGTCACTGTCTCACCTTGACGTCAGGCAGGCTGTCCAGGAAGGGTTAGGGCTATTCACCATGTCACTGTCTCACCTTGACGTCAGGCAGGCTGTCCAGGAAGGGTTAGAGCTATTCCCCATGTCACTGTCTCACCTTGACCACCTTTACGTCAGGCAGGCTGTCCAGGAAGGCCTTGAGGTCAATGCCATTCAGAACGATGCGGTTGTCAAAGATGTGGCCGTTAGACTTGAAGTCAATCACCGCCTTTTTCTGTTGAAGAAAATAAAACAAGATCACTGAGGTGAACTGCATGTCAAGTGTCGTTCCAAGAAACCACGTCAGGGTTGTAGATCTTAAAAGCATTATTTTCATTCATCAAAGAATGCCTTTTTCTTTCAGATGAATGTCAGTTTAGTATTTTTTATTTAAGCTTTATGTAACCAGGGGAAACCCACAATCAAAAAAAGTGCATTTCTCCTTCACCACATTCCTCATAGTCCCGAACTGACCCTTCGAGATAAGAGTCAAGCCACAAAGTAGCCTGCAGGTCATTCCATGCGCTAGGGTCACAATAACTAAAAGGCAATCTTCCCAGACTCTGTGGAGACCTGAGAAAACTCTAGAACCAGCCAGTCTTGAGAGCGAGTCTGATGGTGGCTGGATATCCAATTAAGAAGTGAGGTAGTATGGGAGTTTCTCGAGAAATGCTTTATATACAAATAGCCGCTAGGCTTGGGCGGTATTTTCATATCGTCATACCGATCTTCTCTCATCTCGGGATTTACGGTACCACCGGCACGGCACACAAGGGGGCCAAAAAAAATAAAATAAAAGCCCATTGTGCCTCTATTACCGGAATGCTAACAGAATTAGCACAAACTAATAGCGAAATCACATAGCTGTTACCTAAATGCTAACGCGCGAAAACGAACATAAACTTATCGCAAAGGCAGGCAAATCCAGCTCAAAGTTATACAAGCATAGCGAGTATCTACCGTATGTCATTTTCAGTGAGTGTGAACATTTACTAGCGAAAGTGAACAAGAGAAATTGTGCAAAATGAACAAAGTTGTGATGCATGCTTTTCTGAAGGAAGAGCAGCATATGTACACAGACCAGAGGATAGAGGAAAACACTAATAGGAAGCACAGGGGGAAAAGGCAGCTGTACAGACAACTCATCCAAAACTCACTAGACCTCTGGCTGAAAGACATTATAAGATCGTTTCTGATAAAAAATAATTATAAGTTGCTGAGGTGTAGTCACTTTTGAGGACACAAGCGCAAGTACAAATATAAAAATGAAATATTTTATATGATGCATTTCCTACTCAACAATACTGTATGAATAAGGCTTGAAATTATTTACAGTGAGGGGAAAAAAGTATTTGATCCCCTGCTGATTTTGTACGTTTGCCCACTGACAAAGAAATGATCAGTCTATAATTTTAATGGTAGGTTTATTTGAACAGTGAGAGACAGAATAACAACAACAAAAATCCAGAAAAACACATGTCAAAAATGTTATAAATTGATTTGCATTTTAATGAGGGAAATAAGTATTTGACCCCCTCTCAAATCAGAAAGATTTCTGGCTCCCAGGTGTCTTTTATACAGGTAATGAGCTGAGATTAGGAGCACACTCTTAAAGGGAGTGCTCCTAATCTCAGCTTGTTACCTGTATAAAAGACACCTGTCCACAGAAGCAATCAATCAATCAGATTCCAAACTCTCCACCATGGCCAAGACCAAAGAGCTCTCCAAGGATGTCAGGGACAAGATTGTAGACCTACACAAGGCTGGAATGGGCTACAAGACCATCGCCAAGCAGCTTGGTGAGAAGGTGACAACAGTTGGTGCGATTATTCGCAAATGGAAGAAACACAAAAGACCTGTCAATCTCCATGCAATATCTCACCTCGTGGAGTTGCAATGATCATGAGAATGGTGAGGAATCAGCCCAGAACTACACGGGAGGATCTTGTCAATGATCTCAAGGCAGCTGGGACCATAGTCACCAAGAAAACAATTGGTAACACACTACGCCGTGAAGGACTGAAATCCTGCAGCACCCGCAAGGTCCCCCTGCTCAAGAAATCACATATACAGGCCCGTCTGAAGTTTGCAATGAACATCTGAATGATTCAGAGGAGAACTGGGTGAAAGTGTTGTGGTCAGATGAGACCATAATCGAGCTCTTTGGCATCAACTCAACTCGCCGTGTTTGGAGGAGGAGGAATGCTGCCTATGACCCCAAGAACACCATCCCCACCGTCAAACATGGAGGTGGAAACATTATGCTTTGGGGGTGTTTTTCTGCTAAGGGGACAGGACAACTTCACCGCATCAAAGGGACGATGGACGGGGCCATGTACCGTCAAATCTTGGGTGAGAACCTCCTTCCCTCAGCCAGGGCATTGAAAATGGGTCGTGGATGGGTATTCCAGCATGACAATGACCCAAAACACACGGCCAAGGCAACAAAGGAGTGGCTCAACAAGAAGCACATTAACGTCCTGGAGTGGCCTAGCCAGTCTCCAGACCTTAATCCCATAGAAAATCTGTGGAGGGAGCTGAAGGTTCGAGTTGCCAAACGTCAGCCTCAAACTTAATGACTTGGAGAAGATCTGCAAAGACGAGTGGGACAAAATCCCTCCTGAGATGTGTGCAAACCTGGTGGCCAACTACAAGAAATGCCTGACCTCTGTGATTGCCAACAAGGGTTTTGCCACCAAGTACTAAGTCATGTTTTGCAGAGGGGTCAAATACTTATTTCCCTCATTAAAATGCAAATAAATGTATAACATTTTTGACATGCGTTTTTCTGGATTTTTTTGTTGTTATTCTGTCTCTCACTGTTCAAATAAACCTACCATTAAAATTAGAGACTGATCATGTTTTTGTCAGTGGGCAAACGTACAAAATCAGCAGGGGATCAAATACTTTTTTCCCCTCACTGTATATGCTTTCTAAATAAAGCATAATCAAATTATAAAATGACTAACTAAGATTTTGCCTTCCTTATAACTGAAGTACATATGTTTGTTTAGTGTTAAAAGAAAATGTGCATATTTTCTAAAGGTCTCGATCAAAACGTCTGGCCCCATCGCTGTGAACGTCTCAGAGCTCTAACTTGGCTTCCTGAACTCGCCGTTCATCTCATATTAATCTTGTCCGTCTATGACAAAAAAAACAATGAATTATTTTACATGAATGCGCTACGATGTAACGACTGCAGGCATGTGCTTTGTCTGTGGCTGCGATGTAGGGTTCAGCCAGGAGTTAACGGACAGACGGAAGAGCAAATTAAATGGTAGGAGGGACATCCCAGCTTCAAGTGGTTTCAGATTTCACATCCTACATCACAGGTTCAGAAAAAACTGTCAGTGGGAACCAGGGCTATTGCTCAATGCAAGCCATTTCGATCTACCGAGTCCACAGATCGATTTATAAGCAAAATTGTCAGTCGGAACCCGCACCAGAAGCACGCAGGTCCCCAAAACAGGGGACTTTACATCTAAGAGGTTTTAATGGCCTGCTGCACTGAAGGGGAACGGGAATAAATAACTGTCATCCGCATAGAGATGTACGTCCCAATTATTATTAAGTGACAAACCAACATTATTAATGTAAATCGTGAAGGGCCTAGTATTGAGTCTTGTGGCACTCCTTTGGTTATGTTAAGAAAATTCAACTGACCTCATCGGCAGATATACTTTCACTACACCAATTACTACACCTTTATATTTAATTCACTGCAGTCAGTGATATCCTTGATGCTGAAACTTTACCTTTGACTCAACAGTGAAACATGACAAGAGGATTAACAGTCCCTCCAGGATTCCCCCGGATTACAAATATTTTTGATAAATCAACTATTCCCTGCATATTATGTGAGGGCTTGCAAATTTGACCAATCACTGCACTACTTCCGCACAAGTCAAATCATCGTAATATTATCGCATAAAAAAAAAACTGACCCGTCACCGCAGAACAAGAGGGCTCGCAATTTCAACCAATCACTGCACATTAGCCGTATAAGGTTCAATCAAGCCACACTACAACACACTTTTGTTTACTGGATAAACAGGAATCTCACCTTGAGGTGGGGGAACATGTTCGCGTGGTCTCCAATAAAGAAGGTGTGTGGCATGTAAGCTAGTTTCTCAGAGTACTGCTCCGCCACCTCGATGGGGGACGTCTCCTTGTCTGACACGATGTAGTCCATGAAGGGAGCTCCGCTGGTTCCCGGGTAGCCCAACCACATACACTGAGAAGAAGGAGAGAACAGTTGGCAGAGTGAACTTTATTTGGGCATTATACCCTGGCAGTTGTGTAGTGCCATTGTTTTTTTGTTTGTTTTTTTAGGTGAGGGAGCGCACGCGGAGAAAAATAAATGAAAAATTCTCAATCAACAGATGTAGCCTGCTGAATATCATTGTAGAGTAGGCCTATGCCCAAATATATTGTCTCAAGAAAATGTTATATTTTTTTATACCCTCAAAACACCAAGTTAAGCATACCTAATTTCCAAATAGGCCATCACTGTCTATCGTGAATTATAATTCTTTACGTTTTAAATGGTGAAATGTCCAAACTGCATGCCTGCCAATCATTTGATCTCAATCAGTTAGAGCTTCTTGAATTACTGTTTCGTGAGCAAATTAAAAAACAGATGGTGTTAAAACTATTCGCCTTTTTTGTAGGACTACTTTGTTTCAATCAAAGCATACACTGAGTACAAATCATTAGAAACACCTGCTCTTTCGATGACAGACTGACCAGGTGAAGCCTATGATCCCCTAATGATGTCACCGGTTAAATCCACTTCAAAATCAGTGTAGATGAAGGGGAGGAGACGGGTTAAAGAAGGATTTTAAATCCTTGAGACATGGATTGTGTATGTGTGCCATTAACAGGGTGAATGGGCAAGACAAAAGATTGAAGTGCCTTTGAACGGGGTATGGTAGTAGGTGCCAGGCGCACCGGTTTGAGTGTGTCAAGAACAGCAACGCTGCTGGGTTTTTCACACTCAACAGTTTCCCGTGTGCATCAAGAATGGTCAAACACCCAAAGGACATCCAGCCAACTTGACAACTGTGTGAAACATTGGCCTAATACAATAACTTTGTGGCAACCGTTTGGGGAAGGCCCTTTCCTGTTTCAGCATGACAAATCCCCCATGCACAAAGCGAGGTCCATACAGAAATGGTTTGTCGAAATTGGTGTGGAAGAACTTGACTGGCCTGCACAGAGCCCTGACCTCAACCCCGTCTAACACCTTTGGGATGAATTGGAACGCCGACTGCGAGCCAGGCCTAATTGCCCAACATCAGTGCCCGACCTCACTAATGCTTGTGGCTGAATAGTAGCAAGTCCCCAAAGCAATGTTTCAACATCTAGTGGAAAGCCTTCCCAGAAGAGAGGAGGCTGTTATAGCAGCAAAGGGGGGACCAACTCCATATTAATGCCCATGATTTTGGAATGAGATGTTTGACGAGCAGGCGTCCACATACTTTTGGTCATGTAGTATATATATATATATATATATATATATATATATATATATATATATATATATATATATATATATATATATATATATATATATACATACACACACACTGTTTAGTGCCAAAAATAAGGGGTTAAATACATGTTAAAAAAAACAAAAAAACATCCTGATCCTTCTTATATCTCTCAGTTATAGGACAGACCCTTCAGACCAAACTTCGTTTTTAATTTTTTGGGGGGACTGTAGTTGCATGTACTGAATCTGTTATTCAATGCATTTGTATGGGCGAATAGCAGTAAGGCCAAATCAAAAATATATATACATACTTCAAGGGGTCTTAAAATTCAAAATCAAATAGCAAAATGATCCTTGGTATGACCTTAAAACAATTCCATATAGCTTACATGGCTAAATAAAGCCTAGTTATCTCACCTGGATGGGAGCGGGGCGCAGGGCAAACAGCTCGTTGCGGGCTCCTTTGGTGTAGCCGTTCATATTGACCAGGATGTGTAGTCCATCCTGATGGATCCTGTCTGCTGCCTTACCGTTACACGGGAGCTGACAGAGGAGAGAGACGGGAGGAGGAGGAAGGGAGAGTGGCTCTATGTTCTTCAGTACAGAGGAAAGGACAAAGAAAAGTACTTTGATTGAGTTGTCTATCTGCGTTAACTCACCTGTGACAGGTCAGTGAAGTGATGGGCCTCGGCCACCACCTTTACCCTGAAGTTGGTGTTGTCATCTGGGCTCAGGGCATAGCAGAACACCTGGGGAGAGGAACCACCAGACATGTTCCAACCATGTTACCACCAACCGTTAGAACAACCACCAGACATGTTACAACCATGTTACCACCAACCGTTAGAACAGCTGCACGGCCAGTATGGCTTTTATATCCGAATTTAAGATTTTAAAAACAAATTTCAAGTACTGTTAGGTCACTATAACACCTCACTTATATTTATCCATTATTTATTCAGTTACGTCGCATTGAGAATAAAACGTCGCATTGAGAATAAAACATTTGTTTAAATGAAAATCAAATCCAGGTATGCAAACACATCAGTTCATTCTAAATCATTGGTTGTTGCCAGTCCTCCTGATAGCATCTCTAGTGGTAATGATTCAGAACAGTAGGAAACCCTCACCTCAAACTGCTCAGAGTTGTGCATGCCGGGGATGGACTGCATGAGGTGGGAGGTGGGGTGGTTCCCGAAGTCAGAGCTGACATATCCCACCCTCAGACGACCCGCGCTGGCCTTCAGGTCCTTGGGGTACTCAAAGGCCGGCTTGTGGAGCGCATTGATCTGTGGTGGGATGGGGGGGGGGCGTTAGACTATGTCACAGCTGGTAAACTGACAAACTAGGCTGCGTCCCAAATGTCACCCTATTCCCTATAAAGTGCACTACTTTTACCCAAAAGTAGTGCTCTATGTAATGAAAAGGATGCCATCTGAGACACAGCCCAAGGCTCTCTTCCAAAATGTACACTAGCATCCTACTTAGAATGATTTCTAGTATGGACATTGGAACATCATAGCCTGTCAGATAATGACCATAAACCTAGCTCCTTTCAGGTGGTCCAACTAGACAAGGCAGATTAAAACCAGATCCCTCGTCCATAACGCAGTTACAACTATCCTGAACCTGACCTAACTAACATCCAACTAACCGCCCAAACCTAACCCATCTTAACCCATCTAGGAGACCCTCTTTACCCAGCAAGCACCCCAACCACCTTCTGCCATCTAAGGCTGGTGTTTACTGTTTATTTTTAACTAGAAAAACGACTACAGGCCTAATAAGTTTCCTTAAAATGAGCCAGAAGGGTAACTTCCAAGCCATCCCACCTTACCGTTCACCCTTCACCATACAAGCATCCCAGCCCAGCCTTCACCTGAATAAAAGGTCAATACTGTACTTGCTTCGATGAGGGCCTGTACCTTGTCCAGACAGAGGTTGCCATGCCTCTCAGCGATGGCCTTGCGGAAGCCGTGAGATAGGGGGTATAACATGCTGTGGTGGGGGTGCACCGAGGGCAGACGGTTCTTATCCAACTGGTCAGCCACGATGCTCACCAGCTTCTTCATACGCTCATCATAGTCCGTCCAGTCACACACAATCTGGAGAGAGGAGAGACCGCTGTGTAAGTGGTGAGGAGAGTGTGTGTTTGTGTGACAGAAGTTTGTGAGGCAGTCTGAAGTGTAAAATCAGAGACATGTAATCCAAAAGCAGTAACTCTTGAGGCTTACTTGTGTTCTCTCTTTCGCAATGTCTCACATCAATACATGATTTATACTCAAGTTACAGCTGAGTCTCAAATCAGGATTTGGCCTTTAAGTGTATCTGCAGTAACTTGACACGGGAGACTAGTGTGTGTGTGTTCAGCAGTGTGTGTGTGAGAGTGCGTGTACCTGCAGGCAGTGTGCCAGGTTGCAGTAGGCATCAGGGAAGTCAGGCTTCAGTTTCAGGGCTGTACGGTAAGAAGCAATGGCTTCTGGGATGTTACCAGAGTCCTGAGGGGAGGGGGACATATCATTACAATAATGGAATCATAAAACAACTTCCTTTATAAATACATGCATTTTAATATTTCCATGAATTACAAAACAAAATTGCAGACCATAGGTAAATTTGGCCCTGCGGAATATCAGTGACAAAGGAGGAGTAATGCCAATCCCAAATCGGCTTCATTGCACGTCTGATAGGATTCGAGGGTTATGGCAGACGCGGCAGATGAAAGTCACCTTGTGTATGGAGGCCAGGTTAGAGTGAGCATCAGCAAAGGCAGGGTTGATCTGGATGGCTCTGGTGTAGCACTGTAACGCTCCCTGGACATCCTGCATCTCCTTCAGAGTGTTGCCCATGTTCGAGTAGGCATCAGCAAACGTAGGGCTGATTCTACAGACACACACAAACAATTCAGTAGGATGCAAATCTTATCCACTAGATGTAGTACCTTGAAACACCATCCCTAAAAAGGTGTGTCTCTGTGGATTTGTCAAACCACAACTGATTGAGAGATGAAAGAGAGGGCGAGACTGAGAGAGGCGTCTGTCTGCGAACCTGATTGCCTCCTTGTAGTGCATGAGGGCCTCCTGGAGTTTCCCCTGCTGCTGCAGAACACTGGCCAGGTTAGAGTGGGCTGCTGCAAACTCTGGAAACACCTGAAGACGACAACACAACCACAGGTTAGAATACATATTACAACAGAACACTGGCCAGGTTAGAGTGGGCCGCTGCAAACACCAACCACACACACAGGTTATAGGGTGTCCAATCAAAAACGCATAATCTGACCACTGGGTAAAATAGGATGTTAATTGTGTAGATAATCCTCTATGAAAACTCTGTTCAAAAGTTATTGGAGTTTTCACCCTTGTAGGATGGCCAGAATCAGTGTTCACCCTTGTAGGATGGCCAGAATCAGGACGACTAAATCAATGGAGACCAGAGAAAAGGTTGTAATAAAATAAAAATCTGGAAAATTGCATGGCGTCAGTTAGGCTGGATTATGTGTAGAATTAAGGCTACCTGATGGCTCACCGTTGAACTCGGCATCTTCTCCAATCCGCAGGACATAAAATCAATAGAGGTGATATCGATTTTGAGACATGTAGTATTTTTATATTTTAGTATATGTGTTTCATATTAAATGCTAAATTCTTGTTCTTTTTCTAAGATTTCTCACAAAAACAAGCGTATGATGTGAAATCTCAACAGAGCACTGAGCATATACCAATCTTTTTATTTTCAAAGCCTTTTACATTTAATTCAGCTCGTGTCATGCTAAATGTAAGTCGCTCTGGATAAGAGCGTCTGCTAAATGACAAAAAAAAAACCCAGCGGAAACAACTTCGAAGACGACCACAAAATGTAAAATCGGCACCGCTCTGTCAGAGCTCGGTGCATATTATCGGAGGTATTACGTTAAGAAATACAACTTTTTGGATATACAATAACAATCAAAAGTTTGGACACCTACTCATTCAAGGGTTTTTCTTTATTTTTTACTATTTTCTACATTGTAGAATAATAGTGAAGACATCAAAACTATGAAATAACACATATGGAATCATGTAGTAACCAAAAAAAAAAAGTGTTAAACAAATCATAATATATATGGGGGAACTCTTTCAAGACTGTTGGAAAAAGCATTCCAGGTGAAGCTGGTTGAGAGAATGCCAAAGTGTGCAAAGCTGTCATCAAGGCAAAGGGTGGCTACTTTGAAGAATCTAAAATAAAATATATTTTGATTTGTTTAACACTTTTTTGGTTACTACATGATTCCATGTGTTATTTCTTAGTTTTGATGTCTTCACTATTATTCTACAATGTATGAAAATGATATGTTAAGTGGTAGTGGTCCTCTGTAGCTCAGCTGGTAGAGCACGGCGCTTGTAACGCCAAGGTAGTGGGTTCGATCCCCGGGACCACCCATACACAAAAATGTATGCACGCATGACTGTAAGTCGCTTTGGAGAAAAGCGTCTGCTAAATGGCATATTATTATTATTATTATTATTATTATATTATTAACACTGAACGATTCAGAACATGAATAATCATATTTGTCTTGGTAAAATGTATTTTATAACATAAGGAGGTGAAATTTCATCACCAAAGCACGTTTTCACCTACTCTGGGCAGAGTGAGTGGACACCCTACAGGTTAGAATACATATTACAACAGGACACTGCCATATAGTTGTCCTTGGTGTGGTTCTCCATCTCACCTCCAGGGCTTTCCTGTAGAGCTGGACGGCGTCCTCGATGTTGCCCTGCTCCCTCTTGATGTTGGCCAGGTTGTTGAGAGAGTCGGCGTGGGTGGGACACAGACGCAGGGCCGTGTTGTAACACTCCTCAGCCTCGGATACCTGGGAGAGACGGGGTTAAACCACACAGGTTTAAACCAGAGACACACATGGCCAGATACACAAGGACAGATACAGACACCCCACACAGACAGAAACACTCAAATGTTTTGTACAGACAGACACCAAGCCCCAGAGAGGGCCAAGAGAAAGGGAGACCCCAACAGAGACAACAGCTACACAGAGACACCCCCCCCCCCCATCATCATCTCCTAAATTGGGTCAAGGAAGGAATGGCATGCACAGGGCACAGAGACAACTGCTGCGGGCTGCTGGGACCGCCATGCCTTTCACACTGGCAGTAGGGATGCAGAATAACATAGTATTCTCTCACTGCTGGGACACACACACACACCGTGTTCTTCCTTACATTGCCCTTCTCCTTGAGTGCGTTGGCCAGGTTACAGTAGGCGTCGGGGAAGTGGGGCTGCAGCTCGATGGCGCGGCGGTACGTGTCGATGGCCAGGTCGATAAGACCCTGCTCGTAGTAGACGCACGCCAGGTTGCCATGGACGACGGCGTGGTTGGGGCTCAGGCTGAGGGCGCGCAGGTAGCCAGCCACCGCTCTGAAATGGTTGGAAGAGAGAAGGGTGGTTAAACTACTAGCAATGAGTAAAATACTACTAACTACTAAAGGCTGAGGACTCTGAGGTAGCCCACCACTGCTCTGCATGGAGATACATGGAGCGGTACTAGTGATCTGCAGAGGAGAGTAAAGGGCGGTACTATTATTTTGTCGTTTATTTTTACTTTTTATTTTCTGAAAATGTATCCGCTATCATTTTCTTACAACTGACAACTTGAACACATTTTTCGGCCTACCCAAGAGGAAACGCCAACGTTACAGGGGCAATAGGGGGAGGGATCCTGGAGAGATTAAGGTGAAGGGACTCAAGAGGGAGCCAGAGATCAAGATAGCCTAACCAGAAGAATAAAAACCTGTCCCCCGACCCTCCTCCTCCTGGCCTTCGCACACTCTGCCATTAAATTTGCCCATTTGGGGATCTGACAGTATTTCTGAAACTGGTTGAGAGAATGCCAAGAGTGTGCAAAGCTGTCAAGGCAAAGGGTGGCTATTTGAAGAATCTCAAATATAACATATTTTGATTTGTTTAACACTTTTTTGTTTACTACATGATTCCATATGTGTTATTTCTTAGTTTTGATGTCTTCACTATTATTCTACAATGTACGAAAATGATGTTAGAGAAAGACCACACTGAACGATTCAGAACATGAATAATCATATTTGTCTTGGTAAAATGTATTTTATTCCATGCGAGAAATTGCCAAGAAACTGAAGATCTTGTACAACGCTGTGTACTACTCCCTTCACAGAATAGCGCAAACTGGCTCTAACCAGAATAGAAAGAGGAGTGGGAGGCCCCGGTGCAAAACTGAGCAAGAGGTCAAATACATTAGTGTCTAGTTTGAGAAACAGACGCCTCACAGGTCCTCAACTGGCAGCTTCATTAATTAGTACCCGCAAACCACCAGTCTCAACGTCAACAGTGAAGAGGCGACTCCCGGATGCTGACCTTCTAGGCAGAGTTGCAAAGAAAAAGCCATATCTCAGACTGGCCAATAAAAATAAAAGATTAAGATGGGCAAAAGAACACAGACACTGGACTTTTTCTTTGCAACTCTGCCTAGAAGGTCAGCATCACGGCACCCTATTCCCTATACAGTGCACAATTCTGACTGGAGCCCCATGGGCCCTGTTCAAAAGTAGTGCACTACATAGGGAATAGGGTGCCGTTTGGAACATAATCCCTATTATTAGCCTACGACTCACCAGGTGAAATAAGGATGATTAGGATTATGAATGCCTGAACGAGGGAGTGTCTTCATGTTTAACTGGTTACACCATGGGAACAGTCACTGACCTGTCAAAGATGCGAGCCTCTTTCAGAACGTTGCCCAAGTTGATGTAGGCATCCAGGAAGTTGGGATCCAGAGTCACAGCCTGACAAATACCCATAAATCCATACAATGTTAAACAACTCCTCCAAACACCAGTTGTAATGGGGAATATTTAAGATTAATAAAGCTCATATTCAGTTGAGTACTTAACACAATGCTTAGCATATTTATATATGTTTTCCCATTAAGTAATTCACATGATTTGAACATTTGTGGACACTCATTTCTGCCACAGGTGGGTCACTATGTGATGCTGGATGTTACTCATATCTGTTGATAGGGATTGCCAGACTGTAGGTCCAAGGACACTGATTTTTGTTGTATTCTGTGGAACACTGATTCTGTAGCTAGCAGCCGACAAGGTCTTGGCTTTCTGGTGCTGAGTAATTAGGATAAGGGCCTTCTCGGCGAAGACCAAGTTAAACATTTTCTCTGCTCTTGTTGCAACTTGAATTAAACCAAATTGATTTATGATTGACTATATCCACGACTGCTCTCGTTTGTTCACCTGAAAATCCCCTTTACACCAGTGAACGGTCCACAGTACACCCACTACTCTACTAGGACTGTGCTTAAAAAGGTCTCAAAGACATTAATAGTATTGTGTGTGAATTATCAAATGTTTCAGCCCAGACATGAAATCATTAGTCAGTCACACTAGACTATCCTGGTTTGTCCTTTGTATTTACATCACCGGCTGTGTAGAAAAGTCTTACCTTCTCAAAGTGGTGTATGGCCAACCATATCTCTCCCTGGGCGTTGAACACACAACCCAGGTTGCTCCAAGCCACCGCAAAGTTGGGCTGAGTCTCAATAGCCTTCAGGTAACACGCCTTCAATGGGTTAACAATCAAAACCAGAGGAGGTAGGAGCAGAGGAAGAGTAGTGGCAGAGAAGAGGTAGGAGGAGAGGAAGAGTAGTGGCAGAGGAGGAAGGAGGAGAGGAAGAGTAGTGGCAGAGGAGAGGAAGAGTAGTGGCAGAGGAGAGGAAGAGTAGTGGCAGAGGAGAGGAAGAGTAGTGGCAGAGGAGAGGAAGAGTAGTGGTAGAGGAGGTAGGAGGAGAGGAGAGGAAGTAAAATAAAATAAGATTTGAAGAAAACGGGAAGAAAAACAAAAAAGGGGTAGAGGAAACAGAATTAGCGACCGTTCTCAACTAAAGCAAAAAGTGAGTGTGCAGCATGGGCTCGCCTGCGCTGAAATCTGCGGCGCTAAGCTTCCTTGCTTATTCCTACGCTGCGCAGATCCAACCAGCACCCACACGCAGACCGACATTCTGCAGTTATCATCATGACCTCTTTCTCACAACACGAGGAACCGAAACGACTAGACTTTTCTTCTGTTTTGTTATTAAAAATGTACAGCAGATAAGCTGTTTTGTGTGAAGGAAAAATACCTAAATGATATTCAAATTTATTATAAAAACAACCGTTAACTTTATGTTTGATAGCGGACTATATTAACTAGCGGTATCTCACAACCTTGAATGGCGGGTGCTGCGTGCACGTGGAGGTCCCTGTAATGCGTGCGCACACAAAGCTACGTGGGCGGGCGTGTCCTAGGTGTGTGTTTGGCTACAACCACAGTCACGCCGCCAACCCTGCTGCTGCTTAGCAACAAGAGGTCGTTGTTTGCCGCCGCTGCGCTCGCTCGCTGACCCCGGCCGGTTTTGCGGACCGGCTACAGACCCAGAGTCCCGGGAGACACCCTGCTTACCCAGACTGCCACACTCTGTACCCCACAATGCCTTTCAGGACCAACGGGCGGCAGAGGACAGGGGTTTGGGGTTAGAGGTCGTGGAGACCGCAGCCAAGCGGCTGGTTAGATAAGAGGGGGAATATAGAGAAGGGGAGTTTGAAGTTAAGGGGCATCAAGACTGCCAAGTGTCTGACGCCCTAAGAGGAGGAGAGAGAGAATAGGAGAGTTGATCTAACACCAGAGCCCAGGGGCTGTTCCGCAGGGCAATGTGTAAATAAAGTAGTCAATGGTGTCCTGTTGGAGGCTGGGGGTACGCTGGGTGCCAGGCTGACAGAGGGCGTCGGGGGGAGGAGGGGGTCTGTACCCAGCAGGCCGGGGGGGGGATGGGGGCGGGGAAGCTTGCTTGAGCCTGATGCTTTTTTGGCCTTGGAAGGTTTGTTCGCTGCGCAGCCCCTGCGTTACTGCACACTCACAGCGCACAGTCTGCATCATCGGCAGAACGCTGCAACTCCAAAACCAAGAAGGAAAAAAAACTAAATCAACAGGAAAAAAATGCAACCAACATGTAAAAGTTAGAGGTTTCTTACTTTTTCTTTATTTAATATTTTCCCCGCTAATTGCTTCCATGTTTGGTATGTTTTTTGAATTTACTGATATACGTTTTGCCCGTTGTTGTCATGGTAATTGAAGGTATTTAAAGGAATGCTTACTGTACTTCTCTTTTTGTTTTGTTTGTTTGTTTTTACTTTTCTTGTTTTGTTTCTCTGCTCTTCAGAGGAAGCCACAAGACAGAGGCATGACGTAGTAGTAGTAGTTCATGGTTTTTCTTTTGCTGGCAGTTACAAACCCGTTACCATATTGTTTGGACTTTGTCAGAGGGGCGGGCGGCAGCCTCAGCAGCAGGCGGTTGAGGACTGATGCTGCCCTAGTGATCCGTGTTTCAGCCAGGGCACCTAGGGTACGGTAGCAGGAGTAACATCATCACCCACCTGAAACAACCTTCTAAATAACATCATCAGTCGTGGAAAAAAAAAACCAAGAGACAAAATAAAAACAACAGCGTTAGTAAAAGTTAGCAAACAAGACATTATTTTTTCCCCTCTCATATGTAAATGAAATAAAACGTCCCTAAAAAAACAACAAAGAAAAGCACAACAAAATGATGACAACCTGCTCTGTTTACACTCATGCAATGAATGTTCATTTGATTTTCCAATACAAAAAACGGATGTACGGGGGGGGTGGGGGGGGGGGTTGGGAGGAGGGAAGAAAGGCTTTGATAATGTGTTTTATCAATCACTAATATTATAATATTATAGTATGGCCAAGCTAGGAGAAAGGAGGGAGGATAACTAGCTTGATCTTCATCAAATGAACTGATCACATTTCTTTGGAAATAATATGTCATAGCATACTCTTCTTCAACCTCTTTTTCCAAAAAGGTTCTTTTTTTAATGCTTTTTCTTTGTCCTGTTGTGCTTGAATCCTGGCCAATGGGGAGTGAGAAGAAAAGCCGTGGTGTGTAATGATTGGGTATCTAGAAGCCTCCATAGGTAGCTCTGAAATAAAGAGGTCAACGCTGGTTGCTGCGCGTGCGTGTTTCTCTCTAACCCAGCCAACTGAACGCGGGCGGCGGAGTGCAGATTGTGAGCTGTCTGCCTGACGCAGCATCGGACCGTACTACAGGCTCTTGTAAGGAGGGGTGTGTGTGAAAGGACTGTACCACGTTTTCATACCCTGACTATTCTATTCACCCACTCGAAGACAGCAGGGACTGTCAGATAAGATAACCAGTAGGGCCCAGTTGGTATTAGCGGCAGCATCGGCTGTTTCTGATCAGATGGGGTGAGTAGACCTAGGCTTGGATTTTGAGAGCACTGTGGGGTCGTGTCGAGCCTCTGATTAGGGCGTAGCTGGGGTGTCAGGAAGGCAGCTCTTAGCGCGCACACTCCACCGGGCCTAGCGAGCGCGCGGGGGGAGGAGCCACAGTGCACGGGGGCTGGCCTGGCAGCTCCCTGGAGCTCCTCCCCCTTCTGGCACCAAATAAGATGGCCTGGCACCAGGTCACCTAGCAAGATGTCAACTCCACAGTTCCAGCTTTCACCCAACCCAGGGAAGGTATAGATATCGTATCAGGGAGATGGACAGAGATATCGTTAAAAGGGGCCAATGTATGCATGGCTTAGAGGAGGTAAATAAAGACGGAATAAAGGGGTCAGAGGGCACAAGATACAAGACTAGCAAATCTGCATGGGTAGGGGGTAGTGGGAAAACTGGATTGAGTGGTGGAGTTGTCGATTTGTTGTTAAATAATTGGAGTAATGTGGTTTGGTTAGAGGCCATCTTATCTTTTGCATTGCAGAGATTAAACTAACTTCATCAGTTCATTTATCCTTCCAAGACCGAGCCAGCATTATTCCCTCCAAAACCACCTTTGTTTTGAACATTTTATGAGTTTATAAAAAAATTCCATATCAGAACCATAATTATTGCTAACAATTTGAAAAGCCCAGCCTTTCTTCCTGTGAGGGGAGAGGGGCTGACCCGAGGTTGAGAGGTCAGAGAGAAGAGCATTGTGAGAGGAAGCATGGTGTAGGGAGTGGAGAGAGAATGGTGATGCCTCTATTCTAGCGAGGCTCAAAGGCAAAAGTATAAAGCGGTCTGAAAAGTAACTTCCAGAAAAAAAAGGAGGGTTTAATGGGTTGGGGGTCTATAGAATGTTTTCCCCCTTCAACATTATTAGCCTCTTAAGAGGGAGGGGGAATCTGCCCAGAGCCAGGGTGTAGTGGAGGGGGGGCCTTCCCAGGGCCGGGGTAAGGGCCTCAGATGGCCTCAGAGATAGAGAAAAATCACACTGAAGTGAATGACTGAATAGTGGGGAGAAAAAAAAAAGGGGGGCAACTTTGGCCATCGGGCTCAAAGGGGGCCAGGGGGGATAGAACTGACAAAACATCTTACAAAGAAATCAAAGTAAATTTTAAAACAAACAAAAGATAAGCAAAAAGCTGTGCCAGTGTCAAGCCCCTGGGACATACCTTAGCCTCTTCCAAACGCCCGAGGGCTTTGAGCAAGTTCCCCAGGTCGCTGCGTACACAGTACAGATCCTGAGGGACAGGAAACAAAAAGGAGACACAGATTAGAGCTCCAAACCAGAACCGGACAACTAGACTGACTAACACATCACATTATTTGATATCTACAAAGGGATCATCAAATGTCTTGAGTAGGACAATACTAGAATTGACATCTGATTGGGGGTAGCTTAAGGGTGTAAAATGTGTCACGGTTTGGCAGAACACCAAAACTTTGGGTTTTGTGCTGGTCTGCTTGGCTTATGATGAGGTACATGAACTGGGTCCCAGGTCCACTCACAGGGTTGTACTGTAGGGCGGAGACGTAGGCCTGGACGGCCCCCTCCATGTCTCCCGCTGCCACCAGGGCTGCTGCCAGGTTGATGTACCCGTCGATGAAGTCTGGTTTCAGCCGCAGGGCGTGGCGGTAGTGCTCTATAGCCTCCTGCAGCTGGCCGCGCTCCTTGTACACGTTGCCCAGGTTGGAGTAGGCCTCAGCCAGCATGGGATTCTGCTTGATGGCCAAGGTGCTGAAGTGGGCAGATCTGGAGGGACGGAGGAGGTGGTCACAAGGCTGGTAGGTTGTACTGGCCTGGAGAAATGTGGTGGCGTGTGGTCCAGTACTGGTACTTTATAGTGAATGGGAGATCTCATTTAGCACACTAGCTGATGCATTGTGTGCTGTGAGATAGTGGGACGACTAAAATGGTTGTGTGTGTGTGTGGGGGGGGGGGGTGTGTGTTAAACTTAAGTTTCATTCCAATTTCACATGATACAAATCACTTCCTTTTGCTTATTGTACAAAGAGACAGAGCGACAACCCAAAACACCCGAGAAAGAACACAGTCAAATCAAACCCAACACCTGGATCACCTGTGAGAAGAGAAAACGGCCACCACCACAGTAAGAGTCATTTTAGAGTGGGAAAAGAGGAGATGAGAAGAAGATGTAGGGAGATTACTGACGGACCAGCTGCCCAGCCAGCCATTCCTTACTCCTCAACACCACCACAGATGTGTAGTAGCACCATGCGCTGTTGGCAGCCAGTTTATTGCAGCCCCAGTTTACAGCAGCACCAGAGTTCTGCAGTTCCAGCCAGTCACAGTGGGCCCAGCATTCTCTCCAGACCAGGCCCACCATGTTGACTCACTGCAGTGCGAGCTGACCTCTGACCTCCAGGTCCTTCACACCCCCCCCCTCCCACCACCACCTCACCTGTCGAGCCTGCGACACTGGAAGTGGATGGAGGAGAGCAGCAGCAGTACGCCCGTGTTGTCGGGCTCCTGCCTCCACAGCTGCATACAGTGGCGCTCGGCAGCCTCAAAGTCACCCGACTGGTACTCCCGGTGCGCCAGCTCGGCCAACCCTTGGAAGGAAAGCATACGTTGTTTTGTCGGTTCTGTAGCACCAACACCCAACAACCCGAGGAGGGGGAAACAACACGTTAGAGGGGATGGAAGAACATGAGGACAGAGACAAAATAATAAATGAGATAAAGTATTGGAGAAATCATAAATCAGACTATTTATAAAAATGCCCTTGGGTGCTAAATAATTGCATCGTTGAAGTAGATCAAATCAATAGTTTAATAGAAATTGCTGTGTCGCGATGAACTGTCAATCATCCCTGGGTATGAGTCACGTTTTAGAGAAAATGTGTGGCTATAGGTCAGATAGCTACTGTTATTCACTGTTTTATAGGCCAAGAAGTCAACTGCCCTTGAAATTAGCAGCAGGTATTCTTTCTTTGAAAGATACACTACATTACCAAAAGTATGTGGACACCTGCTCGTTGAACATCTTATTCCAAAACAAACTGGCATTCATATGGAGTTGGTCCCCCCTTTGCTGCTATAACAGCCTCCACTCTTCTGGGAAGGCTTTCCACTAGATGTTGGAACATTGCTGCGGGGACTTGCTTCCATTCAGCCACAAGAGCATTAGTGAGGTCGGGCACTGATGTTGGGCTCGCAGTCGGCAACCTATTCATCCCAAAGGTGTTCAATGGGGTTGAGGTCAGGGCTCTGTGCAACCCAGTCAAGTTCTTCCACAACGATCTCAACAAATCATTCTTGTATGGACCTCGCTTTGTGCACGGGGGCATTGTCATGCTGAAACAGGAAAGAAAGGGTCTTCCTCAAACTGTTGCCACAAAGGAGAAAGCACAGAATCATCTAGAATGTAATTGTATGCTGTAGCTTTAAGATTTCCCTTCACTGGAATTAAGGGGCCTAGCCGAACCATGAAAAAGAGCCCCAGACCATTATTCCTCCTCCACCAAACTTTACAGTTGGCACTATGCATTGGGGCAGGTAGCGTTCTCCTGGCATCCGTCAAACCTAGATTTGTCATTCGGATTGCCAGACGGTGAAGCGTGATTCATCACTCCAGAGAACACATTTCCACTGCTTCAGAGTCCAATGGCAGCAAGCTTTACACCATCCAGCCATGGAAACCCATTTCATGAAGCTCCCGACTAACAGTTCTTGTGCTGACGTTGCTTCCAGAGGCAGTTTGGAAATCCATAGTGACGATTTATAAGCTCTACGCGCTTCAGCGGTCCCTTATGTGAGCTTGTGTGGCCTACCACTTCGCGGCTGAGCCGTTGTTGCTCCTAGACCTTTCCACTTACAGTTGACCAGTGCAGCTCTAGCAGGGCAGACATTTGAAACGACCTTGTTGGAAAGGTGGCATCCTATGACAGTGCCACAATGAAAGTCACTAAGCTCTTCAGTAAGGCCATTCTACTGCCAACGTTTGTCTATGGAGATCGCATGGCTGTGTGCTCAATGGGTGTGGCTAAAATAGCTGAATCCACTAATTTGAAGGGGTGTCCACATACTTTTGTAAACTAGCTAAATGATTAGCCCTGTTAGCTGTATAACAGTCAAGAGCTGATTTTTTTTTCATTATTAGGATTTTAACTAACGTTAGCTAGTCATCAGCTTCGTAATCATGAAAAGTATTAACATTAGCAAGCTAGAACTGTCTGACAAAATATTATGAAAAACGCTATGTTGTGCGATGAAATGAAAATGGACCAAAGTACATTTTACATTTACATTTTAGTCATTTAGCAGACGCTCTTATCCAGAGCGACTTCATAGCAATAGGGTTAAGTGCCTTGCTCAAGGGCACATCGACAGATTTTTCACCTAGTCGGCTCGGGGATTAGAACCAGCGACCTTTCGTTTACTGGCACAACGCTCTTAACCACTAAGCTACCTGCCGCCCAAAGTACATAGCTGGATGAAATTTAAGGTGATTGTTTACAAATGGACGCTAGTTGGTGGACAAAAACAACCCCCCTCAACATCTTGCTAACTAGCTAACAGTAGCTAGTCTAGCTAAAATTAGATTGATGCCTAAAATGTCAAGGGAAAACTAAACAGCCTACAGACCCAACACAATCACAGTCAATGACCACAGGATCAACTAATTAGCTACATTAGCTAGCTAAATTGTGTCAAATATTAGGGAAGCTAACTAAAGAAACTAAAATGACGTTTTGCTGGATTATGGTCAAGCTAGCTAATCCAATAACATCCTTTGGGCTTCATGTCTTGCGGGTTTACCTTCAGTTGAAGTCGGAAGTTTACATACACTTAGGTTGGAGTCATTAAAACCAGTTTTTCAACCACTCCACAAATTTCTTGGTAACAAACTACAGTTTTGGCAAGTCGGTTAGGACATCTACTTTGTGCATGACAAGTAATTTTTCCAACAATTGTTTACAGACAGATTATTTCACTGTATCACAATTCCAGTGGGTCAGAAGTTTACATACACTAAGTTGACTGTGCCTTTAAACATCTTGGAAAATTCCAGAAAATGATGTCATGGTTTTAGAAGGTTCTGATAGGCTAATTGACATCGTTTGAGTCAATTGGAGGTGTACCTGTGGATGTATTTCAAGGCCTACCTTCAAACTCAGTGCCTCTTTGCTTGACATCATGGGAAAATCAAAAGAAATCAGCCAAGACCTCAGAAAAAAAATTGTAGACCTCCACAGGTCTGGTTCATCCTTGGGAGCAATTTCCAAACGCCTGAAGGTACCACGTTCATCTGTACAAACAATAGTACGCAATGATAAACACCATGGGACTAGGCAGCCGTCAAGCTCAGGAAGGAGTCAAGCTCAGGAAGGAGACGCTTTCTGTCTCCTAGAGATGAACATACTTTGGTGCGAAAAGTGCAAATCATTCCCAGAACAACAGCAAAGAACCTTGTGAAGATGCTGGAGGAAACCAGTACAAAAGTATCCATATCCACAGTAAAACAAGTCCAATATTGACATAACCTGAAAGGCCACTCAGCAAGGAAGAAGCCACTGCTCCGAAACCGCCATAAAAAAGCCAGACTATGGTCTGCAAATGTGGCAAAGATCGTAAAATTGTGGATATATTTCAAGCAACATCAAGACATCAGTCAGGCAGTTAAAGCTTGGTCGCAAATGGGTCTTCCAAATGGATAATGACCCCAAGCATACTTCCAAAGTTGTGGCAAAACGGCTTAAGGACAACAAAGTCAAGGTATTGGAGTTGCCATCACAAAGCCCTGACCTCAATCCTATAGAACAGTTGTGGGCAGAACTGAAAAAGCGTGTGCGAGCAAGGAGGCCTACAAACCTGACTCAGTTACACCAGCTCTGTCAGGAGGAATGGGCCAAAATTCACCCAACTTATTGTGGGAGGCTACCCGAAACGTTTGACCCAGGTTAAACAATTTAAAGGCAACGCTACCAAATACTAGTTGAGTGTATGTAAACTTCCGACCCACTGGGTTATTCTGACACTTCACATTCTTAAAATAAAGTAGTGATCCTAACTGATCTAAGACAGGGAATTTTTACTAGGATTAAATGTCAGGAATTGTGAAAAACTGAGTTTAAATGTATTTGGCTAAGGTGTATGTAAACTTCCGACTTCAACCGTACCTAGGTGATCCATTTTGTGTATTTACACAACAGATCGTTACATATCCACACCTGGCTAACTGACATGCTATAATTGAAGATGGCGCAACATTTGGATTAGTTACACGCTGGCATAAAGTAAAAACTGGTTCTGCAAGATATTAGCAGAGGCTCGTGTCATGCTAACGGGGTTAGCTAGCAAGGAAGCTAACTGGCGCGAGCTCTACCTGTGCTGTCAGCCACGTTTCCCACGGAGCTCGCCATCTCCTCGGTCTTCGAGTCTTGCACGGTGGTCGTCAGTGTTGTAGTTTGAGGATATCAAATTAAGAGAAACGTAATTATATGCGTCGATTGGTCGACGTTTCTTGAGCTGTTGCTAGCTAAAGCTGTTAGCCTAGCTATGCTAACCACAGCGTCAACGCTAGCTAGTCAAGAAGGAGCTAGTCTCTTTTCAATAGTTGGCTAGCTCCTACGCGATTTACTGTCCTTGCAATATATACGTCTAACTGCTAACAATCAGGCTACGGGACTAAAATATAAATATTTCCTTCAAATTCTCAATCATGAAGTGCTGCTTCGTCTTCAACAAAGTGACCCTCGAGACATAAAATGGCGAATGAGCCTCAGCCAGGGACTTATTTTTTGCCCGAAAATAGATCCAATTAAAAGAGTGAATCCACAAACTGTACTGAAAATATGCATAATTTATGAACATTTAGATAACGTTGATATGAAATATTCATTAATTATTCAGAGAACAAACCCAAAGTTAAAAGACGAGTATATGCAAACATTTTGTAAATAATACTTTTTGCGCGGATGGATACATAGTCGCAGTGAGTTTTTTTGTGATGCATCATTCCTACATGTGCACTGCGGCAAATCGAAGGCAAAGGAGAGTGTTAAGCATGTTCTGAAGGTTGAAAGGGCTGTGAAGAGAAACCAAGGCAGTTAGCAGATGGAGAGACTGAGTTGTTATGACATTGATTGAAAGACGAGTTTGTTGGCTAACTATAAGTAATTTACACTTGTCTGGGTAGGGAGTGGGGACATAGTTATTCACACCAGTGGTCGACCTGTTTCTCGTTGCACCATGATGAAATGTTTCCTATACCCCCTTTTTGATAATTGTTGTGTCCATGTACAACTAAGTTGTAGGTAATGTGCAGTGAAAGTGCACACTTTGGCAAGGTGAGAGCCACCGACTTTAGGCACTTCATTTTTGGTCCACGACCAACAGGGGGCAGTCGCCACATACCTTTGATTCATTGTACAGAAACGTCAAGAATGTAAACGCTCTGCAAGATTGTCATGCACAGCCTATTATTATCATCCAATCACACACACCTATGTATAACCAGCCATTCATGTGTAACCATGTCATCTTTGGGTTTTTTATACTCTGTATTTGTGGCAAGATTGACATGTGAATACATGTTACTCACAAAGATAACCAGTTTAACAAGGC